TTACTTCGTATTCTACAAGCGTCGCAAATTCGACAGTCAAAGACTGGCAAAGCACCCGCGTACGCTTGGGCTTTGGTAGCAGTTATCCTGACGGCCGAGGTGGCAGCGGAGGCTGATGCGATCAGCGGCCAACAGGGCTGCGTGTGGACAGCTGGTCGGGAACGGGCTGCCGATGCATGAAAGGTATTGCGCGTGCTATGCTCGAGCTCGCCGGTGACATGACAGGACGTCTGTCAGCTTGTTCGGGCTAGAGTTGGAGTAAGGAGAAGGAATGGCAGGAACGACGGCCGATCGCTAGTGTGAGGCAGCACTAGGAACCGGTCGCGGCTAGAGGACTCGCAGCAGGGGCAATCGCCGCCAAAACAAAGTTTGGGGGGTAGTTATCTCGACCATTGTGCCCGTGGTGAGGGTTAGCCAGGTAGATAACTTTGGTAGCGGTATTGGGGTAAGCAAAGCGGGAATTGCAAGATTGCAAGAAAAGGGGATAGCGGGCGGCTGTTGGACGCGCAGGCTATGAGTGGGTGAGGGTGAATGTAAAATTCGGTGAGGTGAGCGAGGTGAGGTGGCCGTGACCGTGACCGGGGCCGGGTGCCGGGGCAGGTGAAAGCCAAAAGGGCAAGAAGGGCAATGACGGGCTCAGATGGAGATGCAAGAGGGAAGGCGCGCGCTGACGCCCCATGCAGGTGGGAAGGCGCGTCCGGGTGGTCGCTGGCACCTGCATCGCGTCCTCACTTCTCCAAGGCGCGGGCGGGCTGGAGTGGGCCAAGCAGCAAGCACAGCACGGAATTCAGACCGAGGCCAGGGTCCGCGCGCGCTCGCATGGCTGGGGGCGCGCAGCTCTGAGGTGAAAGGCGGCCCCTGGAATATCTCACGCTAAGGGGGCATTTGTCGCCTTGGTAATCCGCTGGAAATCCGGCTAGTTACTTTCCCGCTGCCTTCACAAGCAGAATAATTTCCATTATTATCGCCCAGTCTCTCGACTTGTGCTTCAAGGCCCTGTCTCTGCCTTGCCTCTACCCTAAACACATCACTTGCTGCCGCAGCACCACGCGAATGCCGACCGGGGCCTTTGCAACCACTTTTGCACCCGCTACCTGTGCAACCCCATCCAAAAGCACATAAAATCTCCTATCCCACACCACCGGGCGGCGCACCAACCCACGCGATATAACGGCGCTGCCGTAGGCGCACCCCATGGCCACCTCACCACCAGGCTCGCCCGCAAATGGAGTCCCACGTCCCATGAGCGCAATGATCCGGCCAAACCGCAGTTCCAGTCGCATGAGCATGAGCAGCAAGCCCAGTGGAAGCAGAGCCTCAGACGACGACAGTAGAACCGCAGTCAAAGTTGGTAGGTGCCCTACGTCTCCTACGTGCCTCCCCTGTACATGACCCCGTTCTAACAAGACTACTTCAGCTGTGCGCGTACGGCCTCCACTCCAACACGGCGAACCTGGCTACGAGCTCATCCCCCAGCGCTTTCGCAATGCCCTCTGTCACGTTACTTCACCCTCGAGCCTCACTGTAGACGCACCTGGCGGCAAGAAGGTCTTCGTCTTCGACCGAGTCTTTGGCGAGGACATTGAGCAGGAAGGCGTCTTCGAATATGTCTCGGACAGCGTCAACTCGTTTGTACAGGGCTACAATGTCTCTATTCTCGCCTACGGCCAGTCGGGCGCTGGAAAGTCATACACAATGGGCACCACCGGTCCCCGGGACCAAGCGGATGCCGATGTCATGGGTAAGTTGAAGAAGAAAACAGGCCTGTCAAGAGTACGTGCTGACTCCAGGACCAGGCATCATCCCCCGTGCTGCGGCGTTACTTTTTGAGAAACTCGAGGGCTGCCACAGCCGCACCCCATCATCAGGCATTCGTGCTCCAAGCCGATTGTCGGGAATGCACAATGCCTCGGCCAAGTCCTCATCGCCGGCGAACAGGAATTGGCAGCTCAAGGCGACTTACGTCGAGGTAAGATATATGCACTCTATAGCTACGCCATGTGCTAACCAAGGTAGATCTACAACGAGCAACTTCGCGACCTTCTGCTCCCTGAACACATTGCCGCTGTCGAGCGACCACAAGTGAACATTCGCGAAGATCGTGATGGCCGCATTCTCCTCACTGGACTGACTCAGATACCCATCAACTCTGTCGACGACATGCTTGGCGCTCTCAACTTCGGCTCCGCAATCCGACAGACTGATGCAACCGCTGTTAACGCCAAATCGTCCCGCTCTCACGCCGTCTTTAGTCTGAACTTAGTTCAAAAGAAGTCATCCCCAGCCCCCCTTACCACTACACGTGAGAAGCGCCGCTCGGTCCCCATCGAAATGATGTCAGGATCAAGCGAAAGCTGGGTCACGGTCGACAGCAAGCTCCATTTCGTGGATCTAGCAGGAAGTGAGCGGTTGAAGAACACCGGGGCCCAGGGCGAGCGTGCCAGAGAAGGAATTTCAATCAATGCCGGACTTGCAAGTTTGGGTAAAGTCATTTCGCAGCTGTCAGCACGCTCGCACGGCGGCTATGTCTCATACCGCGATTCTCGGCTCACGCGTCTTCTGCAAGACTCGCTTGGCGGCAACGCCATCACCTACATGATTGCTTGCGTTAATCCTGCAGAGTTTCATCTTAGCGAAACCTTGAATACAGTGCAATATGCACAGCGAGCACGCGCTATCCAGGTCAAGCCACAGATTCAACAGGTCCATGACGACAGCGATAAACAGGCCGCCATCGACCGGTTGCGGGCCGAAGTCCAGTTTCTCCGGGACCAGATACGGTTATCCGAGCGTACGGATCGCAAGAAGGGCAGTTCTCAAGATCGGGGCGAGCGGCAGGACGAGCGCGAAGCCGAGCTTCAGAACCAATTGCTCGATGTTCAGGAAAACTACAATGCTCTTAGCGCCCGTCACGCTAAGCTTATCTCCGAGATCACAAAGGCACGCGACAACAACGAGACGGAGACGCCCATGCTCAAGGATGCCATTGGCGATTCTGCGCTTGAGCGATTGAAGCGTTCCAATTCGTTCGCCGAAGCTGTCGAGTCTGTAGTGCTGGAATACGAGAAGACGATCCAAACGCTAGAGTCGTCCCTCTCTAATACCCGCTCAACCCTATCAACGCATGAGAGCGATCTCCTGGAGAAAGAGACGCGTATCGCAATTCTCGAAAGCCAGAACCACCACCTGCAAGCACGCATTCAGAAAGCAATGGAGCGGGACGCAAACAATGAAGAATACGTCCAGTCACTCGAACGCCAGATCGACAATTCGGCTAATGGCATTGAGAAGAATGACACCGTCATCTCTGAGCTGCGGGAGAAGCTACAAAAAGCTCGTGAGAACGAGACGAGCAGCGAGGAGTACATTTCCACCTTGGAAGAGCGCCTAGCCGAGAACGAGCAGGAGACTGAGATCATGAGTCGCGAGATTGAGCGACTCAAGCATGTCGTTGAAAGGCAACGTAGCATCGCCAAATTAGACAATTTGCTTTACGAACTCGACAAGGGTGACGGGAAATCCGATGAATACCTCAACGGTCATGCGCGGGCACCCAGCGATCCCTTTCTCGACAAGCGTCCTAAACTGGAGAAGCGAGCCACGGGCGAAAGCATGCATCAGTTCGGCACACCAGTCGACGCCATTCCCGAGGAGGCCGACAGCGAGCGTCCACACACCGCCAGCACAGCTGCTGCTCATGGCCCAGAGGACAACTTGGCTGTCAAGGCTGTCGACGAACCTTCCAGTCCCGCACAATCTCGCTTTGTTCACGACAAGCTCGACACTGTTACACAAGAGCTGCTTGATCTACGTGTAGAACACGAAGGAACTCTTCAGGATTACGAGAAGCTTGCTAGCAAGTACCAAGAAGCTCTCCGGACTCTGGCTGCTCTCCAAGACTCCGTCGACGAAGCTCGTCTTCGCGGGCCGGCATCTGTGCCATCTTCACGACCGGTGTCCTTCCTAGCAAACGCTGCAGGCAATGGACCAACGGCAGAAGACGGAAAGATGTCATCATCGATGACATTGTCTGCAGAGTTGTCTATGGCTGAGGTCGGCAATACCAGTATAGTAGATGACGACACAGAAGTTGGCGCTGAACAGAGCCCGGAGCGGTGCCCATCAGCCACCTCTATGCACCAAGAACAGCATGTTCCGGAGGCTGTGTTGGTCCAAGAGCTCAAGGCTTTGAAGCTTTTATACAACGAGAAGGAAGAACGCGTGGGCAAGCTGGAACAGGTCTATGCTGAGCTGCAAGAAGAACATCAGGACACCCTCGACTACGTTGAGGAGCTTAAGTCGGAGGTTACGAAAGCTCAGATGAACAGGCCTTCTTCGCCATCACTCCACATGATCCGCCGCAAGTCCAGCCAGGCAGTCCTTGCCAATGACCGCTCTAACCGCGCTTTTGCCTCGCTCCGCAACCTTGGTCTGGATACATTCGAGGAGGACTCTGATGCTCTACAGTCTTTCGAGCTCAATCTGAACACAATCATGTCTGAGTTGCATATCCGGTCTGAACGAGTTCAGGACTTGGAGATGGAGGTGCAAACCGTGCGCAAGGAGATGGAAGGCAAGATGACCTTGATCAGCGGTCTGACCAAGGAACGTTCCAGCTTGAAAGCTAGTTCGCCTCTTGACATCTCAATTGTTGCTTCTATGCAGGAGCAGATGAGGCAGAACGAGGAGCATATCAAAGAGTTGAAGGAGTCACATACTCAGCGTGAGCATCACCTCCAGGAGCAGATTGAATCGCTCAAAGCTTCCGTCAGGCCCATCGACTCATCAGAGGAGGTATTATCACCACGACAGATCCCTGACGCGCCATCATCGCTCAACGGAGTCGGCGTATCTGAGGACGCTACTACTCGTCATAGCGAGCTCACTAGCCTCACCGAAGAGGCTGCACATTGGCAATCCAAGCATCTCGAGGCTATTGAGGTTACCAGAGTTTCCGAGCAGCGCCATCTCGAAACTGTCCGTGAGCTGGAGTCTGCGAAGCAACGCCTTGAAGTCGACCACGCTCTACGCTTGTCGGAGATTGAGCAGACCCGAGGCGCAGAGGCTGAGATTGCTCTACAGCAGGAGAGGTCCAAGCACGCTGAGCTCATCGCCGCACTACAAGCTGAGGTCGACGAGCATAAGTCAACGGCTATCAATAACGCTGCACGCCTTGCTGAGCTTGAGGAGTCACATGCAAGCATCATTCAACAGATTGAAGAAGACTCCGAAGCCCGTGCTCTCACCGAGAAGGAACTAGATACTCATCGTTCTCTCGTTGCAAACTTGGAGAGACAAATTGAGGAGCACAAGTCAGCCATTGAGTATCATGAACAAGGCATGAACTCTATTCAGGAATCGCATGCAGCTGAGCTCGAGAAGCTCAGACTGGAGCTTTCTACTCATCAAGAGAGCGCAACTTCGCTAGAAGCTGATCTCGTCAAGGCCAAGAGCGAGATGACAATGCTACTTGAGGGTGTTTCAGCGGCCTTGGGCGAAGAGACCGATGTCAGCACCATTGTATCTCACATTGAATCACTGGTCGCAGAACGCAAGTCCATTGCCACTCGACTTGATGAGGCTGTCAGTGATCTTGAATCAGCGAGGAAGGAGCTTACGGAGGCTACCAAAACCATCAGCACACTCAAGGGTAATCTGAAGGAGTTTGAGGTCATCAACGCCGAAACCTTGAAGGAGCTCGAGAGGGTCAGTGAGAAGGAGAACAAGAGCGCCCGCCTCGTCCAAGAGCTGGAAGACCAGCTCAACCAGAACTGGGACCAGCATGAAGCTGCCAACAACCGACTGTCCGCTCTACAAACTGAGCGTAGTCGCGAGCTTCAAGATGCCATGACCCATGGCGATGAACTTGAGAAGGAAGTGCAAGAATCGCGTATCAAGATTGCGCTCCTAGAGGTAAGCTCATACATGATCTATCTGTATAAACACCGCTAACATGACTAGTCACAACTCGTGGACGCAAAGCGAAACTCAGCCCGTGGCTCCCTGGACCCTCGTGATGATCTTCAACGATCCAACTCAAACAACTCCACCGCGCGCAAGAGCACAGCACACACGTCGTTGCCTTCGCCACCGCCCGCGATTCCCCTTCCTCCACTCCCTCCTGGCAGCCCACCACCTCAAGCTGCTGCGCCTTCCCCACCTACCTCGCGCCACCAAAGCAAGGACATTGCACATGCTCAGTTGGTTGAGGACCAGGAGGCTCGCATCCGCACCATCGAGAAGCACCTCTTTGCCGAGAAGCAACTTACAGCTACTCTTGAGGATGCTTTGACCGATTTGGAAGCATCAAGCACCAAGACCAAGACTGATCTGGATCAGTTCAGAAAGAAGTGCGCTAGTTTGGAAGAGGAACTGAACGTGATGCGCAAAGAGCGCAGTCAAGCCCGTCACTCTCTCCAAGCCGTCGAGGAAGAGCGAAACGCACGTCTCCGCGTCGAGGCTGAGCGAGCCCATCTGGAAGCCCGCATGGCCGCCCTCAACAATGCGCAAAAGAAGAGCAAGAAGAAGGGAACTCTGAACTGCTTCTAAGTTTCTGTGCTCACCCACACCATACCTTTGACCTTTATGTATCTGCTTTTATTCCACCTGCTTACACCGGCGCACTGGGAAGGAATCATTACAATACCGCGCTACATACCCCGATACACCTGTTCGTCATACTTGCCTGGACGTTTTCGACAGCATTTTCTTCGACATGTCTTTATGCTTTCAACGATTTGCAATGCTCGCATCTCTGGCACACATACACCGTTGGACGAGCCATGTCGCTTCGGACATTGAGAAGTCCCTTGTTACATACTTTCCCTTTGCCTTCTTGTTCTTCATGTTCCTATGCCCCATACCCCCCTTTTCCCCTCTACTTGGTTTACCTTCAATAATGTATTTTACTTGCGGCAGTCGACGGCTCGAGGGTCGTTCGTCTTGTCTATTTGATGAGCAAGCAGTATGCATTTGCACAACCCCTTTTTTTTGGATGTGCAACAGCGGGGAGCGAGTGTCTTTTACTTTGGAGCAATGATTATCTCGTGTAGATATCTTTTTCATGTCTTTATTCTCTTTGCCAAATTGGGTGTTTTATTCCACGATTGTCGCGAGGACTGGGGGGATATGAGAGGCCTGGTTGAGGGGTAGTTTGAAAAAGAGAATATCATGTCTTCCTTGTACTATCTGGATCACTGTCCTGGTCCTCGTCGTGTACTGCAATGCTTGGGTGTGATGCTGACTGCCACTGACCGTAGCCTTGCACTCGATGGTCAGCGTCTCCCAGCTTAGAATACACCATGCGAACCTGCGACCGTAAACACGTCCATCACATGACAACCCGACATCTACAGTCCCATCTCTCTCCTGTACCCAGGTAATCGCAGCATACGACACCCGCGTTTCGCGTTCCTGCATAAACGCAACCCAAAAGAAAATCATAACTTCCCGTGTCCTTCCCTACCGTACCCATGCACCGGTCGCGCAAAACCCTTGCAGAAAAAAAATCCGTGCCGCCTCCTCGGTATATCAAATACGAGCGCCCCATGCCGTATCCCGAAACACCACCACTACCCATTGTGCCGCTTACCTGCATTAGCGACAGGTGTTAGTACGTACCTATGTGGACGACGGCCTTGTTGGAGTGGAAATACGATTATCGTCCGATCGTTGCGTGGTAGGCATCGATCGTTACAGCGATAGTATTTTGTTGGGGTTGGAGTGGGTTGGGTTGGCGGGAAATAAGATGGGGATGTGCGCTTGGAATTGGTTACCTAAGCTGGGAGGGGAGAGGCACGTTTTCTGTTTGGAGGTAGGATGCGCTTTTCCTCGTTTTACTTACGGTACTTGTGAGGCGGACGGACGGGCGGGCATGGGACTGATGGTGGGGTATGATTAGGGAGATTGGGATGGGCGCTGTAGGCCGGATTGTGGGTGCCAGATTCGGCTGGGTTGGTGATAGTTGCGCCGAGAGGTGGATGTTGGTGTTTGTCGATCTTTAAGTTGTGAGTGACGGTTTGTATGTGGATCCCATCTTTTTTTGTTTTATTTTTTGCTTCTGAAAACATAATCCTTCCGTAGGAATGTGAGACGTGGAAAGGTTTTAGGTGCGGTGGTATGTGTACGCGATTAGGCGGTCACTTGACTCGCAAGTGAACCCGTTACTATAGCGTAGTCTTCCTCTCTCATATTGATGTACTCGCTTTCTATTTCATGTTCATAATGTGATTGTCTTCTTCCTCTACATTTTTACACGCGTATCGCAACAATGAGTCTCTTCTCGCTCAGTGTAAAATTAAAGGGTGTATGGAGGTAAGTAATTGATACGCGCTATCATGCATCAAGGTATCAATGCCATCACCCTCTTCTTTTGGCAGGTGTTCATATCCTACCAGAGAAGACATGTGTGGTAATGCCTAAGCACACATAATGCGCCACTACTAAGACACGTCTACTGAATCTATCTGCAATAGAACCACTCCGTATTGCCAGACGAAGCAACCATGCACAAGGCAGATACGGCAATTGGTTATTCTTCTAAAAAATGCTGAAACTATGTTGCTTTCCTTTATCTTCTCAAACATCGACATTCTATATACAGTAAATTTTAGAGCTGTGTTGAGTGTTGATGGCTTAATTACCTTGCTAGACGAGGACGTGTCTCTTTTTCGCCGTTCCCAGTAATCTGCCAAGTTCCATTGTGAGCACATGGAGATTTGTACCATGTTACAGTTGACGAGCATAGGATGATCTACCTAGAACCATCGCTTCTGTACGACATCAGACAGATACAAGAGTAGACTCCGCAACAATCAATTCAATCCGGTCACTCTCCTAGACCCACTTACCTATCTAGGTAGGGCTTAAACTCCTATAGGTAACTACTAGGCTTAAAGCGGTAATCAATCAATCCAATCTGAACCTTCTAGGACCCACTTAATTGATTGTTGCGGACTGTGTACAAGAGATTCACTATCGTGTTTGAAGCTCACGCCCCCGTCGTTCAATTGTTTCGGTCGTGAATACGTGAGTATTTTTCACTCCAAATACATCAAACAGCAGGCAATCTGGAAGTGCAAATAAATACATCGGTAATGCGAAGACTACTTTCACACATATGGCGGTGTATCTTTTTCAGTAAAGCTATTACAACTGTTTCTAAAGAGAGAGAGCCAAGGATCGAGAGAGGTTATCTGTCAGAAATAGTATATGTATGATCTGAAGAAGAACACGATGTTCGTGGATTGAGTATAAAAGCGGAACGTGGACTACGCTCTCCGGATCTTGCTACACCCTTCTCTATTTCAACTCAGACCTTCCGTCATTCAAGGTGCAGTTAGTCTTGCGACTGCGAGGTTGGGGCATCGCTGTAACCATTTGAAGCCGTTTGGGTGTGATTCCGCCCTCTGGCCAACAGTACCGAAATAGAATATTGTGTGACATAGTTCATCTCAAACTAATTAAACTTCATACCCAAGAACATCAAAATCATCACATAACAACCTTATGGTACGCCCCATCTATGTAGTAGACTAGTTAGACAGTAAACAATGGTTGGATCAGACGAGTCTTGAGTGCTGGGCCTATTGGGTATCGTAGATCATAGGATATTCCAAATCGTATATGTTTACAGCAACATGTGCTTCATACTACCCAGGCAAGGATTCCAGTGGTATTGTGTTGCGCGCATAACCTTGCTGCTATCACAACTCATATCGGTAATTCAAGCAAGTATATACAATCAGATATCAAGACTGGTTCATCAGTGAACTAGAAGAAGAGACATTAGTGAGATTCAAGGCCTTTCACTAAATACTCGAAGTGAGCTAGTCAATAGTGGTGATATACTGGATATTTAGGAAACCGGTATCGATGGATGACTTGGTTTATGTAGAAGTGGCTATGAGAAAAGATGTACTCAAGAAGGAAGGAGTAGCACCTTGCGACGACTATAGGATATGCGTATTGATAGAAATAGAGGAAAAACAGTAGCACATGGGTGATATGAAACACTTGATAGCGACAGCGTGGATACATCCCTTTGTTCAATTCCTAATAGGTATATCTGGCGCCTACAATGATTCCGGCATACTAGAATGTCAAATATTTTATATCGCCCAGGTAGTAGTGTTAGAGAGCGACAGTCAAGTCATGCGAAGATTAACAGACGATTTTTTCAATTAGACGTGATGAGCTGAAGGGCAGATTGCACCCGACATGCACTCTCGCTTTGGATGCCAATCTAAGATCATGATTTTCTAATAATATTCCATCGATGTCTGCATATTTTTTACCTTGAGATGTTTTTAAATTGTCTGGGAGTCAGTTTCTCCGGATCTCAGACTCAAATCCCCAGTTGAAGAAGCTGAAGTTCAGTTTGATTTTCAAGGTCGCTCCGGATGTTAGAGTTGCGAACGTTGCAAGGCTGGGATAGTGGGGCCATTATATAATCCGCGCTACGGAGGCTCGGCGCCGGCCTAGAGCTAAAAATTCTGGAGCTCAAAACCGCCCTGTACATTATCTTCACCACCAACATCTCACCGCGTTTATTCTGCGCGCAGTCGGGCCTCAGGTCTTTGATGAATACTAATGTAGCGATCGCGCTTGCATTGGATACCCGGTAAGTTGCTTCAGCTCCCTCGATTCCTGCAGAAGATTATTACAATACGAACAATCCAATTCCTACAGCATCGTGAAGGACTACACAACTCTAGAATTACAATGATGCATTCAAGCTTATCAGCATTATCATGGCGCACTCTGGATCAATTCGTTGACATCGCTCTAGTGCTACAACAGCTTCGACAGGCATCTACCCAGGCTGCTCTCAATACTTTCTCAAGGTACGGCATCTCCAATTTCCCTTCCCCCCACTCCGCAGCGTGATGATAAACACGACATGGAAAGGCATTCCTCGACCTGAATACACAATGTCGACACCCTTGCTTTTAGTTTCAGCCTTGTCTGACACTGCTTCCACACTATCGCATATTTGAATAACATTTATGCGACCAAATGCTAATTTTGGATCCTGCAGGTAAATTTCCTCTACTCGAAACCCTTGCGCCCCGCGAATACCCCAGGCTTCCTGATGAGACCTCGATGCGTCGGGCGGACAGACCGTATACCTCAGCTGGCATCCATCAAAAGCAGGCGTACAAACCTGTGGGTGTTCAGAAGAGGCTATACTTGTTGATAAAAGCATCACTGATTGCCCTCACACCCTACACATACATCATCGCCAAGCTCTTGTGGACCTTCGATCTGACAGGCTCCATAGGTACGATATCTCTTCTTTCCACCAGACGGTCCATCATTGCAATGATGATACATTTGATATTCACACTGTGTGAGCGGCGGCGTTGTAACGAGCGTCCGTCGTACTGATCACTACCACAAAATCTGATTTAATGAGGTATGTTAGGACACCAAACACTTCATCTGCAAGCGTTGGCTAACCTGACATAGGCTGATTCTTGATGGACTTGTTCTATTTCATCCGACACGATTGTCACTGTCTCTTGCGGACAATGCGCTGACATGTCGACCACAGGCATCATTCCCAACTTGAAACGTTCTTGATACATATCTTTGGTAAGTGCATCGTCTTACATACTTGCCCCCAATCTTACCCCTCGTATGATGAACAAAATGATTTCGCTGTGTTCTTTCTTAATTACATTGAAGATACAATCACCTTGGAGAACTGATCCCGACAACCTCTACTACTTCTTCGTCACACACTTTACTGGAGTGGTTGCTAACCAGCTACAGTGGCATGCTTTCAGCGATTGCTTCAGAGGGAATCCAATGTCAATAGCGTACATAGTTCCAATACACACATTCTGTATAATGCACCACTCATTGCTGCTTTCTTGTTTATTGTGATTGTTTGCTTCGTTGCTATCGTGTCGGTGAAGTAACGAATTCTTACATCAGCTGCGTTGATACCGTGATGGCTTCCGGTGACCGCTTTTCTCACCGCACTCGCCCTGCATGGCGCTCAACATGTTCTGAACCCACTGGCCGTTCTCCCCGACACGGGATTCCCTGTACCGACAGATACCAGCATTCTACGCCTCATGCGTTCGATGCAAACATTTTGGGCTTGGTCTCGCTCGTCTAACAAGCGCACCTGCAGGTAGGTTGCATAAAAAGGCGGTCAGGATGGGCGCTGTTGTTTATGCACGACGCCGATAGCTGCAGGTACAGAACAGCATGGTCAGGCCGTGGCTACAACACCGCGCATCTCCCGCAGCAGTTAGGAAAATCTTTCCCTTCCACATGGTTCATCAAAAACTTAGCCTGCGGAGCAAGCAGGTGGAGGTGAGGAGTGTGCGTTGTTGATACAGCGACGACGATATCAGCCGAGGTACAGGTCGCACATGGTTGGAGTTCATCAATCCTATCAGCCGCAGATAAACTGTGAAGACGATTGTGATTGGATGGATAATGTGCTCATTCGCTCTTCTTTTTCTCCTCAAACGATAAATAAGACACGGAGAGAGGGGTGATTGGCTTAGGGTGACGTGTTATGATGTGCCGTGACGTGACGGGCACATAAACCCACATCGTGTACATCCAGCATCTCTCTTTTACCCCATATCTATGCACTACATATCACGACATGGTGTATCTACAGCAACGTTTCGCAGATCGCGGGGCGATGATGAGTTGTTTCTGTTGTTTCTACATGCTAAGAGAGGCCGGTATAGGCAGATGTAGACGCCTTTACCGTGTTCTCATATCGTCAGATCCCTGCCATATGCCCCTCATTGGAAACAGAGCATGCATTTCAATGTGACGAAAAGTAAATGTCCATTGTGACGGCGTCATCCATTGGCTATCCTTGTTTGGAAATGCGAAATATATCCTAGAGGACAAAGACACATGATGTGTTTTGGCACCGTAGGGGCTGCAGACACGCTATCGATGGACATACGTCTTGAGACTATTCTGGCCAGAACGCGTGAGGCGTGGGGTCGCTATTGTAGAACGCGGCTGACAGATGAAGCTGATGGCAGCGTGGCACGGCAGCGTCGACGACACAACACGATTGCGCAGTTGTACTTTTTGCCATCTTACTTGACGTTGCGCAAGTGCAGCATGCAGATCGAACTTCGGTCAGCTATGGCAGATGAAGCTGAGGCTTGGTGATTCATGCAGTGGACAGATGTGTATATTGATCAGCTCACGCAAACGTGTCCGGTCTGTTTCGATAAACTCAAGCGAGATTCTTATCGTATAAACGGTAAGCAATGAGGTCTGGGCTTCGCGACGAGGCAATGCAATTCGGGCCGGGACGAGTATTGTGACTCGGTCTGGCTTACGTTGGAGGGGAGATGCCGCTGAGGGGGTAAGATCCGAACGCGAGGGTGGGTAAATTCTAGAGCCAAACGTTTGGGGCATCTTCGGGGGTGAGACGGATGCTGGGAGTCACATGTTTACCCAGTTGTGATGGGCGACGGCGCGGCACGATCAAGATCAAGGTTTCACACCAGCACGATAATAGATGGAGAGCTGAGATGCTGCGAAACAAGTGTGGCTGTTTCAGCAATGGTGCAGTCAATAAAGGACAAAGTGAGACTGCGCGACCTGGGCCTTTGGCCGGAGTACCACCTACGTCGGCGTGCAGCGCCTACGCCACAATGTGAATAAGATCGTGGAGTGCTTTAAAGAGAGACGGGGGAACGGTTGGCTCGAGGCTCAACTGCCGTCCGTCCCAGCATGTTGCTTTTCACTCGGCGTTACCGTCTTGTTGGTTATCTTGATACTGTTTGTGCTTTTGAATCGCATACAAAGCAAGCAACAGCTCCATCGAGAGATGGCAACCCTCTCGCATGTCATGCCGACGACGGTGTCAGATAGGCGTAATGGGTATTGCAAGGCAAACCCGGGAACAGGAAGTTTATGAAGTCAACAGGTTTGGTTTAAAAAAAAAGAGCACTCTCAAGAGTGAGGCAGACAGTGGTAGGCAGCCCTGTGGTAGGTCCGCCCTGTACTGGTGCCGTGTCGCGTGGTTCTTTGACGCCCCGGATGTTTCTGCATGTGATAGTGTCGGGGAAGGAGGATGAACAAGAGATAGCGATGCGGAGGAGACAACGTTGCGGAATTGCTATTTGCATTGATGAGATTGCGGTGGTGTGTACCATATTCGGCGCGGAAGATGACTTGCAGAGCACTACCGTACTGGTCCGACTAATGGGCTGAATGCAAGCTGATATTGGGCCAAATGCAAAATACTTTGTCGTTTTGTGCAATTCGTTGTCCGAGGGATGGGATTGAATTTGCGACACAACTGGCGTTGGATGGATGCAGTAAGAGGTGATAGGCAATAAAGCATGCTAGTCAGTACCCGACCAGACTCAGTCTTGATGGGTCGGATGACGCGCAGACGGGAAGTGGGAAAGTGGGATAGGAGTCGGAGATTCTGTACTCGATCAGGCAGCTCACACGGTGGGTCGGCATATGGCGGGAGAAAGATTCTGGAAGAAATGGGGGCGCGGAGCAAAATGGTCATGATGTGTGAAGCCAACAACTCGCCCAGGCAAAGCGAAACCATGGTCGGAAGCGCTCGGACACTTTGTAGTAGGTTGGTGATCAGGGTCCGCCGTCGTTGACAGACAAGGCCGGGAGTGACAGGAGGAACGACGGGCTTGCGCCTTTCGGGAGGGAGGGCATCAGCTTGGAGTTTCGGACGAAGGCTACCAGTGTTGCGCAAACTCTGCTGTCAGGTAGAGGGCGATCTATTGATGCCCGAAGCAAGTTTGTAGCCAGAGTTCTCCGCCCATAGCCATAGGTTTAGAGTTTGCCGCTCCTGTTTCGTCAATGGCAATGGCACACAGGTAGGCAAGTTAGACTCCTCTCCACTCCACCACCCCGCGCAGTGCCCTGCGTATGGGAGAGGGGCGCTTGCAGTCATAGTTTATCGATGATGACATGCGTCGCAGCGCCGAGAATTCTTGTTTCACAGCCTGACGCTGGTGCTGGCAAGCCCACGGCGTGGCGCAAGTGCAAGCCTGAGGGCTGGACTTGATGGAGTCGCACATGTTCATGGCATCATGGCTACGTGACTCGGGCCAGTAGGGAACAAGTTGGCCGGCCATTGTGGCCGTCGCAGTTCCGGACTGCCGCGGGTAGGCTAGAGGCACGCCTCGCCAGCAAAACCACGTTGACGGGTGGGCACGACGTCGCCCGCCAATGTGAATGGGTGCACCCAGTCCCGCGCAGCCCCTGACGGCCAATTGGGTATAAGGCTGCATGAGGGTCGGCCAGGAACCTGCCACAAATCAGGAACCGGGCGCCGTCGGAGCAAGGTAGGGGGAACGAGGGAACGTGGGCCGCAGTGAAATGACAGCCAAGATGCCTGCTCGTGCCTGTGACGTTGACGACCAGTCCTTGCAGCCGCAGCCGTCGCGAGAGTCGAAGAAAAGTGGTCGTGGTAGATGCACAGCAAACGGCGGCGGATGGTTGCGTACATATCTGGGCCTGAGGGGGCGGGGGTGCGTATTTTGGGCGTGGCTTTGCGGTGAGCACCATGTGTCTCTCATGTCTCTCGGTGCTGTGTGCATGTGCATGCTCGCGGTGAATTAGTCGTGGCCGTACAGGCCTGAGTGCATGGCTAATGCACAATACGGCGCAGCACAAAATTAGGCCTGGGCTGCACATATTGGCTCGGCACGTCACGTGGCGGGGCATAAAGCACCACACAATTGCAACCCTGGCAGAAAAACACGGCGCATACGTAGCAGCACACATGATCTCTACAAGTGCTTGTGCCGGGTACAGAATGCAGGAATGAGCAATTATCCGCCGTACTGTACTTTAGTGCTCCGGGCAGTTTTTTTTTCTTCCTTCCTACCGACGTGGTGCATGTTGCTACGGGCTGCGGGCTGCGAAAAGGAAGCGCGGGCGCCCAATGAAAGGGGTAAAATAAACAACATTTTGCGACCAACACTGTGCAAGGATGCAGGACAGGCGCTAGCCACTTCGGCTGCTTCCTGCTAAGCTTGGAACAACCTTCGCGCCGTCCTCTTCACCACTCGCCCCGATCCCGTTGACAGTCAGCGTCTCAGCGTCGCGTCGTGCTTTCATTTCGCCCACTGCTCGCGTCCCCCCAGCGCCACTGACTTTCATCTCGCGCAAAAACAGTCGCGCCCGCCATGCTTCCTTCCCTGTCCGCTTTACTTGCACTCCCACTACCACTGCCCATCTCCACCCCTTTGCCCACCCCTCCGTCTTCTGCCCGTCAAGGCTCGTGAAATCGGCTCCGTCGCGTCTCTCCGCCTGTCTGCCGTCGCCTTACTGCCAACGCACGCAGCAGCGACCGCTCTCACCATAGCAACAGGCCGACAGCTGGCCCCCTTGACCGCACTTGTCCCGTCTCGGGTGCGCGATCTTCATTATTACGACTCGCAACGCTCCCCGGGCGCCGCTTCCACTCTAATCTCTCGGTCTAGCCTTGCAACCTGTGCTAAGGCCCATTACCGCACCCCTTCGTGTCTCTCATTACAGCCGCCGTCCATCAATCACAGCTGCTTGTGCGAAACGCCGCCTTTTTCTTCGTCTTGCCCTTTCACCACCCTCTCTTGCGACTCAAAAGTCCACATCCCTACCCCCCCGAACGCACAGGCGCGCTCAAATCTCCCAGCCCGATCATTAAGCCACTCGAGCTATGGTCACAGAGTCATTCCTCTTTCAACCTCACTAGAACATCCTAACCTGCGGAATACTACCCGTCTACCGTGGTCCTGGGCGCCGTCTCCACACGCCCTTCCCAACCGTCGTCTCTCATTTTCTCGACATTCCCGCACCTGCAGCAACCTGGACCCTTACAACATCCTCCTATCGCATCTCAAACCCTTCGATACGCACTGAACTCCCCCTCCCCATCTCCAATCCACACATATCGCTGCACGTCTTTGTACTACAATTACCGGATTTCGAAACCCCTCCTGAGATGAACTAAACCGTACCCGAGCATCGAGCATCATCGCCCAAGGACTTGACCTACTGGTGCGTGTAGCCATCCGCTCCCCTTCACACGCCTCGTCTAACGCGTCCAGTCCTTCAATTTGGGAGCATCTGCTAGAACAGAACTTCTCTACTCACAGGTGTATATCCACCATCAATATGCACCCAGAATCACAAGTACAGCCACATGGCTGGGCCTCTCTCGAGGAGAGGTATGAGGTGATGAAGGAGATTGGTGACGGCAGCTTCGGCAGCGTCGCCCTTGCACGCGTTCGAACTGCTGGTTCTCACATTGCACGTCGCGGCACTTTGGTGAGTGCGAGCTTACACATGAGCTAGACATCGAGACAAGCTAACGTCATGTAGGTCGCCATCAAGACAATGAAGAAGACTTTCGATTCATTTTCAAGCTGTCTGGAGTTGCGGGAAGTCATCTTCCTGCGATCGCTACCACCGCACCCCCACCTTGTGCCAGCACTGGACATCTTCCTGGACCCCTATAGCCGGCGGCTTCACATCGCCATGGAGTTCATGGATGGCAACCTCTACCAGCTCATGAAGGCCCGAGACCACAAGCCAATGGATGCGCATAGCGTGAAGAGTATCCTCTTCCAGATATTGTCTGGCCTGGAACACATCCATGACCGCGAGTTCTTCCATCGTGACATCAAGCCGGAGAACATCCTTGTTTCAACATCACAGCAAAACGACTCATCGCATCCCTTCCGCAGGTACTCGGCAATGATGACCCCCCCTTCGACCCCACCAGTCTACACCATCAAGATTGCCGATTTCGGTCTTGCAAGAGAGACTCACTCTAAGCTGCCCTACACTACATATGTTTCCACTCGATGGTACCGTGCGCCCGAAGTGCTCCTGCGAGCCGGTCAGTACTCTGCACCTGTCGATATCTGGGCAGTCGGTGCGATGGCTGTTGAGATTGCGACGCTCAAGCCCCTCTTCCCCGGTGGAAATGAGGTTGACCAAGTCTGGAGGGTCTGCGAGATCATGGGTAGCCCGGGAGGCTGGGTCAACAAGCACGGCCAGCGAGTTGGTGGTGGTGAGTGGAAAGAAGGTGTCAGGCTGGCACAGAAGCTGGGCTTCTCTTTCCCCAAGGTAAGACAAGACAACAACTCTACTCCATTTCATCACTAACTCTCTGCCTAGATGGCCCCGCACTCATTAGACACCATTCTCCAAACACCACAATGGCCTGCCAGTTTGGCCCAGTTTGTCACATGGTGTCTCTTGTGGGACCCCCGTGCAAGACCTACTTCCCGCCAGGCTCTTGATCACGAGTACTTTCAGGACGCAGTCGACCCCCTGCGACTCAAGTCATCTTCTTCCCGACTATTGGGCCGCAAAGGATCCGAGATCTCTGGAAAGGATTCTCCAGAGGCCTCCCCCAAGCTCACATCCAAGACCTCTTCATGGCTCCGACGCTCGTTGGTAGCTCGCGAGAGTGCACCAGCAGTCCCACAGCACAGCACCGTGCAGACGATATCACCTGCGGCATCCCCTGCACATGTGAATTCCGGCGATGTGAGTGGGGCGACTAAGCCTCGTCCTGCTGCCACTAAGCGAGCTACGTGGACGAACGGGGCTTCTAACAATGGCGCGCCTATCCCCATTCTACCTTCCATCAAGCCGATTTCCCCACTTTCGGCTGAAGTTACTGCACAAGCCAATGTTCGTGCTGCCAACGATGAGTTGGCCGCGAAGAAGATTGGCCGACAGCTTTCTGTCGCCTCGCACGGCAACCACTACGCAGACGTGCATCGTCAAGAAGCAGAACGCGCATTGAACGGTCAGTCAGAGGTTACCTCTCCGGCCGGACACAAGGAAGGGTTCTTCTCACACCTCAGGAAGCGCGCTCGCCGCCTTTCTGGACGCTACCAGACCCCTATGTCGCCAAACTCGGATGACATCGAGGCCAATGCTGGATGTGCTCCTTGGGCGACGAATAGCGCGAGGCAGTCTTTGATCATGGACCCGGCTCAAGGTGCTGCATCCTCCTCAACCTCGGACTTCTCTGAGCTCGACAAGGCGTTGCAACACGTACGAGATAGCGTCGAGGCGCACTCACACCAGACTGCGTCGATGAAGAGCTCACGTGTTGCGTCAAACCCTATGCTCAAACGCCATCATTCTGTCCCTCACGGACCCGAGCCGAGGACTGGTGAGAACGGAGTCAACGCGCCAATTTCGAGCAGGACACGCCGAGCACTCCAGAACAAGTCTAACCCTTCTAACCGATATGAGACTCCCAACGAGGAGGAGGAGCTACTCAGTGAGGTGCTTGCATCCACACACAAGGCTGCGAAGAATCTCGATAGCCAGAAGCAATCTGCCGCTGCCGGGTCCTATCTAACGCCCTCGCCATCGGCCAAGCGCAACAGCGTGAACTTTGACCAGTCCGAGTACATGACACCAAGCAAGCCTGTAGATATCTCAAAGAACCTGGCCAAGAACAACGACCCTGTGTCAAAGTGGCCCACACCTCCGTACGATTCGGACTGGGCCTCTAGCGTCGCCGCCAGCCTCATGGCGGCACAAACCCGTCATCGATGATATCCAACCTGCCGGGACCCATACTTCTTTTCGCCTTGCCTTCGCTGCATGCTGTTTCACCCGTATAATTGTAATTTGGGTCACCGCACCCGCTCGTTGTCGCTTCCTATACGACCGTACGACATTGAGCTCTCCCGTCTGGAACGGTGCACGATTACAGAAAGATAGACACAGACGCTACGCGCTACAAAGCCCTCAAAAGCAAGCGCGTCTATGGGACGGTGTTCTTGGCGTCACGAGCATCTCCGTCCTTCGCGCATCCACCATCATTTGTCATCTCGCAACATTGCGTTGCCCTTTCCAATATCAGATCCACATTCGCTCTGTAACACTACATACTTTTCCTTTTACTGAGTCATCTTTGGGCGGCATCTTACTCCGGGACTTAAGGCGGGAGTGTTCTATTTCGCGGGAAATTGTTGATACCTTACAAGTTATTCCGGTCGACCACAAGGACTGTCCGTGTCGATAAACATCTCAGGGTCTGGCCGTGCTTCAGTTTCGGAATCTTTTGGCGCCTCCCCATCGTTGAGGGGTTGTAGGCGCTACTACCTGTCATACCATACTAGACCGAGTTTTTTTCTTTCAAGCGCTTCATTTCGTTGGCGGATACCCCAATTTGAGCTGGCGACTACATTATACCTACCATCTAGTAGTATTATCCTTGTTGGTTAAAGGGAACGGAAAAGGGAGGAACCCTGTTTTTTCTTCTTGGAATACCTTGGAGGTGTGCATAGATGGAAACGGCGGTGGGTTGGTGGACCCGGTGTGGTCGTTGTAAGACATAGTTTTGAGCGATCAACTGGCCTCTACTCTCTCTCCTTGCGTTTACATCTGGTTTTACAATGCGAAAACTCTTTTTTTTCCTTCCCCGCCATCTGTCTTGTTCTTGTCCATATGTCGACTTTCAGCGCAGCATCTTTTCCTCTACCCATGTCTCCACCCTTCTCGCCAAATAGATAGTATCCTACACACGCGTTTTGTTTTCTTCTAATATGGTAATACACCCGACGTATAGCCCAGGATGGCTCACTTGTCAACAACCCCCACTGTACCTTTCTTACCGCCCCCCCACGCCCCCCCCCCCCACGCGGTGTGGAAAGCTTTGGCTTCATCGGAAAAGAAGAGTATGATACCCAACACCTGACTTTTGTTTTGTTTTATTCTTCTTTTGCTTTCGCTCAACATGTACATGGGTACAGCGCCTGGAGCTTGTTCACCCACCTTTTCCTTTGCTGTCATTGTACATGCAATCGTTTATCTTGTTGTTGCTGTTTGTATGTATATACTTTTCCTATGTTGTAGTGTATAGCTAGCTTAGATAATCCCCTCCTCCCAACCTTTCCTATGTCAGTCTCATTTGTTGCGATTAGAAGAAAAAAAAAAGGTTCTTTTTGCTCGCCATTGTTGTGCCTGCGGTATCTTAGAAATGAAAACTTTGGATATCCCTATCCATTCAGCCATTGCATAGCTCCATGTGTGTGTATGTATGTGTATGTATATATGTGTGTGTGCATGCGTTTGCGTTTGCGGCATCTGAAGAAGGCAACTATTTCTTGACTCATCATCGCATTGCGCAATACATTACCATGTTTGCCACCTGTATACGCAATCCATGTTTTTCTCTCGACCTTGTCATGTTCTGTGCTCGACCTCGTTATCTTCTTGCACTCGCCACGCGATCACACGGCCGCCCTCGAACCCTGACTGCGTTCCCCTTCTAGCAGTCAGCCAACGCATACGCGACACCGTGTCCATGTCCAAGTTCGCCCGGTACCACGTATAGTAAAACAAGGAATATCGCAATTCAGATACCTGACTCAGCTTCCTCGTCCTCATGGTGCACCTCCTGTCCACCACATGTGTACCTACCTACTCCCCTGCCACGCACACACGCACACAAACGTCTCTCGACCTTCCTTCCTTTCCATGCTATCCCTGCCCAACCTGTACTAACCCACGGTACCGGCGCGGGGATATCTCGGGACCTAAAGGATCTGGTCAATGTGAAACAAAAGGGGGCGGGGACGTTGTACAAGGTGATTCCTCGTAGTTACTTGGGTTTTCGCTTTCCCTTCCGATCGATTAGATGGATGGATGGGCTGGTATGCGCGTGTGCGGCGCCGATGGCGTCGTGATGTGCCTTGCCGCTCCGCTTGCTCCCGCTTCGATACCAAAGGGGGTTGGGTTGACATTTTGGGGTTCACACGACAGGTGGGCTATGCCTTTCGCTCTTTTGTTAGTGGTGTGGATATGCGGTAGGATGAGTGAATGACCGAATGTGAAGATTTTGACTTGAAGATATGATTTTTACCGAATTATTTGACTAGCAGTTTGTACTGTACTGTACGTAGTCATATTTCTATCGTGACATATCTATCAAACGCCCAACCCAATGCCCATGCATGCCGATGATAGTGATAGTAACGAGGACAATAAGAAAGAAAAAAGGAGAGTGCTACTACCATCCACCTCCTACGGTAACAGCTAGGCCAGCGACTCTTTCCATATCACTTTGCTTCTTCTTCCCAACATTGCTCTCGACCTTGATGTAGGACGTGTAGATCAGTTTCTGTTGATCTACGCCCGTGATACTCGACCAATGTGCTATGACATCCTTGATACGGGATCTCAATATGCCATCTACGATATCTTGATCGGCTTGGCCACTTGTAGTGACAGGCTTAGTGCCCCGATCTTCGACACTGTTGGTCTTTTCGTCTTCTTCTGAATCCGTGCCCGAAAAGTAGGCATCGTCGACCCTTGCCAGCCACTCTTTCTGCTCTTTGGGCCCGGGTTTTGGTACGGGTGCATCTTCATTCGCTTGTTGGATGCCTTCGTAGACGCGCACTTCTTCCACTTCTTGAACCTTGACTTGTCCACCGCCGTTTGTGCACCCGCCGGGACAAGCCATGACTTCCACATAGGCATAGTTCTTTACGCCTTCGCCTATAGCCGCACCGGCCCCTCCCGGCCTTCTACTAACACCCGTTTTGCCACCGGGTAGCCGACTAGCCTTTGCAGGCTTCAGTCGCCGTACCAAGTTCTGGATATTCCGGAATCCGTAAAAGCGCGCCGCCTTGATTATGGTTTCAGAGTCACGCACGACCGAATATTCGACCACGTCCGCATTCCGCCCTCTCGCCACAGATATCGTCGATCCCGGGTTCTGCGCTTGGTACGTTTGTAGTATGTGATATAGGTATCCGCCAGAGGGTCCGGCGAGTGCGCTTTGGTTCTTCCGACGTGATGGAGGGAAAAGGAAAGCATCGAGCTTTGAGTCGGGAAATGGCGTTCGGTCCGCCGAAGGGAGCGATGTTCGGGGAAGACTAGCAAAGTTGATACCGCGGGCGGCAGCAAGATGTAGTAGTTCTCGAGCCGTAATCACACAGTCTGTGTCTCGTATTTTTTCTTGCGTTGAGTCGTGGCTGGGTAGCCAGGCGGCAGACGTAAGCTCGCCGCGACTCGCTTCAAGCTTCTTGTCGAAGCACGGCATAATTGCGAGATGCCATATCTGCGACGGGGGTACGTTGTAGCGTTCGCTGAGAACCGACTTGATCAAGGTGCCAGTAAGCGCCTGGGGAGACTTGAGACGCGAGAGGTGTGGTAGAACATATGGATGTGTCTTTTCGGCGTAGCATATCCAGCCTGGGCACGCCGATGTGAGGATGGGTGCTTTCGGCGTGATATCGATTGCGCCCTCGGACCCGGGCTTTGGCGACGCCTTGGCTGCTTCGAGGGCCAGCGCTTTCGTGACTTCGTCTGCTGCTGCAACAAGGCAGGCTTCGCGCATGGCATTGGTGTCGATGACCCAAATAAAGTCGCTTCCCTGCTGTCCCCCATCCCTCAAGCCAGAGGGTCCGCTAAGGAGCTGCGAGATCATGTTTCCAGCCTCTGCCTCGGAGACATTGAAGACGGCTGCGAGACTCGCGCGCGCCTGCGGTGAGACGCTCGCCACAAACAGCTTTCCCTCAGCATGACTTCCCTTCACACCGTTAGTTGCACCGTTAGTCGTATTTCCGTTCACGACCCCGTTGTTCCCGCTGGGTGCCAGCCATGGTGCGCGCAATGACGGATGTGTATCCAGCGTGCTAAGGACTTCGGTATGCGATTGCAGTGACACCAAGACTGCTTCCGCACTAGTCACGCATCCGGAACATGCGAGACAATCTGTAAGCGATATCGAGGCAGGCGGTGGCGGTTCCGAGGCAGCGGCCTTCTCTTCGGTGGTGACCTCGTAAGCATTCTAGCAATTGTTAGTATTAGCCGCAGATAGCGCAATGCCAGGGAGAGTCATACTGCATTCTCTGTTTGCTGTACAGGTATTGTTTCTATGGGCTTTATACACGCGACACCAGGAGATATGAAGTCATTCAAGTCATCGGCCGAAAGAATGGCGCTCATATTGCCGCGTAGCGGGGGAGGGGTATTGCGATGCGATTTGAGAAAACAGAGTTCAAAGAGAACGATAGAGATTGGAACACCGTCCTATGCAGAAGCAAAACCTGTGCGACACCAGAAAGAGAAAGAACGCAGTCAAATACAAAAGTCCAAAATCTCGTCCCGATGTCGCGGCGAAAGACCCTTTGCCGTCACGCAACCGTGGAGCGCGCCGGCCTATCGATAGGCTTGCATTTCCAAACCTTTCTGACAAACCACCTCCGCGGCCCATCGCCACATTATAACGCAATCACGCTGTCAATCTTCACGTGATAACCCGCCTTGGTCGCATTCAAGTTAGCTGCCGCTCTGCACGACTATAGGTACGGTAGTACTCTCTGCAGGGTTCCTACTATCCGGCAGTCTCATGTGCCCGCGCGACGGTCCCATAGACTGGCATATGCTTAGTGCTAGCGTCCAGCGAGTACCAAAGGAGTTGATGAATGTTTACGTAGTCGAGAGGCACACAAGCTTAGTCATACATGTGGAGAGACAAGCGTACGCCTCCTTTCAAATTAATATCATTCTAAATTCGATACGAGGATCAAACCTCTGTTAAGAAAAAACGTCTAAGAAAAGAAGAAAATCAACCGCATCGCGCCTCGCCTCGTCATTTACCATATGCTTCGAATGCCGTGCATCTTGTCCAGCAGAGAGTATCACAAAGATCAAACACCCAGTTATGCTTGCCCCATTCCTCCTCTTCCAACTATGCAACAAAACAAACGAACGAACACTGCAAAAGGGAGCCATGAGTCTGTCCATGTGCCCCATAGACAACAATAACATCGCAAAAACGCGTAAAAGATAGAACAAGCTTCATGCTAACTAATACAAACTTTATAGTGCCAGAATTGAACCTTGTAAAAAGAGCCCGAATAAAGGAGAAACAGGTCGTGTAATGTTGTGGTGCTCTATAGCTCTGAACACACTATTGCCATAATCTTATCGATCTGCAATTCTATTGGTCACTGCTACTATTCTCCACGCCGTTGGTCCCGTTCGTCAGCGAGTGAAATTTATCTGGCCTGGGGCTTGATTTCTTGATTGGGGGATCCAGAATCGTAGGACTGGACAGGGGCTCCAAGCTCCTAACAGGAGGAAAGATGGGTGTCTCGGACATTTGATGGCTGGACACTGGTCGCATGCCGTCGTGTTTTGATGGTGCTGGAATAGGGTCTGGCAACATACGAGCTGGCATTTGTGCTGATGGGGAGGGGACTATTCTCATCGGTGCTGGTGCTGGCGCTGGCGATGACATGTGTGCAGGCATGGGAGCCGGTGAGCTGTGTTTGGTGGGTGAAAAGGACGGTCGATGAGCTGAGCTCGGTGGAAAGGATGAATGCGGACTATTGAAGTTGAAGCTCGGCGGTAGGCCATGAGCTAGACGAGGTGAAGCAGCCGGCGAGTGTTTTACTGGAGAGCCACCCGGGCCTGCAGCTGATGCTGGTCGGCTGAAGCTTCGCGAATATGGCGCAGGTTGTGATGGTACAAAGTTGGAGCTGAATGGATTCGGTCCGCCGAACGAGCTACCATTTTGCTGCGGTTGCGGCATGTGGAAGCTCTTGTTTGGGCTGCTTGGGATTCGCTCTAGGTTGTATGGCGGGGGTGATGATGTAGGGTAACTGTTTCTAGGATTTTGGCTCGGAGACAGCGTGCGGGTTCGTATTGGCGACGACATGCTGCCGTTCGCACCCTTTGTTGGTGATCCGTACGCCGCCTCCGATCTTTGGATACCAGGTGGTCCAAGAGCTTGGCCGCGTGGGGATAGACTTGGGCCATCAGCCCATGGCTGAGCCGAGTGCGTGGACGGTTGATATGCTGGTATGTGTACCTGTTCAGGCCGGCGCGCCGGTACAGAAGGCTCTGCGCCGTTTTTCTGTACCTGGCTATTAGAGGACGGCGACTGTGATGTTATCCGCAACTTCAAAGACGGAAGTTTCTGCTGATCCACCTCTGCCTCCTTGCGTTTGCATGAAGTACAGACAAATACGAATTTTGAATCGTCGGCCTGTTCTTCTGTGATGCCGTGGCACTTCATGTGTTGCCAGACATTGCACTTCTCGCATGATATCTGAGGCGTATTGTCGTTCTGGGGAGGTCAGTGGGAGCATGGATGATTGATCAAGTAACATACCAGGTTGGAGCCGTACGTGCCACACTTTTCGCAGTCAAAGAACCAGTCCTCCTCTTCGTTCAGTCTCTTGAGATCGCTCTCGTGTTTCTTCATCATTGCCTTCAAGTGTCGCTCTGACAGCCTGGCGTTGTTCGACGCTAGCTTTTGTTCGTCCTCTTGTAGTCTACGCAGCTCCTCTTCCTTGAGTATTTTGGCCGTCTCACGCTCCTTGAGCCGCTGCTCGCGTGTCATCCTGCGGGAATCGTGCGCTTCCTCTAGTTTCTTCTGCTTTTCTTGCTCCGCTTTGGCCATTGCAAGCTCCTCTTGCCTCCTCCGTTCGGCTGCCTCAGCCTCCTCAACCTCCTTTTGCTTCTCGAGTCGCGAGGAAATGCGAGATGAGCGCTTGGCCATGGCTAGCTTCTGCATGTTCTCCAACTCCTTCATCTTGCGAGCCTGCTTCCTTGCCTGTTCCTCAGCCTGACTTTGCAACACGGGGATTACATCCTCCTGAAGGCGTTTGAGTAGGACCTTCTCGTTTGGGTCGCGACTCTTCCGGATAATGTTCATGTATTCCTGGTAGTCTTCCAACGTGACGCAGATGCATTCCCACTTTTTGCCTCCGAGACCGCTGTCAGCCTGCTGAGTCTCCTGCTCCGCCATCGCATGTTCCTCCTCAGCGGGCTCCTCTGGTTCGGGAGTGGAAATCTTTTGCCGCTTACTCGATCGTGATCCTTTTGATTTTTTCGGCTTCGGCTTCGACTTGGCTCTGACTGGCTCGGGTGGCGGCGGTGGGTCCGTAAGTCGATACATGCGGTTGTCGTCCAAGACGAAGAGCGACCTCTCCTGTGAATCCCAGCCTGTAGGCTCCATGCGCTACAGTACACTGTCAGCTATTGCCCGTGATTATTCTACACGCTACTCACCCAAAGCGTCTGCTCGCTGTCTGTTGCCGCCATCCTCTCCCTGATGGAGTTTGGGTTGTTCAACGTCCATACGGACAGCTGTTGTAGTACTCGTATCTTGGTAAAGACGTCGAGGTCGTAGAATTTGGCGGGCTCCTCTTCGGTCCCGAAGGGGTTCCGAGCAGGCGCTTTCGCAACATACTGGCGGCGGGTGTATTCATCGAATATCTCGAGCCTAAAATAACATTAGTATGTATGCGACATGCGCAATTGCGAAGACTCACGTCAAGCCTTTGTGTGACGACACATGCTTCAGCAGCGCTAGGCCAATCTGCGCCAGTTTCTCTGACGGCTGGGGCTTGAGGCATTCGGACTCCAACTCCTAGATATGGGTGAGTTGAGGTTGCATCTAGAGTGTGTATTGCGCGTCTTGTGACGCTCGGCGCAACCTGCACATACCTCGATGTCAAGGTCCTTGTCGATCTTCACAGCATCGCCGAACAGGCTGATGTACTGGGCAAGGTTCGCAAACTCCCACATATTGCGCAGCCTCTGTAGTGTGCTTGGCTCCTCGACGGCTACCTCCGTCTCCATTTCATCCGCGGCGCGCTTCCGAGACGGCATGGCTGCGATGCCTCGCGTGCGGCGACGCGTGTGAGGGAGATGCGGTCTCCAAGGGCCAGCGTCGACGTGTGGGGATATTATGTGTGTATTGAGATAGTGATACGGAAGGTCGTGGTCACGGGTTGGATTATGGGCGAGGCGGTGATGTGTTGAATGTGAGTAGTGAGGTTCATATGTCGCGTCCAAATTGTGGCTCTCCCGCGGATATCTGGGATGGCCTAAAGGGGTAAGTCTACACCTGCACAATGCAAGTCCAATCTTGAAAGGGGTCCACAAGCTACTAGTAGAGGCACGTTGTAAATGCTTGGACTTGCTTATTGCATGTATTGCTATATATTCTGCTCGTAAAAGCATCGCCATGAGGATGGGGTGGCTTCCAGCGACGACGTTTGCTGGACATGTGCACGTCTACCAAGCGATGGACTCGCAGCATGAAACAAAAACAAAACTCCAGAGCAGGTGGATGGAGCCCAATTTACACACATGCCACAGTCAGTACCTGGACGAGTATATGGCATGCGTGAATAAAATCGGTTGTGAAGATACACAGTGAGCAAACCATGTTCGTTTTCGGACATGTCCGCCGCGCAACTGCAAGCCTCAAGCCTCAAGCCTCAAGCCACGCAAGCGCAAGGACGCACGCGCCACACCTCTCCACACTGTGGCTCAGTAGAAGTGGCATGAGTGGCTCGTGTGGCGCAAGGGGCTCTCGCAGATTGCGTAGTAAGCTGTCAGCTTCGTTTCGGATCTCGTATAGCTCACTGTTTTAGTTTCTTGGGTCCTGTATCATCGACATGGACGCGACTGACGTGCAATGCCAGTCGTGTACATGGCAGCCCAAAGATGTTTGTCGTGGGCTTGTAGTAGCTAGTTCGATAGTACATGCACGACATGCAACTAAATATAATTCAAGCGGTTCCTGGACGTCTGCGGAGTTCAGCCCTAGCCTAACCGTCTTCGTGTGCCCTCTTCTCGTCGCTGACCGGGGCTGACCCCGGTTTAATGTGGCTTTCTGAGGACTGTGGGTGTGCGCATCCAAGGCCGTCCCGCTCTTCTTCACTTGTTCATTCACCATCGCTTTCCTAAATACTCGACACGCGTCCTTTGATTCCTGCGCTGAGCGTACATATCCCGCTACCGCCTTTGGTCTCGCATTTGCCCGCTCCGACACCGACACTCGCTTCTTTTGATCTCCATCTTGCATGTACGCGCGATAACGAATAGTTGGGGTTGATGCCGAGTTGAGCGCCGCACTCGCACCCAGGACGCCCCGATGTCCTACCAAGATGCCAATCATGGCCGGAGCCAGAGCCACCAGTCAATACCTCTGCAAGATCTCAATCGCCCACCAGACGAAAGCGACCCGGATGCGCCGCAGCACAGGCGGACCCTCAGTAACCGCGGCCGCAACCTGCTTAGACAGACGGGCGCCATGGCGACAGGAGGACACTTTCGAGACTCGCAGTACTCTCCCATTGCAGAGGTGTCGCCCAGCCCCACGCGACATGCGCACCCCCCGCAGATAAACACCAATGTTCCCCCGGTGGGCAGTGGCATACGGAGCGTGGAAGAGGATGCGGGTTCGCCTTTGGATGCAGGCGCATTCCAGGCGGCCATAGGCTTTGGCATGAGCATGGATTTCCAGGGCGAGACATCACCACCGATAGCAACCCAGGCCTCGTCACATTTATCCTACATCCCATACGAGCATGGACACGAACACCCTCTTGAGCCCTATGCTGACAGAGCAACCTCGGAAGACCACGGTTACTTCTCTCCCACCTACGACGATACCGCCCGCCTGACAGATCCGCAACACCTCCAGCCCATGAGCGGGGCTACAGCTCCTTCCACCCCGGTCGAGCAGCAAGACCGATCGAGCTTCCAGAGTGTGCGCTTTCTCAGTCCGGGTCATGCCTCATCAGGAGCACGCCTTGGCGACGATATTGGCCAGGTTGAGGCTGCGACTGGCAACCTGCGAGACTCTAGAGGAAGGAACCGATCTTTGTCACCTGGCCAGTTCGAATCGCCTCTACATCGAGCTGGGACCATTATGCGGAACATATCACAGCGTGTCGTCAACGTCAGTAACGATTCCCAAGTTGCCGAGAGAACTATTCGAAGAAAGTCGACTGTACACCACGCACGTCTAACCGCACCACCTGCCTTTCCATCACTTCCGGAATATGCCGCCGATGGCCCTACTTCGCCTGCTCCATCCACACCAACCGAGAAGCCGCCCTCGCCTGTGGTTTATCAGAACAGGCCAAGCGCACTATGGCAGCGCCCGCCAAATCCCTTGCGAGGCAAAAGTCTGGGCATCTTTCCTGCCGATAGCAAGCTGAGAATCAAACTCTGCGACCTCCTCGTACATCCAGTCACCGAGCCCTTTCTTCTCATGCTAATCATCATCCAAACGGTACTCCTAGCGGTTGATGCGCGTACAACAGCCCCGTACGATCCCAGACGGAGCAAGACAATCGATACATTCAGTGCCATTGACTACGCTCTGCTAGGTCTTTTCACCATCTATACGTTGGAGGTCATTGTTCGTATTATCGTCTCTGGCTTCATCATCAATCCAGTCGAATACAGCACTATCAATCGACAAGTGGGCCTACGGGAAGCGCTCAAGAGCAAAGCAAACCAGCTGTTTGGCGGTCTGCAGCGACAACCTTCACAAAGAAAAAGCGGTAGCAACACTGACCCAATTCAACAACAGCCATCGGTAATGCGAACCTTGACCACCGCACAGATGAATCCAGATTTCACCACAAACGATCCACGGCAACTGCAGCGGGCTCGCTTGGCACATAGAGCCTATCTCAGGCATTCCTTCAATCGGACTGATTTCGTTGCCGTGGTCTCATACTGGGTCGCTTTTCTTTTGGGTATGCGAGATGCGCAGAATAGCCGCGTCATTCTCGTTTTCGAGATGCTGAGCTGTCTGCGAATCATCCGTCTTTTAAATCTCACCAGTGGTACCTCCGTGAGTCCAGATTCTCCCCCGCATAGCTACATACTGACGCTCTCCTAGGTCATTCTTCGGAGTCTAAAGAAAGCTGCGCCTTTGCTGGTTAATGTCGCATTTCTCATTGGCTTCTTCTGGCTTCTTTTTTCCATCGTCGGTGTCCAGAGCTTCAAGTCGAGTCTTAGGAGAACCTGCGTATGGAGAGATCCCAATGGGAATGAAGACTTCAACAACGCCGATCAGTTTTGTGGTGGCCACCTACTCAACATCGACGGCATCCATCCAACAGGTTACATACCTGCTCCAGGCATGCCTGCAGGTCCACCGGAGGGCAAAGGCTTTCTGTGCCCAAAGGGTTCGGAGTGCGTTGAAAGCACCAACCCGAACAACGATACGCAAAGCTTTGATAACATTCTCCAGTCCCTTGAGCTGGTTTTTGTCATCATGTCATCCAACACCTGGTCTAGCTTGCTTTACACCGTGGCGGACACCGACTACCTCGTCAGCTCCATTTTCTTCATTGTAGGGATACTGGTCTTGAGTTTGTGGCTCATATCTCTACTAATCGCGGTCATCACTTCCTCTTTTCAAATCATCCGCGAAGAGAGCAAGACAAGTGCATTTACCGGAGAAGAGATCAAGGAGGAAGACACAGAGGACAGCGGAGAAAAACAACGCGTGAGCAGTCTTAAACGCTGGTATGACAAGACGTTGTGGCTATGGGTGTCTGTGATATCTTTTGGGCTCGTTTCTCAGATGATGAGAAGCTCGAACATGAGCGATTTCCGTCAATTTTTCATCAACTCGGCAGAAAGCATCGTTACTCTCATACTGTTCGTGGAGATCATCATACGGCTCATTGTTGATTGGAGACACTTCTTCAGGAGCAAGCGCAACGTTACCGACCTTGCGCTTGCCATCATCACTGCCATCATACAAATCCCGGCTATCAAAGAGGCACACAATGGAAAAGCGTACGCTTGGTTGTCCATCTTCCAGATCATTCGGGTTTACCGTGTTGTGCTGGCTGTTCCGATGACGCGAGACCTTATTGTAAGTGCTGTTCGCCGCTATTTGGACCATCTGAACTAACAAATATCAAGATGATAGTCTTCGGCAATGCAGGCGGTCTACTGAACCTGATTCTCTTTGTGTTTTTGTTAACTTTCCTGGCTTCCATCTTTGCTTCACAGCTCTTCCGAGGAGAAATTCCAGAGCAAAATGATGGGGAGGACACACGTGTGCCCTTTTTCAACATCTACAACTCCTTCTTGGGAATGTACCAAATCTTTTCCAGCGAGAACTGGACTACTATCCTATACAGTGTTACTAGTGCGCAGAAGGAGTTCGGCACAGCCTGGATAGGAGCATCTTTCTGCGTCATGTGGTTCATCTTTGCTAATCGTAAGTCGCAATATTGATAGTCTACTTCTGATTTGTCATCACAGACTAATACCTTTGTAGTCATTGTCTTGAACATGTTTATTGCCGTCATCCAGGAGAACTTTGATGTTTCCGAAGATGAGAAGCGTCTACAACAAGTCAAAGCGTTTCTTCAGCAAAAGGAAGATGGCCTGACATCGTCCACTGGCAACCTATCTCTGTCGTCTATCTTTAAACTCGGACAAGCGCGTCGTAGAGATCCACTAGACTATGGCCATGCCGCCACCGAAATGCTACTCAAAGACGCGGTTGTCCGTGACTTCCTCGATGAGGGCAATGGCAATCACGGTCCAGCAGAAGATGATCCTCGACCGGGCATTCATCCGGCGAAGACCGTAGTAGGATCTGGCCTCATGTCCACTTGGTGGCAACGATTCTTGCGCCGGATCGTCCACCGGGAACCAAACCCCTTTTACGCTCCCTTGGATTTCGGCCGTGCGTATGAGGACCTGGATCCCCGAAGAATGGCGAAAGAGGTTGTTTCAGCTACGGAAAGACGAAAAAAGGCTCAACGAGAGTATCTTCGAAACCATCCCAACTACAACGTCTCTCTGTTCATGTTCAAAGTCCACAATCCGATACGCAAACTATGCCAGCGCGTTGTAGGCCCCGGCCGGGGTGGTGACCGCATCGAAGGAGTCGCGCCATCCGTTCCCATCTGGTATGCATTCTCGGCATTCATCTACGCGGCGATCATTGCCATGGTACTGTTAGCATGCATTACCACGCCACTTTATCAGCGACAGTACTTCATGACCCACGCATTCAGCGTGAAGAACTGGTTTGTATGGGTAGATATGGGTTTTGCCGTTCTCTTCACCATCGAGGCACTAATTAAGGTTATTGCCGATGGCTTCTTCTGGACACCCAACGCCTACTTCCGTGGTTCCTGGGGATTCATTGATGGCGTTGTGTTGATCACCCTTTGGATCAACGTTGGCACGTCCTTCATGAACGAAGGTCAAGTCACTCGGACTGTGGGTGCCTTCAAAGCATTGAGAGCTCTTCGCTTGCTCAACATCAGCGATAGTGCACGCGACCACTTCCACTCGCTCATCGTCCGCGGATGGTGGAAACTATTCTCGGCCGCGTTCGTCTCACTGAGTTTGCTGATTCCATTTGCCATCTACGGACTAAATCTTTTTGTTGGTCAGCTGCAGACTTGCAACGACGGCAGTTATCCTGCAGGTGCTGACCTTAGCAACTGCGTGGGGGAGTACGACAGCAGCCCTTTCAACTGGAATGTGCTGGCCCCACGCCAAGTTTCTAATCCCTACTACGATTTTGACAACTTCGGAGACTCTCTCTTCATATTGTTCCAGATTGTATCTCAAGAAGGCTGGACAGACTGTATGTGGTCTGCAATGAGCATCACGGGGGTATTCACGCAGCCAGAGCCCAGGCAATCGCTGGGCAACGCTGTTTACTTCATCATCTTCAATTTGCTCGGCGCGGTCTTTGTGCTTACCCTGTTCGTTTCTGTCTTTATGCGCAACTACACTGAACAGACAGGGGTTGCCTTCCTTACGACCGACCAGCGTTCTTGGCTAGAATTGCGGAAACTCCTTCGTCAAGTCTCCCCATCAAAGCGCCCATCATCAACCAAACAGAGGGAGAGTTGGGAAGAGTGGTGTTATCGGAGAGCTGTTACCAAGACCGGATATTGGCACAAATTCATCACGGGTGTCTTGATACTACATCTCGTGCTACTTTGTTTGGAATGGTACCCAGGCTACGGTCCATGGGAGACTGCGCGAGGTATGTATCGTGTCAGCAATCTTTGTACTGCCAACTAACATATCTAGACTACATATTCCTTGCGCTTACCATAACTTTCATTGCGAATGTGGTCATTCGAATCATCGGTCTCTCCTGGCATCGGTTCCGAAAGAGCGCCTGGGACATGTTTTCGATCTTCGCCGTGACAGGAACCTTTGTCACATCAATTCTTGTGTTGTCCAAAGGGAAGGCTAATGGGCGAGTCTTTGTCCAGCTTCACAAGCTCTGTCTTGTCTCGATTGCATTCTTGCTCATTCCCCGGAACAACCAGCTTGATCAGCTATTCAAGACTGCCGCAGCAAGTTTAGCAGCCATTGCCAACCTCCTTGCTACATGGTTTGTCCTGTTCCTGGTGTACGCCATCGCGCTCACACAAACCTTTGGTCTCACCCGATTTGGAGCCAACGAAACCGACAACATCAATTTCCGAACGGTACCCAAAGCTCTCATCTTCTTGTTTACCATGAGTGGCGGTGAGGGGTGGAACCAATTCATGGAGGACTTCGCCAACGTCGATAAACCCTATTGCACGGTAGGAGATGGCAAGTACTTCAACAGCGACTGCGGCAGTCCCGAGTGGGCACGAGCTCTCTTCATTACATGGAACATTCTGAGCATGTACATCTTTGTCAACTTGTTTGTCTCGTTGATATACGAGAGTTTCAGTTATGTATATCAACGAAGCAGTGGGCTATCTGTCATTAGCCGAGAAGAGATTCGTCGGTTCAAACAAGCTTGGGCAGAGTTTGACCCTAACGGGAGTGGGTACATCTCGAGAGATGTTTTCCCGAGGCTCCTCGGGGAACTGTCTGGCATTTTCGAGATGCGTATCTACGATGGTGACTTCACCATTGGTTCGCTGATTGAAGAATGCTCCGTAACAAGCCGAAGGGAGTCAAATCTCCCGGTGCCAGGCCGCGAACCGACCAAGGAGATCGACATTGATAAACTCAACCGTCGCCTGTCGCAGCTACCGATTAGCGAAATACGTCGCAGACGAGCACGCATGAATACGTTCTATGAGGAGGTGCTTGTGTCAAGCGACCCAGATAGAGGCATCCAGTTCTCTTCACTGCTGATGATCTTGGCTCACCACAAGGTCATCAACGACAACAAGAGCTTGAGGTATGTAGCACACGTCAATGAAAGTATGGAGTTTACTAACATTGTCACAGACTGGAAGAGTTCTTGAGGCGCAGAGCTCGCCTACAACGTGTCGAAGAAGCCGTTCGGCGCAACGTAGTTGTGGGGTTCTTCGATACACTGTACTGGGCGCGACGTTTCCGTCGAGCCATGGAGCTCAAGAAACAAGGGCGTATGGCAACAGTGCCTCAATTTACGGTCCCTGAGATCTTCATCGACGACGAAGACATTACGAATGCCAAACGGGGCCAATCTCCTGCAATGGGAAGCCCGCTTTTCTCACCACAGGACCTGTACCTCCCATCGCCACGTAGTTCTCTGGAGCAAGGCAGGAGCCGAACAAACTCGATCGCGCAAAGGCCAAGCAGAACAAACTCGATTCAACAAACACCGACAGGGTCACCTACACGGGGAAGCCTCCAGCCATCGCCGTTTTCATTGTCAGGCGAGCAAGACTGGCAGTTTGCGTCGGCACTTAGTCGGCCGCCCAGCCCACTCGAAGTTGACAGCGGGCAGGTGGACAATCGCAGCCGTGCAAATAGCGCAGTCAGTGCGGCAGATGTTTTAGAAGTGCTCGACAACTCTGCATGGGGAGAGTCGATAAGGAGGAGTTTCACACAACGGAGGCGCAGTTAGCGTCGGTTCGAGAAGATGCAAATTGGGGACGGTCCATGAAGGATTTCATGCGCTTATATGGGAACTGGATGGGCAGGAGCGGGTTCTGTCGATCAGGAAGAAGGAATATGAATATGTGATTGGCTAGTGGGTAGAAACCTGGCCAGGGGGCCTCGGGGTCGACGAGGCGAAGACTGTTGCATAAACGTCTGGAATGAGTGGAAACGTGTGCAGCCGGCATCAACCCGACCGGCACTAGCTCAATTGCGGGTCGGGGGGGGCGAGACTACGATGAAGGGGGAATGGGATGGGGGATTGGATCGTGTTTATACTGGTGTAATGGTGGGTGGTGTAGGTATACTTTGGGGCCATGGCATTGCATAGCGGCGGCGTTGAGCGATTGAGCGAAACGGCTTAGACATTACCTATTCACATGAATGCTTCATCATTTCTTAGTACGTCTTATTCTTAGCGAAGAAGCATGACAGTGACAGAAAATGCCCGACATGTCCGAGCACGTGGCGGCGTACTTGCCGGAAAAAGAGCATGTGTTGGAAGGGTAAAGGGCAGAGGGTAGGCTCACATCTCTGACAAAAGCCGTGGCCAGGACAGATGCGATGATGGGCATTTGCAGTAGGGCAGCAGGTAAGCATGGCAGAGAGGATGCGCTAACAGCTTGGGTGACACACGCGTACCATACTAAGTGAATACTTGGATCAGCACGTGCATGACGCAGCTGCTGGGCTAGACTATCGACGACATGGTGGCCGTGGCTTTGCTTACATTGGAGGGGCAGCTGCCATGTCAGGTGTAATGTAATGTGTGGACTACACACATTCTCTCTCGTTGTTATCAGCGAACTCAACTCAACTCAACTCAACTCAACTCAACTCAACTCAACTCAACTCAACAGTACGCAGCTGCGCAGTGTGTAGCTGAAACGCAGACTCGATCTGTCTACCGATGCAGGAGGCGGCTGTAGCTAGGGCGAGTTTCCAATTCCCCGCACGCCTCTCTGGAAACAGCAGACAGCGTCTTCGCGAGCACACTACTGCTAGACGACTTCCAGCCCGGCAGCCACCACCTCTGGTACGCTAGACATGAAGCCGCCACCTCCCGCCTAAGTCATCCTCTCTGGCGGTAGCAGCACAGTCCGGACTGCAGTCGTGGAGCGACGGATGCGTCTGAAACGCTGGACCGCCGTCAGACAGGTCGGGACAAGTCGGCCTATTCTGCTTGTAGCCACGCTCGCCGGTCGCAGCCTGTTGCGTCACACGCGCAGTACTCCGTCTCGAGACAGACAGCCGGCATTATCACGATGCGGAGACACTGCAGGTTGCATCTACTGACAGACGGGCTTGTTATAGGCTGGTCCAGCTCTGCCACCACGGCATGCTCAGGGTCATCACGTCTGACCTCGCCCAAGACGGTGCAGTCTGGCCGGTCAAGACGTGTGTCTTCAACAGCACTTGATGGCTGCTCGAGGCTCCTGGATCATGATGCAGCAGCAGCAGCAGCAGCACGCCAGTGGGTGTATACGAGAGCAAGCGCACATGCCCATGCTGGCAGCACCGTCTTGTGCACCAGCCGCCATCGTCATGTGTGCAGAGCGCGTCGCGTGTCCAAAGACAACAACAACAAAAAACAAAGACATTCAGTAGCACTTGACTCAAGCAAGAATAGCAACCCAGCCTTTCCAATCACTATGAAGCCACCAACGGCTCACTAGCCACGATGCTCCATGTCTAGAGAGGATAATGCCGTCGATAGACATCATCACCTCACTTACTGTAAGTACTATCGATTGCATGCTCGAGGAAATGAAGAAAAGCAATCATTCCGCGGCATTATCGCCGCCCTGCTCTCCCGCTCGCTTGTTTCCAGACGGCCGATCAAACAGGGCAGGCCCCCTCCTCTTCACGCCTTCCCGACAGGGATGCGCGCGGTCCCGCGCCCGACAAGGTTTTGGTTCTGGGACGTAACACGCACTGGCAAAGCACATGCGATACGCAGCTTAAACATCGCCCATCCGCAGCTCTTTTTTTTTTCTTTTCTCTTCCTCAAGAGCTGGATACTTCTTCCTCACATACCTTCGTTCCTTGTCCCGTGCCCAGTGCTTGCTCGCCTTCTCACAATATACTTAACTTGACCAGAGTTGACCTCCCTTGGCCATTTGCATAAATCCGAAGCTGGTCTATACGAAACCTTGTTGCACTGAGCCTCGTCACCAGTCGCCCGTTACACGTCATCCCTTGTGATTCGCGAGTCGATCCGCTATCCGATACCGTGGTTTTATTACTACCCCCCTTACTATCTGCCTTGCATTGTCGCCGACAGTTGCACCTATCTATACCGACCCTCCTCGACAAACTTCGCACGCTTGTCACCTCCACCTCATTATTGCTTGAGAACAGCAATCACTCCACAAACTCAGACTTAATCAACTACCAAATCACCCCACGGGAATCCCGCCTTCACCACCAAGATGCCTTCATCAACCCGCACCAACCGTTTCCAATCCTTCACCCCTCTCCGCAGCACATCCGGCTCTCTCCGCCGCCTCAAGACGGCCTTCAGCCCTACCCGCAACTCGATGCGCTCGGCATCACCTTCTTCCATTATGACGACATCAACCACAGAGCCTCTGACGCGCAACTCATCGCCTCACAGCCACCGCAGCGCCAGCTCCGACTCGTCGTCCATCAGCCAAATGCTCGCCATGCATCACAAGCCCAGCGTCCTCGAGTTTGAAATGCAAGAGGAAAAGGACCTGTTCGAGCAAGGCCTCAATGTCCTCGAGCCGCGACCCAGTCTGAGCCGTGGCGCGAGTGAAGTGCACGTCGTGGGCATCTTCGAGGTCCTAGATGGCAAGTGCTAGATGCATGCATGTCTACTTTGGTTTACCACTCTCGATTGATGCTGGTTTTGGGGTTTATGTTACATGCGGCTATGCCCTCTCATCTTTTTGCGAATGATTGGTGTCTTGGGTCTACCTGCTTGCTTGCTTGCTCATTCACTTCTACACTTTCTACACTTTTCTTCAAAACTTTCATATAGGGGGAAGACTATTTTTTTTACCGGCAACGGGCGGATTGGCGTTTTTAAACCTGCGCCCCCATCCCACCGACAAGGGAGGGGAGCTAACGATGGCGCGTGTTTGTGTCTGCGTGTGTGTTTCCTTGTACACATTTTTCTTTTTCAGTTTGCACGACCATCATAAAGGACGTTGGAATATTACGGCCTTTATATGCACCTGATTGGACTGGAACTCTGGAACAGGGGGATTGATGGATTGATCATCTTCTTTATCACGCTGAGATGTGGATATGAATAGACTGCTTGCTTATACGACTTTCTCCCTTTCGTGCTACACACTGTAATGTTAATGCAACTAACAGTACTTCCTACAGGATACATGTGTTTTCATCAACAGGACACATGTGATTAATCTCCTTGTTTTCCATCATTACAGAGAAAAGGACACGTGTTTCCTACAAAGTGTGACGTTGAGCTTCTAAAACACGTATGCTTCCTCCATCTCTACACATCTAAATAGACGAGAAATAGAAATTTAAAACGCCTACAAAATGCATCGTTTATCCAGAAAATTGAAATATCCTACCAATACACACGACACCAAGGTTGAAGCCCTCGTCGCTTAATGTATTCCATTAACCTCCATGGGCATACTCAACGACTCCAACTCCTCCTTCCGCCTACGATACAAATCTTGTGCCTCCCTTTCCCTCTTGTTCACAAATTGAACCTCTTGTCTCAGACTAGCCAGGCGTTTGGCAATGGCATCTTCTTCGCTATATAGGGCCGTGCGCGCCGTAACAAGGTCGTTCCTGCTCCTCTCCAGGGCGGCAAAGGCACCACCGATTTTGTCGCGGAGAAGGGCAGAGCGCTTCATGTAGCCGGCGTGGTGGGTAGCGAGGCGCTTTTCAATCTTGTTTGCGCGCTGAGCGGCGTCAATAATAGATTCCTGCGCTTGGTCAAAGGCTTGGACAAGGAGTTGGTGCTGATCGATTTCGTCGTCATCGTCGGTGTAGCCGGCGATGCCGGGAAGCATTGTTGTGCATGTGTTGTGGAGCGTGGACCAGGCAGTGTTCAGGTCAGAGAAGAAGGTCCTCTTGTCCTTGTCTTTTGTCATGCCGAGTTCGAGGGCAACTTCCATTTTGGCGCTTCGGAGGGCTGAGTCTGACATTACTTCTACGCGCTGTGTAGTGCCTGTTACGCGGCCGTTGCCAAAGTTCTTAACGTCGTTTGCGATGAGCTTGGCCATTTCGGTTTCGATTTCACGCTCGATGGGGTCCGAAAGGTCTAGCGCTCGCTTCATCATGGCGTCGATATCGACAAGTGATGGTCTTGGGAGGAACTTTTGCACCACCTGGGTCTGCCGACCAAACTCTGCCGCCTCCTGTGCCTCCCGCACTTCTCGAGCTCTCCGGTCCCGCTCAGCAGCATCTTCCTCGCTAATTTCGATTTCCATGTCTTCTGCTTGCTCTTCTGGCAGCTCAAACTCCCAGCTCTCTTCCTTTGGTTTTGGCAGTGCCGCAAGTCTGCTCTTCAAGTCTTGTCGCTTCGCTTGCTCCCGTAGCTTGATATCCCGGGGTGTTTGCCCAACAAGCTGCATGCTGCTGTCCTCTCCGTTCAGTCGCAGAGTGTCTCGAGGTGTCCGCATTGGTGTCGCTCCCGGTCCTTGACGCATGGGTGTAGCTCCCACTCCGCCGTTAGCCTGTCGAAATGGTGTTGCCATGGGATTTGGCGTTACAATCTGATGGCGTGAGACGGGACCAGACAGCGAAGCAGGTGCCTCGTCCTCGACAAAATCTGGGTTGTCTCCACCGAGTAAGGCAGACTGCGTCTCTGTTCGCATCCGAGCGTTTCGTACTTCGTTTGCGACAAAGTCTTCTTCTTTGGGTGCCATGGGTGTGCGAATGGGTGTGTTGCCAACAATGTTTGTATAGTTTCCGATCAGGCCCTGGGTTGCTATGTTGTCGCCGCCACCCGCCATGATTGCGCGTTGCCCAGTCGTACCCATCTTGACAATGTCTTCCAACTCAGCCTCCCCGACCTGCGGAGATGGAAGCACTAGAGCGCGCCGTTTGCTGCTCTGTTCTGCTTCTCGTATCTTCTGCGCTTGTGCCGCCTTAGCATAAGACGCTGCAAGACCTCCCGACTTCTCGTCCTTCTTCTTTTTCCTATCCCCTCCGCCGTCCTCCTGAGACTCCATCTTCCTCTTGTTTGCAAGCTGTTGCTTACGTGGGTCGAAGGCCTCTCGCTGTTTCTCGTTGCGATCGAGCTCTTCGGTCGTGTCGAAGAAGCCAGCTGGAACTTCCTTCTCGAGCGGTACGTCGGCGTTGTAATCGATATGGTTGCCCTTTTTCGGAGTGATCTTGATGTTTATGCCAGCTGCCTTTAGCTCTCGTCGCTTCTGGAGCAAAGCGAGTCTCCTCGATTCCTCTAGTTGTCGCTCACGGGCCTTCCGCTTGGCCTTCTTACCACTGACGTTTGCCAAACGCGCGCGTGCCTCACTGTTTGTCTTGGTTAGTACTGGTAGCTATGAAAGGGAGTCATGGACAATACATACGATAACATCTCCTTGTCGTCTTCCTGCATATCGATGGCATCCTGGTTCAAGTCAGTACGTCTTGCACACAGTTCATGTACGGTGGCTACGTACAGGGCGCGCCGGTCGACTCTCGGCGTAGGCGTCGACCTCGCCAGGGCGCAACCGCCGGACGTCTTCTGCTGATGGAGCAGCAGCCTCTCCACCTTCTGGGCCCGCCAGCCCGAGATCACCAGACTCCCTCGCTTCTTGTTCATCCAAGAGCTTCTGATAGCGCTCAAGACATTGCGTCGCAGTCCGTCCGACGATGGGCGCAATCGTTCTCCATTGCGTCGGGAGCAGTTTGGCCATGGTCAAGAGCTTCTCGTCATCCTCGCGAGACCATTCTGTCTTCTTGATGGACGGGTCCAACCAGCTGTCCCAGCGGGACTTGCATTGTTTCGCGCTCTTCTTGGAGAGTAGAGAGGCGCATCGTGACCACTGGTTCAGACCGTATTTGCTGATGGCAGCCTTGAGTACCTCGTCTTCGACGTTGGACCAGGAAGATGTGACGACCATTTTGGATGGCCTCGTGGGGTTGTGGCGGGATGGCGCGCGTCGATTAACTTGGGTTGATGAGTCCCTCGATCGCGAAACTGAGAAGTTCAAAGGGCCGCGGATACTAGCGCCTTGGCGGAGCCAGGTACCGTGCAGAACATGCAAAGGGAATGTTATAAGTGCGACTTGAAGCAAATGGAAGAGAACACATTCTTTGAATCTCTTGTGAGAAGAAACTGTTCTGTGGGTGGCTAGTCGGGGTTCTTTTGGTCCATGAGTATGCATTCACTTGCCCGTGAGCAACCACAGTCACGGTGACGTAACGAGTCAGATATACAGAAGACACTACTCTCCAAACTGCTGCCATACTCCGCAATCACCTATATCAACATGTCAATTTCACTTTCACGGCAAATATCTCGGACATCATCACCGCTGTCCCACTGCATACGACGTTCTCGAGCATGCATTCAATGCATCGCCCTTCCTTATAGGCATTACTCAGATGCAAGCTCAAAGTCCTCAGGTGCGGTGAAAGAGGTGAACCAGAAGTCAGACGAAAAAACCACAGAAGAAGCAAACCCCAGGAAAAAGACGCAAGCAGAGCTCGACGCCGAAGTCATGGCAAAGTTGCAGGGACATGACAGCGAAGGAGGCGCAGCTGGCATTGAGTACGAAGATGGAAAGCCAGCATCAATGAAAAGAAGTGTCAGGAACAACATGTTCAGATACATATGATCCGACTTATATGTTTAAATCGTGTTTGTTCGCTGTCGACTCAACAAGGTGTACAAAGGTATGCCATATTTGGAATGGACGTCTCTCTAATATACTAACATTATTGACAGCAAATCTCTTTTGCACATGGATGCGACGAATCTTGTCTGGAATGATTTCTAGCCTGCTATTTTTCTCTTGTAGAAATGAATGGTCCTCTTCGGCGGCCCAACATGCTCAGGGATCTTGTGAGGCAGAACGAGCAGCAAGCTAGCGTTGGCAGCCGAGTGCTTCCGATGGATCATATGTCAACTATGGATTATTTGCTACTACATTGGGATTTTTCTTATTATTTTTAATGACTCTCAATGCTTCTGGTCGCTACTTTACTAACATCTTCTTGGCCTGACAATGCTGCTGCTAGCAGCGTGTCTAATCATGCAGGTGAAGTACCGGTAAAGGACTAGAGAATAGCTTTGGCATCCTAGCAGACTCATTTGATGCACCGTTGACTTTACATTAGCTTATGATCTAATGCTTACTCGGTACTTGTTGTTCCGCACGTGTAGATACCTGCCGAGTTTTGCATTCCACGTGAACACGCGGAAATCGGCTAACCCAACATGTACTACCCTGCCCGGAGTTCTTGCCGCCTCACATAACGCTGACGCCATGTCAATATCATCTCTCTGCAACTGCTCTCAGGAATAACTTCTTGCAAGACACATAGATCCAACCATGAGCGGTAACACTAGACCGAAGAAAAAGCGAAGAGGAGGAACTCGAAGCAGAACAGGTATGTCCACGAATACTCATCGGCACGCCAAAACGGCTAATAAAATCAAGGCTGGTGCGTCTGCTATATTTGTTGTTCTTGCGTTCTACGTTCTGACAGTGTTGCCTTAGCACTACCTGCAAACGTCGACATACTCGCTGCGACGAGAAAAGGCCCGTTTGTGGAAACTGTGAGCGCCTGAACCTCGAATGCGAGCTGCCTGAGGACAATACATGGTTCGCTCTACATGTCGATGCAGGACACGAAGAACCCAACTATGATGCCCCGTCCCTTGTTGATGTCTTTAGACTACGCATGAATGATCTGGATCTTCCCGAGGATTCATCGTCAGGACAGACTTACATACCGGTGAATAGTATCTCACCATTGGAATCGGAATCCACAGGAGCAGGCAGTCAAAAAAGGAAGATACGATTGAACCCAGAAAGCGCTTTTCTCCTACAAACATACGTGCGGACAGTCGCTACCTGGATGGACATCTTCGATCATGGGAGTACGTATCAGCACAAAGTTCCGCAGCTAGTCTTCTCGTCACCACTTCTGTTTCATTGCGTTTGTGCCTTCACAGCGAATTACCTAGCTCTATCAAACTCGAGCCATGACCCTTCATGGGAAGTCACAGCCGTCAAGCATTATGGTGAAGCTTTGCGTCTACTAATCGAAGCATTGAGTATGTCGTCACACGAACATGCGCTAACCGCAAGTATGCTGCTGTTAAGCTATGAGATACATACAGCTCAGCGATCAGAGGACTATCGACGACACTTCTTGGGTTTGACGGTACTTATTAAATCCCGACATGTCACTGCACAGTCAAATGGAACCGATGTGGCCAACTTCTGGATTTACATCAGACATCAAATTGTGGTAGCAATGGCAAGCGAGCAGCCACTAATATTAGACCCTGCAGAATGGGAAGTATCCTGGAAAGAGGGCGAGATAAGAGAAGATGTACTTGGAAATCATGTCCTGTGGATATTAGCAAGGGTCATCAACCTCGTTTTTGGACCTGATGGCCTGACAGAAGCCGGGAAAGAGCAGCGCCAGGGTTTCTTGACTGAGATTGAAATTTGGCGAAAGGGACTTTCTGACACCTTTGTTGGTATTCCGTACGGAGATAAAGATAAGGACGGCTTTTGCAAAGTTTACTTCCCCGTCGCGGCCGCTGCTGCTGCAGCCTTCTGTACGCACATCCACGTTTACCTCTACATAACACAAGCTGAAGTCACAAGGGTATCACATAGTTCACATACTGCTATATGCAGAGCCAGTGCTCCAAGATGAAGCATATATCCCCTTGATCCAAGATCAAGCCATGCAGATCACTAATATAGCAATCTCTGATTTCCCACCGTCACTAATGGTCTTTTCGACGCATGGCCTATTTTATGGTATGTATTCTATCAAAATATGACAGTATGTCAGAGAGCTGATGCTATTGTGCTGTAGCCGCAAAACACATCCATGGAATTTCTCGCAAAGCACGCATCTGGAATATCTTGAATGAAGTTGAGAGGCAAACCGGCTACAACACAGGAACGACAGTGAAGCTTCTCCAAACACTGGTCGAGCAAGATGCTCAGCATCGATAAGCAAGCATCTCATAGCCATGACCGTATAGATTGGTACTGTTGGTTACTTTTATAGCTCCAGTACGTTGGTAACACCAGACACCTGACATCGGAACGAGCCGTCTTGCCGGCTGTGGGCTACCGCGGGAGCAAGAAAAGTAGGGAAGCGCTAGCCACGAACGAATGTATTGGCGGTCACCCTTCCCGAAATGTTATATCAGGGTCCGAGAATCTAGCCTATCATCTCGTTTGTCGTAACATGGCATTCAGCCACGACGTCACAAGTGCAGTATGCCAGCGCGTAAATCACGATTGCTGCTATCGATACTCTAGTTCTTGAACGTACGTAGTGTGTCTGTCATATTCGGATTTCCAGGGGATATTAATCGTTTCACATTAGCGATATTGTTCCTTATCAATAATGTCCTTTCCATCTTATCAACTGGTATTGGCATGGTTGACGGTGCGCCTTGCGCGAAGGCTTGTATACGGGCGGGACTTCGCCACCTGCACAGCCCACGTCCTGCATGCAGTGGCACGTGAACGATTAGGCAACAATAAAACTTGAATACCACTTTGCATATCCCATGTCTGAACAAGCGACTGGGCAGCGCAAATTTTGCGAGTCTATGGGAAGCTGTGGTAAAGGCTCGCATGAAAAGGTTCAGCTTTTTTCGCCACAGCATCCGTTTTATGTAGTAGCCACAAAACGTAGCTACCGTCCCTAGAAAATCTTCCAGCTTCTCCCAGCCCGTCGGAATAGATTTGTATATATTTGCCACTCCGATCGCGTATGGGAAGTCCACTCTAACTATTTTCTCCTAGTATGGCACCTCTTCTCAATTCCCAAGATGACCGTGCAGCTTTCCTTGATGCCTGCATCACAGAGCGCAGGCAGGTGTATGATGCCTGGGAGTCGCTTGGCCTGATCAGTCAAACGATAGACTGTCGCAAAGGCTATTTCATCAAGAATGAAGCCAATGAACTACAGGAAAAGATTGAGCAAATAGCGAAGTCGTTTGCTACATCTTATCATGCAGACCGGAGGCAACTACAGTATGACCTCGCCGAAGAAACAGTATTCGGAGAAGATGTGATGAGGCTTGGGCAACAGTATGGAGCAAGACTATGGGGTCGGTTAGAAGACGGCGAGATCCGCTCTTCTGGCGAGTCACAGGGACGAGGTATTGATGAGCACGACTGGGACGTCCTACATGACCGAAAAAAGTGAGTCTATAAGGAATTGGGCTGGTATAACCATAACTGACATGGTCGCAGCATTCTCTTCTTCATTCGCTGTTGGGTTATCAGCGTTGTGGTCAGAGAGTATAGAGCAAGTCCGCGCAAGACAAGAGGGAAAAGTCGCGCTCTGGAATCAGGGCCATCCGAGAACCACTACAACCGTAACGAAATTGCATACCTCTCCGACTCTGCCAGCTCGGAGACTACCAATGTGCCCTTCAGAGCGCCGGAACCACCACGCATGTTCGCGACCCCTGAACCACAAAGAGAGGCTCCGCTAGCGACTGATACTACTGGCAGGAGATTCAATGCATGTATCAATCCTAAAATTGCTATTACCGCTCCCACGTATTCCGACACTACAACACCGGGTAAGAGAAAAGCATCAAGCATACATGAACAGACGCCGGCTGGAAAGCTATCCAAGCCCTTGAAAGGCGTAAGAACGGTTCCAGTACACCCTCGAGAACGCCAAGATACATTCTCGATCCCAATTTCGCCTCCCCCACGTCCAGAGCGCTTGCTGTTCAAGACGCAAAGGCAACGAGAGAGTACGCATGACACAGATGCAACATGGATACCCCGAGAGACTACAGCTGAGACTGAGACAGTGGTTGGTGGTGACGAAGTGACTCCTGGGGAAGTAGGTGAGTATAGACTGAGAGTTTGTATTGAGGACCCTGGACACTCAAACTAATTCATATATAGATTCCATACTACAGTCTGCCATCGCTGGAGCAAATGAAGACAACATGCAGTATGAGTACCACAACCAATCTGCTGCTGGGCCATCAGGTACCTACCGAAACCCTCTTAGACAAGACTCCGTTATCCCGAACGATACACAGCAGCAGAATGGAACCGCGCAAGCTGATGTAGAGCGTACCGATGGGCAGGGCAACATCAGCAACAGCGCCATGAGCGGTGCGCTGAGCAACGCATTAGAAAGATCATTGATGACCCATCCATCAGACTCAGCAAGCTGGCAACAACGCAAGTATAGGCGAGAGCTCTTCAAGCTCCTAGTATCCTACCTCAACGGCATAGAACAGTTCAGCTCGGAAAATTACGACTTCACCGCAGAGGAGCGGATGAACTTTCTACTCAACCAATTCTGGGCCGGCGGCGACACGGAAGCCTTACATACCAAGCTCGGTAGCGACAACGCTACGCGTATACAAATCGCACTAGAGAGCTGGATGAACATGCGACACCGGTTGAGCGAGTTCCGCAGCGCAACCGGCTACTTTGGACGGCCTGGCGAGCAATGGACGCAGTTTCTCAGAAGTACGGACGATGCGCCTTGTGCGCAGGCTATGATTGCTTTTGTTGACCTCCAGGACTTTGTGGAGAGCGGAGATTGGAGATATGTTCGGGGTACGTTTGATGATGATCTGAAGACAGTGTTCAATTTCTTAACGAGAATCCCATGGTGTGACGGACCTGAGGCTTTTCGGGGGGTACGGAGGTTTAATGAAGCGTTGTTGGAGTGGTTTGGGGAGGAGGAAGGGTGATGTTCCTTGCTTTTGGGGCAAGACTAACGATTTCGACCTTCCTATTTATCATGTCTCTTGATTAGTTTAGTTCGATGAAATCCATCCCATTATTCTGTGGCGGGGCCTAGCATCCGGTAGTCCAAGGTAAATAGTACGTGATCTCCGATATGTATAACTATGTAAACAACGAAAGTGACATGGACTCACCATATGTTGTACTAAGACAGCGTTGCAAGACCTGGTGTCGCACGATCCTGGCGATTATTGAAGAAATTGCGATTACATAGTATCATCACCCTATACCATTGGGCGAAACTGGAACTGTGGCTATTTTCCCAATAATGCGCGACTTGGCTAGAGCTGTCTCTGTCATGTCGGTCGTGTCTCGGAAAGCGCGTCACCAAGGCGGAAACCTGAAAGGAAAGCGGGTCTTGGCACTTGCTACTGCCTGCGCTAAACAACTCACACCGACCCGTGGACCCTGGCTGACTTCAAGACCTCCACCGCACTATTACCATTTCTTCATTTTTAGCACCGTCATTTTGGATGAAACACTTTCCTATCGCTTAGCGGATGTTGACCGCTTCGTCGACTTGAGTAAGACATGCCCTCTACCCTAAACATCCCCTTCTATACCTAGGTAGCGACCAATACGATACCGTGCTGTGAGACCAGAACATGGGGAGATGGCTGATGCTGGACTCTCTACCTCATCCCTGTGGCTTTGTCGAGATCGAAGTGCAAGAATTACCCATTTGCGACTCGCGCCAAACACCCTTCCCCAGTTGATCCAGTCGCATATCGCGCTGTCGCGTCCTGGTGAACCAGCCCCATGAGTGCATCGACCTTTGGCGCAGCTACACAATTTGTCTACCTCTGTTGCCGAAATTCTGGTTAAGCGCCGAATCCGATCGACACCCCGACCCGTTCTTCCGACAAGACCCATCCAGGATACTGACGCCAACCAGAATGGACCCTTTCAGATATCGCAAGGCGTACGAGGCAATGGTACATACAACCCAACTGATAGAAGAACGCTTGAACCAAGACGTCGAACTCAACGAGGAACCTACTGCTCAGGATGACGCGCCACTAGTTGCTTTTCAAGAACAAGATCCCGATAGTATGGACTGGACACCTACAGAATCGTCTACTCCGCCCCCTGAATGCGGGCCGCCGCCGGCGCTATCCAAAAAGATGCGTCATCTTTTGCCTGCGCGTGGAGAAGGTGATCTTCAAGCCGAGGATCGAGGCGAAAATGCAGTGCTCCTGCACAAGCTGAAAGAGGGCAAGATCATGGATGAGTGTATCGATAAGCTGGTCCATGACTTGCCTGATGTGTTGAACTACCAAAAGTCGCTCTCCTTTACTCCGTCTACAATCGAAGTGCCCAAAGATTTTGGTTTACAGCTCAGCATTTCAATCAACCACCACCTCGCCCAGATAGAAGACCGCAAAGCGCTGGAGAAATACAGAAGGCTACTTGGGCACCGTAAAGATTCTGCAAAGAAGAAGTCTCTCAGGCTTGGGTTTGACCCTGTCGACCTCATTAAGAAGCAAGCTGTAGCCTTCGGGGAAGATGGACCTGAGCCGGTCTGTACGCTTGACACGGAGATACATCCTCTTTTCCGTCTGGAAAATTGGCACGGGTGTCCCGATGGGATATACGAAGTGCTAAAACCAGCTTTACAACTGGCTACCTTACTGTTGACATCCCGAGGAACTGCTCATTTCTGGCACACTCTGGTATTTGGTAAACGAGAGCCTTGCGAAAAGACGGCAGCAGCTTACGGACAGCCGTGCTTCCGGATCAAAGAAGACGTGGAATGGTCGGAGGAACGCCATGCAACTTTCAAGAGCTTCTTGGACAACCAGATCGACACGGTTCATTTCTACTTTCACCACGACCCTCTCCCACCGGAGACTGCGTATGCATCCATGGGACTCGTAAAGGACTACAAGAACGGCTTGATGCGCAAAATTAACCACAAGTGCCATACGAGTCGTATTTGCTTGCATTCGGACTTCTACACCACTGCCAAAAAGCTCAGTTTGCTACGATACCGAGAGCCAGCCATGGTACTGCGATACAATATGTTTCTTGCTACGTGTTTAGCGCATGAGGTTGCTCATTTCTGCGAGGTCTCTGGACCACACCATGATCATCCTCTCCTTTCCGAGCCGGAAGTCTTCTTTGGGGACAACATGTGGACCGAGAGCGGGATCTCCTTCGAACTCAAGATCTTTGGTGGCCGCATACATCCTTTGTCAAGCCGAATTGACTGCAAGTTTGGGCTAGCCTGCCTCGACTACCCGCTCAAAGAGCTTTACGACAAGGATGACAATGTTCTGTACGCATTACCGATGGATTACATTCTTAAGCTTCAGCAGAAAGAGACGTGGCAACAGGACTTTAGCAAGGCTGGACCAGACGTCTTCCATGTTCCACGTACAGGGGGTCGATCGATTGAAATCAACGGTACCAACCTGATGATCTGGGAAGACGAGAATGATGCAGACATTTCAGATCATATCGACAACGAAGATACGGAATGGATGCGCATGGACGACGGCTCAATTGCGAAGAATCCAAAAGCCAACAATCGCAAACCTCAACGACAGCCTATAGTGCCACGGTGGGGTCCATATAACAGCCATAAGAGGAAGAACACTGTTGAAACAGGAGCCCCGCGTGTCTCTGAAGAGGTTGTTGAGGTTAAAGACGAGGAAGAGAAAGAAGAGCACAAGTTGGAAGTGCCAGAAGATGGTGAGACGGGAAAGGGCGGTTCTGATCAAGATATGGTCTGATTGCATCTAATGAAGAAGATTTGGACATTGTAACAGCAGTGAGCTTGTTGGGTACGCATCTTGTACTGGCGCTGGATACCATTGCATAGGGCGTTGTTGCACTGCAATAAATTTTTCAGGTATACTGAGGGCCACTATCTTGTTGAATGTAGCTAGGTATTGTCGAAAGCCTTGTTTGCTAATGCATCCGCTTCCTTGTTCATCTCTCTAGGTACGTGCCAGAACTGCACCTCCCGACCACCGTCATCACTGTACTCCATATAATCCAGCTTTTCGTGCAATTGTTTCAGAATCTGGAAATGCGCCACTCTCTTTCCCTCCGAACCTATACCGTCGTTTTCAATCCATGTCTCCATCCACTGGCTCATCGCCTTGACCAGAAAGCTGGAGTCTGTTGCTATCTTGATTTGAGAGAGCATGAAGTCGCGGTCCGTGATGGCACGGATCACGTCAAGCGCCTGACTAAAGGCCTCGATCTCGGCGCGTGTGCTGGTCTGAGGCAACGAATCCGGAACAAGGCCGTAGCGGTTGTATGGGGATTCGGGGCCCAAGTAGACGCCGTATGAGGCTCGCGCTGTCGGGGAGCCGTTGTTGCGACAAGCACCATCAATGAAGACGACCATACTCTGTTTGTCTGGAAAAGAATCTGGCCTGGCCATGACTTTCATTCGCAGCTGCGAGATCTTCTTCTGGGAGTTGTAGACGACTAGCTGATGTAGTGGAATGGGGCGTGAGCAGGGGTCCTCGGTGGGGACGTAAAGGCGGCGGATTTCTTCACCAAATTCGTCATAGGCCATGCTGAATTGCAGATGTAATCTCTGTTCTTACCCACTGCTAGAAGGAGGAGAGGGTTGTAATTACATTGCAAGTCAAGACTGGAAGTAAGACGGTACTCCCCGGCAGGCTTTACCTTTTCTGGAACTAGCGTTGATATGTTCGCTTAGACAGGTGAATCTTGGCAGGTAGTCACTGGTGTCTGAATTCTGCTTCCTACCAACGACGAACGTCCAACGCTACTACCCTCGCCGAGCCCTTCCACGACCCTTCGCGACGAATCAAACATGGCGGACATTCAGAAAGATGCGCTGTTCAAGACAGTGCAAATCGATGCCCTGGTACGTGCAAAGTGTTATGGCAGTACCCCACTGTGCGCCCCGCCATTGTGCTATAAACACGTTCTATGTGGACGACTCTTGGAGCCATGGAAGACTGACTGTTGGCCCAGGTCGCTATCAAGATCGCTACCGCGAGTGGCAAATCCTTCCCTTCGCTCGCGACGGGCAGCATAGTTGGCATGGAAAAAAATGGTGTACTGGAGATCACCAATTCATTTCCATTCCCTGATGTGGCTCCCGCCCAGACGGATGGACAGAACGATACGGCCGCGAGTCTGGCTGCAGGTGCTCCCCGCGCCAAGCAGAATATCGCATACGGCAATGAGATGATCAAGTTCCTCCGGGAGGTCAACGTGGACGCGAACAATGTTGGGTGGTACACCAGCACAAGCATGGGCAACTTTGTCAACCTGAACACGATCGAGAACCAGTATTTCTACCAGAGCCAGCCCAACGAGAGGACTGTCGCTTTGATCTACGACGTGAGCAGAAGTTCGCAGGGTACCCTGAACTTGCGCGCATACAGGCTATCACCTTCATTTGTAACGGCATACAAGGAGGGCAAGTTCACGACAGAGAGGTAAGCGCGAATTGTGTGTTGCACAAGAAGAAGCTGACAGGTACAGCCTCCAAAAGAGTGGTCTGCGATACCACGACATCCTGGTCGAACTCCCTGTAACCATCCGCAACTCGCATCTTCTGACTTCGCTCCTCCACCAACTGCCTTCGGATGCGCCCAAGGAAGAGCTCAAGTTCCCACCCAACCTAGCTGCTCTGCAGCAGGATCCGAACACACCCCAACCACCTCTCTTCCCCAACTACGACTCGCTTGATCTTTCCATCGACCCCTTCCTCGAGAAGACGTGCGATCTGCTCCTTGAGAGCATCGAGAACCACCACACGGAGATCAACAACTACCAATACTACCAGCGTTCGCTCGCTCGTGAGCAGACTAAGATTACGGCCTGGCAGCAGAAGCGCAAGGCGGAGAATGCTGCACGCACGGCCTCGAAGCAACCACTACTTCCAGAGGACGAGTGGCAGAGGCTGTTCAAGCTGCCCCAGGAGCCCAGCCGGCTGGAGACGCTCCTCAACTCGAGGCAGGTTGAGCAGTACTCGAGGCAGGTGGATGGATTCACGGCAGGTGTTACGTCCAAGATGTTCGCTGTCAAGAGCAATCTGCTGCCCGGAGAGTAGAGTGCGATGGACTTGTAGCGTTTCATGATTATGCTTCTCTTGGTCACGGCATGGGCACGGCGTTGTGGACTGGGTTTTGATCTTTTAGACAGAAGGAGGGTGCAGAGGACAAAAGTTGCACGTGGTGCAAGAGGCGAAAGGCGATGAAGTTCAAAGGCTGACCAGCTAGGGCGGCTGAATGCTGTTCTAAGCGTGCGGAACGGCTATGGCCACATAGAGTGCTGAATCAGACAAAGAAGTAATCAACACGCTTTCGTGAACATATCACTCGTGCCCTGAGTGCAAAGTGTGTACATTTGCCATCCCTAACTCAGCTCATAAGCCGGCCAGAAAGCAAGAAACCCAGACATCGGCTCGTCCGGCATCAGACTCTCCCACTCTACGGCTGGGGAGGCTAAAGCAGCGTCCAACACCGGCGCGCCATCATGCAACAAGCCTCCTCGCCTGTCCTGCAGCAGCAGCTCCGATCGCTGCACCCGGGAGCTCTCCAGACGCTCCACCAGTCGGCCGATGGGACCCTCTACCCTCATACTCACAACCATGCAGGTGTTCTGCCCGACCTGCAAACGCTCCACACCACCGACGTCTACCAACAGCAGTATGCGCTGAGCGGGCCACCACCACCGCCGCCGCCGTTGTCGCATCCGCATCCGCATCCGCTGCCGGTGCATTTTGAGCAGAATGCGCTGCCATCGTCAGCCTCGTACCCGCCGTTTCAGGCGGCGGGCTATCAGCATGCAGAGAGTCCGCGATTCATGAATCCCCCGCCGCTTCAGGACCACGCTCACGCTCACGCCCACGCTCACGCCCACGCCCACGCCCATGCTCATGCCCATGCCCATGCCCAACAGTACCACCACCAAGTCCATGCTTCACCGCCCCAGACAGTCCCGCGCCCCATCCAACAACTGCCTCTGCCGCCGCCAGCGCCACCCATACTGCCCCACCACATTGAGCAGTCGCCGCCGCCCCAGCAACAGCAACAGCAGCAGCACGAGGGCCGCCATGTGTACGTACCAAACTAGCCCCAACTGTCTACCTATAGAATGCCTACTAATAATCTACTAGCGATGAGACCCCACTGTCTAACCACGGCCAATTCCAGGGTCTTAGACTCATAGCACACCCACCAGACCTGGACGAATGGCGAGAGAAGCTGTTCCACGTCGACGACATCATCACCCTGACCGAAGACCAATTTCAGACCTATTTCCCTCACATCGACAACGTCTACTCGCATCGCTCCACGCAGCGTCACAAACGGAAGCGTTTCGTCTCGCATTACTGGGACTGTCGGCTCAAGGGTCGTCCCCCAGGCACCAAGAAGTCTACAGACCCGGACAAGAAGAAGCGCAGGAGGGTTGCCAGAGAGCGGGATCTATGCGATGTCAAGATCAAGATTACCGAGTTCTTTGACCGTGCCGAGTATGAGGAGCAACTGGGCCTACCACCACCTGGCGTGGAGGATGACTCGACCAGTCCTATAGCACCTAATGCGCCAGGAGAGGTAGCTCATATCGGCAATCCGAACCAGAACCCACACTTTTTTGGACAAGCTCCATTGCTGTCGCAGCAACCAGCGGCAGGCTGGGACATGCCTCCCAATATGGGCGCTCAGCCTAACTTGAATATGTCTTACGCGCCCCAGACCGGTCCAACCCCCAAGAAGTTCTACACATTTCAAAGGGTCAATGGCAACGGTGGAAACGGAAAAGGCGACGGTGTCCCTGGACCACACAAACATACACTCGAAGAGAGCGATCGTGTGAAGAAGAATAGTGTTCTGAGGTGGCAAGCAAAAGTTGACAAGGACGATAGGAAACGAGCTCTGGTAAGTCTATCCTCAGTCACCCTAATGTACATTGTCTTTTTTACTTCTGCTCTGTTATTTCTTTGGCTGCAATAGCGCGCATTGTCGATCCATTTGCCTGCAACCCAGGTGCATACGTCATCTTGATGCATGCTAAGGAACTTCACCACCACCATCACTTTGTATGCATATTATCCTTTCTATGCGCACCTGTTTTACACAAGTCACTAGACCCCCTGTTCAACACATCGACGTCCTTTATGAGTCTTACCTCCCGATTCCTTCTCTCTATCCCTAGTCAAGCACATTCTCCCTCCGCTTGCAGTCTCTCAATAGCCAGGCATAGTTGCCGTCCGAAATTTTCTTCACTCCCGACTCAGCTGTCGGGTTCACTTGTTCCCATAACTGTCTGATACAGAATGACCGACACCAACCAGGGCGGAGATCCTTCCAAGAAGACATATCACAAGAAAGCCACTGGCAATGCCTTGACGACAGCCAAGGTCCATTCGAAAGAAGATGAGCTCAAATTATACGGTAGTGCATTCTGGTGGGTTAATCCTTTATCATAAAACAGCTTCGTGACGCTGACACTAAACCTTTCTAGTCCCTTCGTCCAGCGCGTCTGGATCTCCCTAGAGCATAAGCAACTCCCCTACCAATATATTGAGGTAGATCCCTACAAGAAGCCTCCTTGCCTCCTTGAAGTCAATCCACGCGGCCTCGTCCCCGCTCTCCGCCACGGCCCATCATGGTCTACACACGAGTCAACCGTTATCATGGAATACCTCGAGGACCTCAACGCCGGCCCCAGCCTCTTGCCCCCAGATGCCCAAACACGCGCTACCTCGCGCCTCTGGGCTGACCACATCAACCGCAACATCATCCCTTACTTCTACAAGCTCCTCCAAGCCCAAGACCAAACAGACCAGGTCGAGCACGCAAAGGAACTCCGCTCCCAAATCAGTAAACTTGTCGATGCCGCTCATCCCACTGGCCCCTTTTTCCTAGGCCCTCACATTTCTTTCGTCGATGTTCAGATTGCGCCTTGGATTATTCGGCTACGAAGGGTGTTGGGGCCGTATCGCGGTTGGCCTGAGGCTGAAGAGGGGAGTCGCTGGAAGAGCTGGATTGATGCGATTGAGGGTGACAGGAGTGTGATTATGACTACGAGTACAGATGAGTTGTATTTGGATAGTTATGAGAGGTATGCGGAGAATCGGCCAGGTACTAGCATGCTTGCGGATGCGGTTAATAGTGGGAGGGGTCTGCCTTGAGGTTACGGGTTCTGGTAGGGGAGTTGGAGGTTTGTGTATTATTGTGGGAATTCGTGGGAATTCGTGGTTATTGGGTTGAAACACCAGTTTCTCTATTGCGCTGTTGGAATCTTGTCTCCTTCGTGATTGCACTTACTGATGGTGTAGCTGACATTTGGTTTGGAATGTTTGAGCCTTGTGGAATGATAAGACTGAGCTTCAGAGCAAACCCTCTTCAAAGAAAAAATAGCAAGGAAAATGACGCATTTCCATCCAAGCGACTAGCTTGAACCGATGTGTCCGAACAGTGATAATGGATATGACTCATATCTACTACTTGCTCTGAGCTTTCCCTTCCCCTCCACCCCGCATCAATCCTCCTCCTCGTCATCGTCACCAAAAAGCGCCTTGAACACATCCTCACTCGCCCTCTCATTCAACAATGCATCATTCTTCTCTACATCAACAACTGCGTGTTCAGTCTGTTGCACACCCACCGTCGCCGCAGAGTCAACATCAACCGGCGCACCCTTCCAACTGGGGCGCTGAATGGGCGGCCCATTAGTCAAAAACTCGTGCTGCAGCCTCTGCATCTCCGCTTTGGAGATGGCCTCTGCAGTCTGAGATTTGAAGCTGGCAAAGTGACCTTCACTTTCATCGGGACCGGCGGGCATGTCCGGAGGGGGTTTGACGTTGAAGCGCTTGCACAGGAGGCGGGAAGGGTGAAAGGGGAAACTGCTGCGCGTCATGGGACCATACATTTCCAGTTTTGCGGCTTGTTCGGCGGGGTCTTCTGGTTTCAAGAGGGGCTGTCTGAGTAGGTTCTCTGTCGGCGTTGTACTAGTGCCGTTGTTTCCGGGTAATGTGGAAGAAGAGGAAGAGGTGAAGCGTGATGCCATGATACCGGTGGTTGGCTTGAACACTTCTGCTGCATGCGAGAATTCTTGTAGTTCCTTGACCCAGTCAGAGATGGATACACCATCGGGTCGTTCAGGGAGGTCGTTCTTCAGGTCTGCCCTTAGCTCTAGAAATCCCACGTAGCGTGCGCGTTTCTCGAGATCCTCCGCGTACGGCATCCAGCCTGTTGCACCCTTGGCAAGCGCACCAGCAGCCAGACTCTTGTCGAGTGCAGGAACGAGGCTCCAAAGATCCTTTGGTGGTGCTTTGTTCGCTGGCAAATGGCCTTCCGGGGCAGTCTGCCCCAGACCTTGAGGGAGATCTGCCTTGCCAGATAAAGCGGCTAAACGGTCCCTGGCATCCTTGGGTATGAAGTCGAATATCGACTTGCCAGGCAGAGGCTTCTCGCCGAGTAAGACTGAGCGACCTTTTGCATCGAGCGTTGACGCTTTTGCTGCGTCTGCTACAGACTGGTACCCCTTGGAATCTTTGTTCGGCGTAGTTCCCTTGGAAGATTTCCAGTCCGGCGGTATCTGTGGTGGTGGATACTTGGGTTTACTCGTATAGTCTACAGTCCCAGACGCGAACACAAAGCCCTTTAGCGGAGGCTTCCCGTCTACAGATGACCGACTTTGCGGAGCAAGTGCTTTCGAGGAACCCTTCTTCGACACAAATATGTGCTTCTCGCCCGTTCCTGCTTTGGCGAACTTGCTCGGCTTCTTTCCTTTCTTGTCTTTGCCAACAGTCTTGTTAAATGTAATCTTCGGGCCCAGTTCATACGGATCCTCGTCGTCAGATCCAGTGTCGTTGAGTACACCCACGCCCAAGGAAGACTTCTTTATGCCAGGTTTCTTGGCAGTTTGTGCATTTTTCCATGCCTCGTGGTAAGGTAGGAGAAACTTGGATGTGGGGTCTACAGCCTTGTCCTCGACTGCGTCCAAGCGAGCTTCCGATGTATACCCCAAGCCTTTGCGTTGTACGTTTTCCCGTGGTATGATTATGATTCGAGCATCTTGCGGCGCAAACATGTGCGCAGCCCCGTCCTTGGAGACTGGGGCATCTAATTCGAGGTCGGCGTTGCGACGCACTTTACGGCCAATGCCTTGGTCTCGGCGCCACCCCATCTTCTGCGCAAGCTTGACACCCATGGTCTCTTCTTGAGTCGCGAACAGGCCGAATAGTCCATCATCTTTTGCTTGTCTTGCCTCGCCTATACCGGCAAATTTTTGGACAGTCTCCAAGTTGCGCGATTCGGCGGCTGCTGCCAGATCCTCCTCGTCCATGAAGTCTTCGGCTCGTTGTGTCGGACCGGTGGGCTGGTCTTTGTTGCGGTTCGTACGCGAGGATACAAATGCCTTTGGGGTCCATCCTTCTTTAGATCCAACTGTGTTGAAGTATCTTAGCATAGTCAAGAAGTCTTGCGTTCGTGAAAGGACGGGCTCAAAAACTTACCCTGCACTGAAGCCACCAGTAAACGCGCCGTGGAGTCGTCTTCTGCCGCGCTCGTCGGTCACCGTCTGCTTCCATACCGGCACAAAAGCGCCGTCGTCTCCATCTTCATCAGGAAGCTCTGTGCCGAGCGAGATATACTTTGACGGACCGCCACGGGAGCGCTTCTGCGCATTGGTCGGAGAGGGCGCGCGAGGCCGTTTATACGCCATGATGGTGAGGTGTGTAGAATGGGGCAATATGCTGGCGATGCAAGTACGATGGCTTGAACTAACTACTGTACAGAGTGAAATTGTCTAGACCATGAGCTCGCTGGATGGGGCTTAGTGGGGCGTCAGGCTGTCTCTATTGGTCAGACAGTCAAAGCTGGTGAGCAATGAGGGAAGTTGCGGCGTAATGACGAGTAAAGCGGCTCATTTGGTGGATGACTAATCAGGGATGACCTCATTGGCCAAAATAATCCGCTCATCTGCTGGTACATAACTAAGTACATAGGTGTACGCGTATTGCATACGTACTGACAGCGACGACAATATCACTCGGACATATAGGCGCGTCGTATAGTATATGACGGCCGTCTTCACCGTCTCTTCTGCGCTGCTTGTCTTGAAATGCCGTTGACTAGGCGCAAGCACTTGAGGCTAGGGGTGGGCCCGATGATGTAGTGCCGCGCTGGGACGAGCGGCCCAAGTGCATAAAAGGATGGCTGGCAGGGCGGCTAAGTGCAGGGACCCTGATATAGGTAGGCAGCGCATTGGGGATGTTTGGGGTCCCTGTTTTGCAAGAAGCAAATGTGAGTGTGTATCGTGTGGACGCAAAGACAGGGGCGCTGCAGCGGTGCAGGCTTGGATATATTTTGATGCGTTTGTCTCGTTGCCCTACCCCACTGTCGTTGTGCCCATGCAGCAGCCCGAGGCCCTGGCTGGCTAGACCGGTATCCAAGCTGAAGTGGAGAGGGAGCTATCGCGGTTGACGTGCAGGCGGAACAAGACATTAACCACGCAGCATAAGCATGTGCTCGACGACGTAGGGAGTCCTTGATAGCCCACGACGTGTCGAAAGCTGGCTAGAGCTGCTGTGCTCATTGCCCATTGCTCTCTGCTGCCCTGGGACCTGCATATCGCCCAAGCACAGTGCACACTCATTCAAGACGACGCCCACCCAACTGTGGTGTGCCAAGTTCGGCGCCCGCGACCAGAGCCATAGCATCGGCCCCTAGCTTCTTGTAACTCACACGCCGCAATACCCACCGAGAGCGACAAAGTAATCTCTTCACACTGCTTGCCAAAGAGTCGCGACGTGGTCGAATCCGTGCTCGCTCCACGCTCAGTGCGCCCGTCCCTCGCAGGCCCGCAGCTGCTCCTTGCATCGCGGACGTGTGGTAGGCCGTCTTCGCCATGTCGGCCGCTGCCCCAACATCTCCCGCCGTCGTGCGCACTCCATCAACATCGCGCAGGTCTGTCGACAGGCCCCATCGCTCGCAAAGCACCGCTACTAGGCCCGCTGGCCACCCGCCCCAACGCCATCCGCAGCCGGCGCTCAACAACGTCGCCCGCCGAGACTACGAGCAGAGCAACGTCGCCCAGGAGCCCAACGTCAACGTCCGTCGCAGCGAAGACCCGTCCCGGAAGACTCATTCGCGGTATGCGTCTGACGCGTCAACGACTTCCGCAATGCCCATCAATGGCGTAGCTGCTGACTCCCGAACGGGGCAGCCTCAACCCGTCAACAAGCGCAGGACCACCATCACCGCACCGAGCACGGGAACATGGGCGCTAGGAAAGACAATTGGTGCCGGTAGCATGGGAAAGGTCAAACTGGCCAAGAACGCCGAGACTGGCGAGCAGGTGTGTACTACTGTCTGCCTGCCTATTGAGCGAGGGGAGGGGCATAGAGGGCATATGTCCTCTCCCTGCGCACATAGCCCGTTCGCCTATCCCGGCATTGTGCAGGCGTGAGGAGCAATAAGGGTCCCTTGCTAACCAAAACTACTAGGCCGCAGTAAAGATCGTCCCTCGACAGTCCCAGGACCAGCACCAGAGCGCTGCCGATCGCGAACGGGCCGACCACTCCAAGGAAGTTCGCACAGCTAGAGAGGCTGCCATTGTCAGTCTGCTAAACCACCCCTACATTTGTGGCATGAAAGATGTCGTGAGGACAAACTTCCACTGGTATATGATGTTTGAGTTTGTCAACGGCGGGCAGATGCTCGACTACATCATCTCCCATGGACGCTTGAAGGAAAAGCAAGCGCGCAAGTTCGCTCGTCAAATCGCCAGTGCATTGGACTACTGCCACAGGAACAGCATTGTCCACCGAGATCTGAAAATCGAGAATATTCTCATTAGTAAAATGGGCGACATCAAGATTATCGATTTTGGCCTGAGCAACCTATTCTCCCCTCGAAACCAGCTCAAGACATTCTGCGGAAGTTTGTATTTTGCCGCCCCAGAACTCCTCCAGGCCAAGCAGTATACTGGTCCCGAAGTCGATGTCTGGAGTTTCGGCATTGTCCTCTATGTTCTGGTGTGCGGTAAGGTGCCCTTTGACGATCAGAGCATGCCGCAGCTCCATGCAAAGATCAAGAAGGGGCACGTTGACTACCCACCATGGTTATCCGCAGGTATGTCATCTCGAACAATTCAATTGTAATTCCTACTGACGTCGTACAGAGTGCCGCAATCTGATTCACAGGATGCTTCAGACGGACCCAACACAACGGCTAACCCTCTCGGAGATTATGAGCCATCCATGGCTCACCAAGGGGTTCAACAGCCCCCCGGAAAATTACCTGCCCCAACGAGAGCCCGTGCAGCTACCACTGGACCCCGAAGTCATCGAAAAGATGCAAGGATTCGATTTCGGTACAACAGAATACATTACCACCCAGCTTACCAACGTGATCCAATCGGAAGAGTATCAACGTGCGGTTCGGGTAGCAGCTCGTAAAGCTACTGCCCAAACGCCAGAGACCGAAAAGAAGAGGGGCATGTTCGACTTCTACAAGAGGCGTAACTCAATCGGAAGCAGAGAGCAACTGGCTACTTCGTCCTCAGAAGATATCCAACGGGGACTCGATCCAGTCAACGCATACAGCCCTCTCCTTTCCGTCTACTTCTTGGTTAGAGAAAAGATGGAGCGCGAGCAGCTCGAAGCAAACCCAGGCCCTGCCGCCATGCCTCAGGCTCCAGATGAAAAATCACTGAAGATGCCAGATCTTCCCGCTCCCCCAGCTGCGTACACCAACTCAGCCGCTTATGAAATGGCTGGCGAGAACCCCACGGGTGGGAGGTCACGGCCCAGAGCAAGGACTCATGGTGAGGATGACATCACCGAAAGCCTGAAGAGAATGGATCTTAACAATCCCCCTCCGGTATTGCCGCCCCAAGTTGAGCAGCCAAAGAAGGAGGGTGCTGCAGTTGGTCTTCTACGTCGGTTTAGTACTCGAAAATACCGCAGTCATGATAAAGAACGGGTTGAGCCGCTACCGCCACCTCCCCCAGCCGTTGCCATCTCGGGCCCCTCTGAGCCAGCAACTCCTGCTACAGTGTCCAGAAAGAGCTTCAGTATCCGACGCCCACGCGACCGCGAAGTTTCTGCTTCACATCTGCCAACAAGTGCCAACAACCAACCTGAGTTACTTTCACCCCCAGAGTCTGGGAGCAGTACTACTCGCAAGCTGAAAGCACTGGGTCGCTCTACTAGCGTCAACTCTGCCGATCTTCGAAGACGCCTCAGTCGACGGGGAAGATCTTCAGAAGACCCTGGAAATCCTCCGCCCACAAGTGGATCAGACAGATCTGAACTTAGCGGGCAGAAAGTTCGGGTGGCTAATGACGCTGCCTCTGACGATCTCTCAGCGAGCCCACGTCTTGGCGGCGGCGCCTCTCGAGCCAAATCTCTAGGTCATGCACGACGCGAGAGTATCCAGGCGCGGAGAGCCAAGAGAGAGCAAGTCAAGGAAGCAAATGTGCCCGAAGAGACGGATGCGGAACTTGCTGAAGCCCAAGCTGAAGCCAGTCGCAGCCCGGACGCCGTCAAACCTGTGTTTCTCAAAGGCCTCTTCAGCGTCTCTACAACCAGCACCAAACCACTGCCTGTCATCCAGGATGACTTGATCAGGGTTCTAGATCAACTTGGTGTCGAGTGGACTGAGATCAAAGGGGGGTTCAGATGTCGACATGCGCCCAGTATCAACATGACCAAGCCGATGGACTCTCCCGCATCCCCGCCGAGTGTTGGTCATAGGAGAAGGATCAGCTTCGGCGGCTTGATGGGTGGGGACAAAGACCGAGACGAATTCCGGAATCAGCACCGCGCCCCCAACACACCCACATCGCGATCGCGGCCCTCGCCTGCAGATCGTAGCTACACGAACACGGATGAGTCGGATGGGAGCGAAGACCGGGATGAGCGACGACCACGTCGTGCAATACCCGCAGGCGAGACATCCACACATGTACAAACTGACATGGGCTCAAACATGAATCTTGTGTTCGAGATTCTCATTGTCAAAGTCCCTCTATTGACATTGCACGGAATCCAATTTAAGAAAGTGGATGGAGGAACATGGCAGTATAAGAACATGGCTCAGACTATCCTGGCAGAGCTGAGGCTATAGGAGTCCCTGCTTAAAAGGACGTATTTCAGCATTCTATTCTCTTCTTCACGTTGGCGGAAGGTGTTCAATTCTACGAGCTTTATTTGAGTATGGTAATTCGGACCGGCATGGAAGTATTTAGGAGCGAGCGAGGTTACTTACGGGTATAGCATCACCCACGAATTTCATTTGTCATTCATCTGTTCGTGGCTGGAGCCGTCGGTGAGAGACGAGACGGAAGGATCTTAGATCCCTTTACTACAAATTTTGATTCGGCTTTTCAGTTGCGCTGTGGAGTTGAACTTTCTCTGGACCCTTGATGTGATGATTCCGCTCCTGGGTAGGCCGCTGCCTGAATAACCTGATCCTATTGTGCAGCTTGCTCCATACAAGTGAGTCAGTGTACTTGCATGTATGGCTGCCTGAGCTTCACCTGACGCGGATGCGCGGTCGATCTCCGTCAAAACGCTCGAGCTCCCGCAGGCACTAGGGTGCTCGAGCTAGTGGGGTGTCACGTGGGTGTTTCGCGAGACCTCAACCTTGGGCCTCGCTGCTAGAGCAGACTCACAACGCCCGATTGTTACCGTTTGTTCGCCAGCCCACTAGCATATTCTTCAGTCGCCTAGCTTCCACGATATAAACCCGCGCAACCCCACTTATCCCGCCTCCACTCCGCAATCAACACAGACCTGTCGGTACTCGCAGCCAATGCAACATTTCCTCGCGCATCAGCAGCAATATGGTGAGTGGGGCCAGGGCCACCACCAGCAGCCTCAACACCATGTAGCCCAGCATGGTCAGCATCAAGCGCAAGCTGCCCAGTTGCATGCTCAGCAGCAGGCCCAGGCTGTCCAGGCGGCCGCGCAGCGCCAGTATCACCAACAACTCGCGGCCAACACTGGAACGACTTTACCCGGCAACAACCCGGTTCCTCGTGGGCCCGCGAACGATGTTCAGGCAGCCGATGCTGGTATGACGGAGGAGAATAGGCGCGTCTTGGAATGGATAGCTCAGCTTATGAAGCCAACTACCCGCGAAGCAGCCCTCCTGGAATTGAGCAAGAAGCGCGAGCAGGTTCCGGAGCTGGCTCTGATCCTCTGGCACTCGTTTGGTATGGTTATCGCACAGTACAAACCGCGACGTGGAACTAACGAATACCAGGTGTCATGGCCTCGCTGCTACAAGAGATCATCTCCGTCTACCCACTGCTGAATCCGTCGCAATTGACCGCAGCTGCTTCGAATCGTGTCTGTAACGCACTTGCACTTCTCCAATGTGTTGCGTCCCACACCGAAACTCGCGGCTTGTTCTTGAGTGGTAAGTCGCGTACCCCACACTGAGTCGAAATCGCTAATCTGGCCACAGCGCACATCCCGCTCTTCCTATACCCGTTTCTCAACACTACGTCCAAGTCGCGGCCCTTCGAATATCTTCGTCTCACGTCGCTCGGTGTCATTGGCGCCCTGGTCAAGAACGACTCTTCTGAAGTCATCAACTTTCTCCTCACAACCGAGATCATCCCACTTTGCCTTCGTATCATGGAGACGGGGTCAGAGCTGAGCAAGACTGTGGCCATTTTCATCGTACAGAAGATTCTGCTCGACGACATTGGTCTTGCCTATATCTGCCAGACATATGAACGCTTCTATGCTGTTGGTACTGTTCTTAGTAATATGGTGAATCAACTAGTCGAGCAGCAGACGGTGCGTCTACTCAAGCACGTTGTGCGTTGTTTCCTTCGGTAAGCCATCATTCTGCATTCATACCTGAACTTGAACTAATTGGGGCAGCTTGAGCGACAACGCTCGCGCACGTGAAGCTCTTCGTCAGTGCCTCCCAGAGCCTCTTCGCGATGCCACCTTTTCTTCGGTATTGCGTGATGATGCGGCCACCAAACGCTGCCTCGCTCAACTCTTGATCAACCTCTCGGACAATGTCGTAGATCCTGCGAACAATCAGCAACTCATGCACTAGGGCAAGCTGCGAGGCATCTCTTGGTCACCACTCGACTACATTGTTGGGCCTGTTCAGTGAATCTGCGCAGTCCTCCTTCGCCTTCTGTATATTATGGCTTCGGCTTTTGCTTCGTTTGGCGCGGCGGCACGTGTGGGCGACATACCCTCTGGTTCGGTTTGGTTCGGCTTATCAAAACGGTGCGGATTTGGCGTTGGGGTTTCTCACAAGGGATACCCGTAGCAGCATTGCGGTTGAAATGTGCTACCCTTTGATTTACATTCTTTTTTATCTTTTTAGTCTCACGGTCATGGCGAGGAGTTCTGGGCATTGCATGGCGTAGTGCACTCATCAATGCATGGGGTCGGGACGAAAAGCGAGTGTATAGTAAAACCGGTTCTGTGGATGTATGCACGCAAGCAATGAGATTCAAGTCTGTATATTTTAAAGAGACTTGTATGAAGTTATCAGTTCCCAATGTGAGACTTTCAGAAGTTCCTTGTAACATCTATCGTGTGTGTCGCACTAAAGTGGCCTAGCGCCTATCTCACTAGCGGCTTTTTGCCCACAGTAAATCGACCGCCACCTGCACTGCGCCCTCTTCTCTTCAACACCACCACTACAGAGACCACCAAAGGAACCGATATCCTCTGGGAGACACATTAGCCAATATGTCGAAAATCTCTGTCGCCGGCGTTCGTACGAACGTTCAACAACTCCTTGAGTACTCCAACGAGACCAAGAAGAGGAACTTCCTCGAGACGGTCGAACTCCAGATCGGTCTCAAGAACTACGACCCCCAGCGTGACAAGCGTTTCTCGGGAACCATCAAGCTCCCCACCATCCCCCGTCCTCGTAAGTCGAGTCTGGTACAAGAGTGAGAGAGACCGTAGACTAATGCATTGCAGGCATGAGCATTTGCGTTCTCGGTGACCAACACGACATTGATCGTGCCAAGCACCATGGTGTCGATGCCATGAGCACCGACGTATGTATTCCCATTAGTCGTGCGCTTGAACAAACCTAACAGTCACAACAGGACTTGAAGAAGCTCAACAAGAACAAGAAGCTCATCAAGAAGCTCGCGAAGAAGTACGACGCCTTCGTTGCCTCCGATGCTCTCATCAAGCAAATTCCCCGTCTCCTCGGCCCCGGTCTCTCCAAGGCCGGCAAGTTCCCTACACCCGTCTCTCACGCTGAGGACCTCGCCAACAAGATGGACGACGTCAAGTCCACCATCAAGTTCCAGTTGAAGAAGGTTCTGTGCATGGGTGTCGCTATTGGCAACGTCGGCATGACTGAAGATGAGTTGATCGGTAACATCATGTTGGCCATCAACTACCTCGTCTCGCTGCTGAAGAAGGGATGGCAGAACGTGGGCTCCTTGACCATCAAGGCCACCATGAGCCCCCCCAAGCGCCTGTACTAGAAGGCCGGTCGTTACGTCTGCTGGGTTATATCGTGGGTGCGTCTTCGAGAGATGGCATGCTACTGTTCACGATCTTACGGATATCTCGATGGAATTGAATGATGGGTCTAGCTAGCTTGAATGCATGCATGAACCCATATCTTGCCTTGACTTGACTTGATCTGACTCTTGCCCGCCATGTGATGCTTTGCTATTCGCCTTTCGTAGTGAAGTCCGCACTGGATACGAAGTTTTTCCCGCACGGCCGCTATACATACCAGCCTCTCACCCAGGCCCTGCCCCACTTTGGGCCGAACTTTTCCCAGCAGAAAGTCTTAGTAAGCTGTGCCCACTAGCGGCTTGGCGCTGCATACATAACCTTGCGCAGCTCCGTCCCTCTCTTCCTTTCCTCATCATCAGTTGGTAATCTACATACCTAATATATCGTGGCTCCGCGAAAGCGGCTTGCTGAGAGTTGTCCCTATTCTCTGTGGACAGTTCTCCGTTCCCGGCCCCGTAGATCGAAACCGCCCGTCTTTCCTACCAATTGCAATTATCCGTGAAAAGATGGATTGGAGTTGTGGGATGGTGTGGGACATTCCCATGTTCTCATTTTGATGTATCTGAGAACATTCTGCGATGATGAGCAGTGAGCTTGAAGTGCCGATGCGAGCGCGTCTATGAGGGCTTTGTCGCGCAAGCTGGAGTCTCTAAGACGAGCTTTTAGTGATGTCGTGAAGCAGCTCGAAAAAGTTTTTGTGGGGCTTCTCCGCACATCGCGGCGCTGCTCTGTGCGATACTATCATCTTGCGCATCGACCACGGGAAAGTGTGTAGCTTTCTGCTGTAACGGTCTATTATGCTATTGAGAGTGTAATGTACAGTTCTACTTAATCGTCCATGATACTCTAGGTAGACGTTGCACGCGACTAACGCCATCGCTTATGCCTAAGGACATGTGAGTAGAGATGATATGCTGTATCTCCAGCGCGCTATGGAACGAACCTTCAGCTCTCACACCTACACTATCTCGGTTGTGTGCTCCTCCATTTGTCAAACGCAGCCTCGGCGGATTCGCTCGTCATGCCACACCGTTCGCCCACCACACCCCAGGTCCTCATCCGTATAATCTTCTCCACTGCTCTCTCGTTCCGCATCAGCATAGCCAAGCTCTCTGTCCTCGCCTCTTGGGGAAAGTAGCGACCCGAGTATGGGTCTAAGCGCTCATCTACCGTCCGCTCTCGTGCCTTGGAGTCCTCAATCTGTCGCAGTATGCTTTCTGGATCATCAGGATCCGGTGATATTGCTACACCAGCGCAATAGTCCAGTACGTCCGATCGTATTGCCCAACTTGGGAACAGTATTTTCTCCTTGAACCCTTCGCATTGCTCTGGTTGTAATGATCGCCCATGGCCAGGCGGCGACAATTGTCTTGTGCTCGTGGATGTAGGATCAAAGCCTCGTTGTGCGGGCGTTAGGAGGGCATTTAGGTTCTGTGTTATCGAGTCGTCAATGGTACCGCGTGATATACGGAGAAAGTCTGTGTTCAGCCAACTTTCGTATTAGTTAGTGAGCTGGATGTCAAGAATAGAAGGGTGCCGACCTCGTAGTGCAGTTTGGTTGAAGCAGAATTGTGGCGTGAGGCGTGGCTGCGCAGACGATTTCGACATGTTAGAAGACGGCGACGGAGGGAGAGGAGGAGACGGCTCCTTGTATTTCCAAAAGTAGTTCGCCAGTTCGAAGACAGGTACCGAGCTTATCCTGGGCCGAGGATTTACAAAGTCAAAAGTGATGATGATGGCTCTATATGTCGGCCTAGTCCATGTCGACAACTCAATGATGTCAGCAGGGATCGGGAGTCGGGGTCGTTCGATTTTCGCGTCGGGGCCAGGTCGCGTCGCGCTCTGAAAGTGCTGACTGCCGCCTAGGCTACCGTGCCCTTTCACCGTCCGGAGTATGCCCTTCCACCTCAATGCATCTTGTTGCACTTTATCACCACGATTGCCTCTGACTTGCTGGTCTTCCCTTCGCTCATTACAGTCTTCTTCTGTCTTCTTGCGTAACAATTGCCACCAACAGCCGTGGAGCGCACACCAGCATCACACTCTCGTAGTCATGCCGCCTAAGCAGGCTACTCTTGGGTATGTAAAGCCTTCTCAGACTACTCTAGGGTGCGGCGACATGCTGAGTCTTTTGTCCGATACTATGCAATACAATTCTAACTGTATTCTTATAGAAAGTTCTTCGGCAAGGCCAACGGCGACGGAGCGAAGCAGCAATCCAAATTGTCATTCTCCACCAAACCCAAGCCCATGAAGAAGGAGGAGCTACAACCTTCACCAGAAGATGTGAAGACGGAACAGAAAGACGAAGTCGATTCCGATGCAGACGTCAAGGCACCAGCCAAGGAAGAGGTAGAAGCCGACGGCGACGCCATGGAGGTTGACAGTACGACGTCTGAGACTGGGAAGAAGAGACAAATCAAAGAGGAGGAGGAGGAAGTAGATTCAGAAGAGGAGCCACCGTCGAAGCGTCAACGGAGGAAGCCTAGTGAGGATAAGGAGAAACCAAAAAAGAAGACAGCTGCGAAGCCAAAGGCCGAAAAGTCGACTGCGAAATCCAAAAAAGTGACTACGAAGTCTAGTTCCGTAGATCCAGAAGACGGGGACGTCTCTGCGCCGACAAAGGTAGCGAAGGGCAAGAAGAAAGCCGCTACCAAACCCAAGGCCGCTGAGGTGGACAGCGACGAGGCATCGGCACCTGCAAAAGTTGCAAAGGGCAGAAAAAAAGAGATTGAAAATTCACCAGCACCAGCAGAGGATGAAGTCGACTCGAACAAGGAGGAAGAGGATGTGCTTAGCTCAGAGGAAGAAGAGGTCAAGGTCAAGGCACGAAAGCAAGTACAAACTACACTTACTTCCAACACCAAGGACCCATACCCGGACTGGAAACCAGGCGAGCCAGTGCCGTACGCCGCACTCTGCACAACCTTCTCAAAGATTGAGATGACTACAAAGCGGTTAGAAATCTTGGCACACTGTTCGTTATTCCTACGACAAGTATTGCGATTAACACCAAAAGATATGCTGCCAACTGTTATGCTCATGGTTAACAAGCTCGCAGCCGACTACGCAGGTATCGAACTCGGTATCGGCGAGTCTTTGATCATGAAGGCTGTGTCTGAGAGTACTGGAAGAAATCTACAACAGATCAAGACTGACCAGAACGAGATTGGCGATCTGGGTCTGGTCGCAGCAAAGAGCCGATCCAAGCAGCCAACCATGTTCAAGCCCAAGGCGTTGACAGTGGAGGGTGTGCGTAAAGGCCTGATGGGCATTGCCATTGTAGAGGGGCAAGGTGCTCAAGGGCGCAAAGTTGACGGCATCAAGAAGTTGTTGTCGGCAGCAGATGCGCATAACTCCGGAAAGGCCATCGACATCGAGAAGGACAAGGGTGGTCCAAGTGAGGCCAAGTTCATTGTACGAACACTAGAAGGCAAGCTTCGATTGGGTCTTGCCGAGAAGACTGTGGTGGTGGCTGTTGCACAGGCCATGATCTTCCATGAGATGTCTCTGGAAGGCAAGACACCGTCGACAACAGATTTGGCAAAAGCAGAAGCCATGCTGAAGACTGTCTACAGCGAGCTTCCCAGCTACGAAGTCATCATTCCAGCAATGCTCGAGCATGGCATAATGAACCTGCGGGAGAACTGCCGCCTACAGCCCGGTGTTCCGCTCAAGCCTATGCTTGCCAAGCCAACAAAATCAATTACGGAGGTACTAGATCGTTTCGAAGGCAAAGACTTCACATGCGAGTACAAGTACGATGGAGAGCGCGCCCAGATACATTTCGTTGCTCATGATGCAGACATGGAATTGGCGACCGCAGCTCCCACTGCTGGTAAGAGTGATCGTGGCGTATCAAACATCTTCTCCAGAAACTCCGAGGACTTGTCAAAGAAGTACCCTGATATCCTTGCCAAGTTACCAACTTGGGTCAAAGAAGGCACGAAGAGCTTTGTGCTGGATTGTGAGACTGTTGCGTGGGACATGGTGGAGAAGAAGGTGTTGCCTTTCCAGCAGCTCATGACACGCAAGAGGAAGGATGTCAAGGTTGAGGATGTTAAAGTCAAGGTCTGCGTCTTTGCCTTTGATCTACTCTACCTGAATGGTGAGGTAAGTTTCGACTTGTACTCTTCACCGGTCTAATGCTAACCCAAGTAGGCACTTGTAACCAAGTCTTTCCGCGAGCGTCGCGAGCACCTCAACGAAGCCTTCATCCCCGTTGAAGGAGAATTTGCTCTCGCCAAATTCGGCAACACCAACGAGCTAGAAGAGATTCAAACGCTCCTCGAAGACTCTGTCAAAGAGGGCTGCGAAGGTCTCATGGTCAAGATGCTCGACGGCCCAGAATCCTTCTACGAGCCCTCGAAGCGATCGCAAAACTGGCTCAAAGTGAAGAAAGACTACCTCGCTGGTGTCGGAGACTCCCTCGATCTCGTGGTGCTAGGAGCCTACTACGGCAAAGGCAAGCGCACAAGCTGGTACGGCGCCTTCCTCCTCGCCTGTTACAACCCCAAGACGGAAAAATACGAAACAGTCTGCAACATCGGTACAGGCTTCTCCGAAGCCATACTCGAATCCCTCCACAAGACGCTTTCCGAAATCGTAATCGACCGCCCGAAGCCCTTTTACACGCATTCAACGGGCAATAAGGATCAGCCCGACGTCTGGTTTGAGCCTAGATATGTCTGGGAAGTTAAGACGGCGGATCTTACGCTCAGTCCCAGGTACAAGGCGGCCGCTGACGAAGTGGGTGGGGGTGGCAAAGGTGTGAGTTTGAGGTTTCCAAGATTCATCAAGGAGAGAGATGATAAGAAGCCTGATGAGGCAAGCTCGAGTCGTATGATTGCCGAGATGTATCAGAGGCAAGAGAGTGTAGGAAACAATAAAGGACCGAGCGCTGACGACGATTTTGAGTACTGAGAATGGGTTTGATGGGGACGGAGATGGGAGTAGGGATAATGACATGGAAATCTTATATTATGATATTATGCGTGCGTAAGAAGGAGAGGTGGTTATGCGTATATTTAGAGGGCTCATATCTTGAACTTAGATGTGAAATTCAAAAATGATGGCATTCTTGTTGTAGTTGTTACTATTGTTGCTTGTACGGGTTGATTGCACAACCATGTTTGCACTGGATGTGTTGAGGCATTGAGGAAATTATGTAGCGCAGGAATGATCTACTAGTTTCATTGCGAGTACAGTATACATAGACTATATGTGTCTCTTTTCTCATAGGATCAAGCAAGCATACAATGTGTCGCTGCTAACTGAAATTTGCTGAATGTGAGTGTGACATGATTTACTCCAGAAGGCGAGAATTTCACAAAGCCATGATGTAATGAGTCATGCGTTTGTGGGCCTGGGATTTATTCAGTATAGGGCATACATGTGTGATTGAGTCTTCGTTGATTTGCGCGCCAGCTAGAGTAGTCGCGATCTAGATAAATGTGGTTGTATGTGATCTGGTATATGTTCTGGTTGAGCATCATTGGTAGTTAACTCCGTCTTGCCATGTTGTTTTGCGAGCGCGGCGTCAAATCTTGTGATCCGTAACCTTGAGTCGTATGTTGATAGAATTAAACCAGAGGGTGTTTGATAACGGAATTCATATGGTTTACTCTCTTTCTACGTTATGTTATCAAGCATGAGACGCCACGAATGAGATAAATTTGTCAGATGTGACAGTTCACTCCATGCATACTAACGTTGACCTGACACCAAAAGCTCTCTATTTTTCCGATCTATACGGTAGCTATGACTCGCCTCCGAGATCGCACGCCTTCAGAATGGCTGATCTGTAAGAAAACCATGTACCTATCCTACTCAAGCCCAACGCTAAGTTATCTTCATGCCAACCCAGGAAACCCGTTGCAACTCCCTTCTCTGTATGCTGTGTTTTATTTCCTCAGCGAGCTATGAAGCTGCTGATCATGAGATTGAGTCGTACATCCATAGGGTTGACTCAGGGGGCGGTGGATGACTCTGAATCCTGACCTATACGCCCATGCAGACCAAATTCGGCCTTATCTTCAGCATGACCACATCTCGCTTCCCTTGACCATACAAAATAAGCTAAGGATACTATGCCTGCAACAGGCTGCAGCATGAATACCTATGTGCAGTACCCACATAATCGTAATTACCACTTTCTCTGCATACACTCCAAGTCCAGACCACACCACTTGCCATGCTATACCGTAACATACCAAACCTACCCGCCCATGCATATCACATCCCCGTATTCCGTCACTAAGCATATATAAGTGGGTTCTCCCTACTTACCATGGTAGAGGTAGGGTGGTGGCTAATATCTACTATGAAAATCGCGGTATGCTCCGTGAGCAAGGTTGTCAGTAATCAATATCTCATCAATATTGTTGTTTGATTTGTTTGATTCGGAGCCAACCAACTAACCAACAGTTAGCCACTGTATTTCTGTCAATCAATCAACCAATCTTGAGAACAAAATGTTGATAGGATTGGTGTTGTTTGATAGTAAGCGAGGGAGGGGGATACCTAGGTGAGGCCTCTGGGATAGCTGCTCAACGACGAATTCTTAGTGTTGGATCTTGCTTACTAAGCCTACTCGCGTGTAAGTTATATGACCTAGGTTCCATCCCATCTCTCACTCACTCCAGGCTAGTACGTACGAGGCTTAGCGCCCACAACGCTAGCTGGCAGAGACATAGATCTCAATTCCTGTAGCACAATACACAACACGATTCACACATGTTCTATTCCTAGTGCTACTGACATCAGGCTTATAACATTTAACAACACCTTACTTTCTCGCGGCTCCGGCTTACTTTTAGCCTTATCCATGCCCTCTATACCAGCAAAACGCAAGCCCGAGGCTGCCGAAGAAGCTGATACTCCCTTCAAGCGAGCACAACGTACGCGCAAACCTACGCTCAAAGCGCTGTTGGGTGACGGCAGCCAGCCAACCCAGCCGATAGAGCTGCCAGAAAGTACGCCGGATCCGCCTACAGAGCCGCCTACACAAGTTATCGAGCCGCCCACACGGGCTATTGAACCGCCATGTAAGCCTGTACAACAACCCGAGGAGCGCCCTCGGCGGGCATCACCACTGCCTATTTTGGCTGCCTCACAAGCCTCTCGGCTCACTGATGAGCCAGCCTGGGAGTCGCAGTTAATGTTTGATAAGCCAGAGGACTCTATTATACAGCCTTTAGCTTTCTCTAGCGCTGCCACTGAGGCTTCGGTGGAGGAGGATAGCGCTGTGAGCGTCGATTTTCGCGACTTTGAGGGCGTCGATTGGTCGCGATTAAAGGGGTTTGTCGCGCCGCTGAGCACTCCACGAGGCAAGGCAAGCTGGATTTTTCAACACGGCTGGCGTGTCTGGAAGGAGGGTACTCACCACCCAGATGAGTTGTACTTTGTGTGCAAGTACTGTCATATTCATAAGCTACCTAATGGTGTACACCGAGTAACGAAGTCAACCACTGCCGCCAACGGGCACCTCCAGCTTGATAAACCTGGTCATCGGCTCAGCAAAGATGGTCCAATCCTAAGCAAACCTCTCCGCAAACATGGACAACAATCACTTCGTCAGGCAGCTCTAAGCGGTGTCAAATTTAGTCTAGAGGCGTACAAGACTATAGGAAACTTCGACGTACAAGAATTTCGGCAGGCAGCTGCGCTCTGGCTGGTCGACAACAACAGACCACTCCGCGAGTTTGAGACGCCGGCTTTTCGCAAGATGATCAGGCTTGCTAATCCTGAGGCAGAGGCGGCGTTATGGAGGTCTCATAACAGCGTGTCAGCGTTCGTGATGAGGTTGTACAGTTGGCTACGGCCTCAGGTGGTGCGCGCGTTGGCTGAAGCCGAGAGCAAGGTACATATAAGCTTCGATGGGTGGACGACAAAAGGCGGCAAACGTGGCTTCTTTTCTGTAGTTGCTCACTACGCCAACAGTAAGGGCGCGATAGTTGACCTACCCATCGCGCTGCCGCAGCTGGTGGGTGCCCACACTGGTGAGGCGATAGCTGACGCTGTAACCAAAATCCTGCAATCCTTCAGCATTAATCGCAGCAAACTCGGCTACTTTGTGCTCGATAACGCTTACAATAACGACACCGCTGTTAACAAACTCGCCGCGATGTACCACTTTTCTGCCTCCGATCGCCGCCTCCGCTGCGCTTGCCACATACTTAACCTTGTTGGCCAAACGATTATGTTCGGGAGGGATGCTGACGCGTATAACAACGCCCTGGAGAACACAAAGATGGAGGATTTTTACATGAAGGAGTGGCGGAAAGAAGGACCGCTTGGCGTGTATCTTGATATTATCAACTACATCAACACGCCGAAGCAGTGGAGTATTTTTGAAGATTGCCAACGCGAGGCAGTTAACAGCATGCCCACAGGCGCCAGCGGCGGCACTCGCGAGCCAATTAAGCCGTGTGTTACACGTTGGAACAGCTATTACGACTGCTTTAAGCGCGGAGTTCAGCTCCAACAAGCTATCAACGCATACGCCACGTACCACATTCGCGAGACTGAACAGGCTGACGAACAGGCAGCTATTAGAGGAAACAAGCTGCCTGATGTGCCGCGGTGGATGAGGTCAGACGGCCTTACGGCGGCTGACTGGGCGGTGATTACTGAGTACATGGCGATACTGCAGCCGCTCAAGTTTGCTACAGATCGCCTCCAAGGCCGCGGCAAGTGTGGCCGTTTTGGCGCACTCTACGAGGTCATCCCAGTATTTGAGAGTGTGATAACTGAGCTGGATGCACGCCTTCGGCCATACGAATCGGTCAACCACGAGCCATCTGAGGCGCCCGAAGATCACATCCCGATCAACCTGCGAGCCGCGAGGCGAAAAGCGAGCAATTACTTTACTAAGATCCTCCAAAGTCCCATTTACTACGCAGCTACGGCACTACATCCACGATATAAAACATACTCTAAGCGCTTCTGGCGCGACAAACCTACACAATTGAGCACCGCGCACGCGAAGTTTCTGCGGGTTTGGGCTGCCTACAAGCCTGCCGCTGCTGCCACAACACCAACCCCTGCGCCAAAACCTACCATGAGCAGCTTTGACGACGCTATCGACGCTATACTAGATGAGGACGGCGAGCATACATTGGAGGTGGAGGATGAGTACGATAGCTGGTTAAAAGAGCCTATGTGGACGTCTGATCAACACAAGGAGGGTCCAACAGCTGTACAGTACTGGTTATCGTTGAAGCCGAAGTATCCACATCTTTCACGATTGGCGATCGACGTGTTGACTATACCCGCCTCCAGCTCTGATTGTGAGCGCGTTTTTGCGGGAACTGGCGATATAATTGAGCCACAAAGGCGGAAAATTGGCGCGCAGTTACTGGCTGCTTTGGTGTGCTTGCAACGGTGGACTCGTGCAGGTTTTACAACACCAAGCACGACAACAGCAGCAAAGCATACTGATGAGGAGCTCACGGAAGAGTTTGCGATAGGAACGTGGGAAGAGCCGCCTGCAGAATTGTCATAGAAACGTCCCTTCAGAACCTTAAGTCTATCAATATTCAATCAATCAACCAACCAAAAATTGGCTCTTCAGTCTCATCAACTCAAACAAACAAACTGTAGCCCTAAGAAATGAGCCAGTCAATCAACATCTACGCCTCAAATGTTGGTTGTTTTGTTTGTTGACTTCTCTGTCCGTGAGTAGGGTGGTTTAAGTGGAAACTTAAGTGGACTCCTTGTTCCCCTTGTTTGCATCCGGTAAACTCGCTAGGTGCGGCATATGTATGCTACTGCGTTGCCTGACCATCAACACCCCACCCGCCTGTGATGGGTATATCCACAGACCCGCACATTTGAACGACTGATATGTCATGAGGTGACCATATCATCTTATACACCTGAGGCAGACGAGTAAAAAGTTTCAGGCGACTTTGCCGGCTTGAGTATAATTCGCGAGCGGGGGCACTAGGTGCGAGGACGTTCGGTTTTGGGAAAAGATTTAGAAGGTGTAACTAGTAGTTGCTGCAGTTATAATAGACTCGTGGTGGATGGCGTCATGTTGGTGATTGTTTTGGGGTGGTTGCTTTTGTGTATGGGTTGGAATGGTATACATTGTTAGAACAAGGTCTCCTCTGGTGGTATGACTACCATAGGCGACCGAGTAGAGGTCCGAAAGGTAACCCTGTATTGGATTGAACTTCACTAAGAGCTATTGTTCTATCTACTTGTTGTTATGATGATCTTAGGACGTACATGACAGATCATCATTCCGCGTCGGTCCTTCTGCTCGGGCTTACTCCACGAACCTCACCTCGCCGACCTGGACTGAACCTAACATATTCTTAACATACATCACTATTTTGCAATTGTTCCAGCATGATTAGTGATACGTGAAGAATGAACATGCACATCATCACCTGCAACCATGATTAGCCCGTAATTTCGTCAACGTGGGCGGCGCTCCCTCCCGTCCTCCACTGGGATGCGATACCGACTCATATACCCGGTCCTATTGACCTACGGTGTGGAGAACAACGACTACAGGGATCTGCCCGAACGACCTGGCGAACGTTTTTGTGCGCTTCTTGGTCCCGCCGAATTCGGACATGCCAATCAAGGTCACATGCTATTTTTATTTGAGATAGGTACGGAGGTGCCTTTCAAAAGTTTTGTCTGACGCTAATCTCGGCGCTTCAGCGCAACTCTTCTTGGCGCAACTCCCCACCTTTGAGCTGAGCTGTTGATCAGTCGTAGTCATCTATCTACTATGGCTCCTAATACTGATTCTTTTACCCGCACCTTAATTGTAACATTGAAGTCACCTCCTGTTGGCAAGTCAACGTCACAGATCTCAGAGCTGACTGGTGTCAATCCACGTACAGTCGATCGTATCTATAGTAGAGCTATCGCTGCTGGCTTTGAGCCAAATGTCCTCCCTCTCAAGATCCTCCCACACCACGTTCAGGATGCCTCTCGCTCTGGTAGACCTGCTAAGCAGACAGAAGAGGTGAAGGAGCAGATATTCCAACAAGTACGACGCGATAGACATGACGAGAGAAGACCTGCGCTGACGTTGCTGGTGGGCTCAGTCTCAAAGGAGTCGAAATCTCTGCCTCTACCGTCTGGAGGGTATTGAGAGAAGCAGGATACAAGAAGACCAAGCCAACGAGGAAGCCTGGGTTGACACAGGAGATGAGGAGTGCTCGTCTTAAGTGGGCGATCGACCATAGAGACTGGACGTTGGAGGACTGGAAGAATGTTATCTGGACAGACGAGACGTCTGTAGTGATCAACCACCGACGTGGAGGCTATAGGATCTGGAGGAGAGCAGACGAGAGAGTAGTTAAGAGCTGTATCCGTGAGAGGTGGAAGGGATACTCTGAGTTTATGTTCTGGGGCTGCTTCTCGTACGATAAGAAAGGTCCATGCTATTTCTACCAGCCAGAGACGAAGGCAGAGAGAGAGGATGCTGCTTGTCGGATTGAGCAGCTGAACGCTGAGCTTGAGCCTCTACAGAGAGAGGAATGGGAGCTGTCAGAGTCTATGAGGACAGGGCTGCGCAATAAGCGTGGCAGGAAACCTCAATGGAGATGGACAGAGAAGACAGGCAAGCTGGTGCGTACGTCTGGAGGTGGTATAGACTGGTGGAGATATCAGACCTGCGTTCTAATCCCAAAGCTGATTCCTTTCGCTAAAGAGTGCCTCCAAGATAGACCTCAGACTATCGTAATGGAGGATAAGGCACCTAGCCACGCCCACCACTATCAGAGTGTGGTCTATCGCCTGCACGACGTTGAGAGACTACTCTGGTGTGGTAACTCGCCAGACTGTAACTGTATTGAGCCATGCTGGTTCTATATAAAGAGAGAGACTACAAAGAAAGGAGCTCCGCAGTCAAGGGCTGAGGCAGTCAGAATCTGGCAGAACTGCTGGAGATATCTCTCGCAACTTAAGATCCAAGCTTGGATTGAGCGAATTCTTGTACATATTCAAAAGATAATTGAGCTACAAGGTGGCAATGAGTACATAGAGGGGAGAGACAAGCCTCGGCTAAGGCGGCTGTACTTCGGCTGAATTATTCTTGGCAGACAAAACTTTTGAAAGGCACCTCCGTAGGCTATGACCATCTGATTTCAACTGCCGTGACCATTTCCTTAGCTGTGGAAATGTACTAAATAATTTCATACTTTCTAGTGTTAAACGATCATATGAGTGTGGATAAGGATTCGGGCGCTACGACTGGCCGATACGGCAGCTACGGGACGGGGGTGATGTATGGTTCGGATAGAACAGCCGCTGTTGCACAGAGGTGGATTGGGTTAGGGAAGAGGAGGGGAGCTGAGAGGCGTGGTCCGCGGACCCGTAGTTAGGCCGCGCGGGAATTTGGGAAATCGAATTCCCTGGGATCGACGATGCGCGAATTGGTAACTCTGCCGACAAGCTTACTTGTCGGGTTATGCACCGAGCCATCTTTCTCTTTCGGATAATTTCGTCGAGACGAACGTTTCCGTTAATCCTGTGGGCTGTGGGGTGCTGCATCTTTCAGTGTTGGCGGTCTTGCGTTCACTTTGAAATACGGCCGATTGAATCCTTCTGCTAAATAACGTGTCAGATGAGTGGAAGACAAACACTTCTAGAGCACAGTTCCACTCGCAATCAGTCAGTATCGACGGGATTATAGCCGCCAATGACAATACGTACCATGATGAAGGGGCCAAGCTTCGCTAAACGAGGCCCTCTGCCATGAGTAGTGGTTTTGTGGCTCCCGTCGAACACTACGTAACCAGTCAGGAGAGTGTTTGAAGTCGGAAGCGCCATATAGCCGGCGCCTGATGGCGAGAAAGCCTCGCCAAAATGTGATCCTTCTATAGCATGAGACAGCAAAGCTATCGGCGATGATGTCCAAAGACGTGAGCCACACCCCAATTTCGTTCGTGAGACGATTGCGGCAAACGGGAGCTTCGGGAGGGCGCCAAGGCACACATGCATAGATTGGATCATAACACATGGCAAAGCTTCGGACCCCCATGCAGAAATTGCATCCCAAAGCCCATAGCCGAGCGCTGACCAGGTGCCTACTCCACCTGCAGTGCGTGCCTACAATACAGGGACCAAAGCAAGCAGTCCGGTGGTGAGGAGGAAATGGCCCCATGAAGGATTGATTGGCGGCCTAGAACCGAAGTTCTTACATATCCATGAGTGGGAAAATCTGACAGGACACAGCAGTGGCAATAAGAAGGAACTCGATACGAATCGAGTTCCGAGTGCCTACTTTTGCTGGCTGAGCGGATTTGGTGGTGGGTAATGTTCGATCATCGGAAGAAGGCAAAAGCGTAAATGGGTACCACACTCCAGTTCCTTCTCAGTTGTACAAGTAGGTAAATCGCCATGGGAGCAAATCCTTCCTTCTCTGTCTTGATGAGCACAACAACCCGTGAGTTATCTTCCTCTCAGACCGCCCCTTCTTTGTTCCGGGCTTCTGGGCATCAAGTTTCCATGCCTTACACTCTCTACATGCTCATGTAGGGATCGATCTTTTACCCTTTCAAGCAATTCGTTCAATGCTCCAAGTCTGCTCTCGCTCCAGCAGGCACTACCCTTGTCCAGCCCATGTTGGAGTGTGCGTAATGGAGCCGCAACAATGTGATTCAGCTAGTCTAGGCGAAGGCGCTCCGACTCGTCCTATTCTTCGCTCACTACTTCCTGCGTCGTCACCCAGGAACGACGCTCCACACCCGCAATCAAAGCGGGCTCGCGTATCCCTAGCCTGTGCAGCTTGCAGGACTCGTAAAACCAAGGTACCCGTGTATCGCATCCTCAATCGAGTAAAACTGGCGAAGAAATCATCTAATCGCTCTACTTAGTGCAACGGCGAACGACCAAGTTGCAGTGAATGCTCGGCTCGTGACAGCGACTGCCGATATACCGAAACTGAAACTGCGCAAACGAAACGTAAACATCTGCAGTTGGAGGAGCTTTTCGAGCTGCTCAAGTCGCTGTCTGATAAGGATGCTTCGGAGGTTCTAGGGAGGATCAGAGCTGGCGCGAAGCCCCAAGATATCATTGAGTCTGTCAAACATGGCAATATGCTCATGCATTTTGCCTCCGCAATGGGAAGCAGTAGGGATAGTCCAACTAGCAGTCAAGTTGGAGATAGAGAAAGAAGTAGAAGTGGGAGTAGAGACAATGAGAAGCCGGGGAAGGATGCAGATACGCCGACAAAGGGTAGTTGAGGGGCCGGGACTGAGACCGGTAGACCGTTCTCTAGCTGGAGTAGCCTAGGCGTGCAAACGCATCGACTTTACAAAACAGATGTCAAGTTTGGAAATTCAAAATGGCCATCAACTGCTATCATTGTCTATCAAAGAGAACGCAAGCCTCGTCAAGCGCCAAGCTGGAAGGTCTGAGTTGTGAATTTCCGATTAGCCGGGCGAGACTTCTGTATCCGGAGCAGGGAATAAATGATCCCTGATCTGCTTCCAGACAATCGGCTGCAAACGGCTGCTTTGTCGGGATGCGATAGGATTTGCCAGTGTTGTAAGGGCGTTCCTGGCACTCAAGTTTGTCCTCCAGTCATCTTCCGTCCACTCCCAAACATCATCCTCAAGTAGTAGCCTTAGTTCAATACTCTCGCTATTGTATTGCACCCTGACGGTAAAACCCTTTTCTCTCAAACCGTGATAGGCGCGAGCGACAAGCTTGAGCATATGGATGTGAAACTCATCTTCAAAGTTCTCTTCTTGCCAAATGCTCAAAGTAATAATTCTGGCCCGTTCTTGAAAGAGCCTATGCCTTTCATTGTGCGAGATGATGCGATTCGTGCACGGGATAGTGAGGAGTGCCGTCACACTATCATGCGCCGCCGAAAGATACGCTTTCATGTCGTCCGTCATGACTAAGGAAGGGGCATCGTCCGGGAGGAAGCTTATTCTCAAGTCCAGGTTCCGTACCAGTTCTTCCAAAGTCAGACCTAGGCCAAACACATCTTTTTTAACGAATTCCTCCATCGACGTGTCCATTAGTCCACATTCAGCCACGGGGTTTCTCTCGCCTGTTGGTCGTAGGTCTCTCCCCACACCATCCTTGAATTGTATGAGCACTTCTTTCGCAAACTGCTCTCCCACAAACGCCTTGTCGACAAAGTGAGGCGGTCTGAGGCATCGGCCAAACCCCTCCAGCCATGGCGACTTGCTTACATCGTCGTCTTTCTTGAACCAACACTCATCGAACGAGTCCCACCAGTACAACAAGTCGCGGTTTGGGTCCTTTTCCTCGTCAAAGTCCCAGAGGTGCAAATAAACAGTATCTCGAAGTTCACGTGGCAACTTCAGCACGCGGGCAACGACTGCTGTGTTCGCCGCCCAAGTGTAATGCAGAATGGCGGCATGAAGTTTATCTGCCCAATCTTGGTGAATGGATAGCTTCTCAGCCTTTGAACATGTTGATTCGATTTCCGAGAGTGCTAATTTGCGATCGATGATGGTCCTATACATCGTATCAGGGTTGACGCATTGATTCATAATGTAAAACTTACTGCGATAGCTCCCGCTCGGCACACTGATGTGCATTCTCGCATCGCTGAAGGATGTCCGGATCCATGCGATGGTTGCTTACGATATGGATATCTTGATGATTTGCGAATAGGCGAGTCACTGGAGGAAGGAGCGACGGACGGTTGGTGCGATGATAAGCGTTCCTGCCTGGAGATGACTCATACGATTTCGTCTCAATCCAAGAGCTAATATTACGCCCTAGTATAAAGTCTCAATCAAGTAGCAATGGCACAGATGAAGTGCAAGTTGGTCGTGTTTAGCTCGGGGTCAGACTGCAGTAGACGGATTGCTAGGGTGTCCGCCACTTGGGCATGTCAGACGCGATGTTGGCGAAACTCAGGTCAAGGATGTTAAAGGCTGTAAACCTAGTAAATTAATACTATTGATGCGTGATTCGATCTTGCCAGAGTTAGTTGCTCAACTGAGGATCAGGAGAAGCTTCAGCCGAGGAACTGTTTCTACGTGTGGATGTGCCCTGCGCAGCCGCCCCTCACCTAGTGACATTTAAAAAGCCCCACTTGGTAGCCCCTCACTTGGTAGAGCCTACCAGGCTCGCCTTTTGCCGCTTTGCGTATTTTTGCTCAACATTATATTGCTATATTGTCTAAATTTTTCCATCAAAACACAATACCCCAAGGTGGTATGGTCTAGTGGTATGACGTCGCGTTGTGGCTGGCGGAGCAACTTGCTCCTGATCCAGATCCGCGCCAGCCTGGGTTCGAGTAAGCTCTTCCCAAATAATTGGTGGTCCTGAGACATCTTCTAACATGTCTACAGTTCCCAGTACCGCCAAAAATTGCGACATTCTTTTTTTGCTTTTGTTCGACTCTTGACGTATCCATACCAGACAAGGCAAAACGTATCTTTTTGCTCCTCGCACAGCCTGATTCGTTGTAGGGCAGTTATAACGTGTGCGTCAGTCTAATAAGCTATTTTGTTAGAAAGGTATGTGTACCAATCAACGCAGTGGCAAAGAGTGTTCACTTTTTGTCTCAACATATTTTAGTTAACGTGTTCCACCACCGAGTGCACGGCCCCACCGAATGCACGAACTTGGCACCCACAACCACCGCAAATATGAGGCTATACAGCCACCCATAATAGCTATTATCATGGGATTTTATAGTGTTGAGTTTCTGTGATATAGAGGAGTATATTAGGAGCTTTATATTACATAAGGAGCTTTTTGGGTGGCTTGATTAGCCGGCCGCGTCGGGTGAGCTGTGGAGCAGCCTCATTAATAACATGAGCAATCTTATCCACCACAACGATCTCCGTAGCTTTAGCAGGCTTGAGGCTTTGCCTCTTGCCTTTTTAGGATAACTTAATATCGCTTTAGAGTTATCTGTTAAGCTTCTTAGCTATCTTATCTTTCTCGCACTAAAGGACTTTCTTAGTAGCTAAGCGCTCTCTCTCCTCCTTCGCTGCAACTCGTTTTAGACGACGCTCTTTAAGAAGCTAAGCTTTAGCAAGCTTCTGCTGCTTACGAAGCTTGTTTGCCTCACTTTTTTGGTGTTGTAGCTCCTGCTCTTTAAGGTCCTTTTGCTCCTGGCGGTGACGCGCTTCTGCTACCTTATTGGGCGACCAGAGTATTGCTCCTCCATCATATTAAGTGGGCGGCTCGAGTAATAGCGCTTTGCCCCGCTGCCTACGCTTCTTCTTATTAGCTAGGGCCTCTCTAAGGTTGTTGTTCTCGTGTTGTAGGAGCTAATTTCTAGCTAAGTGTGAAGATCGTCCGAAGATGATCTTGGGTTGGTTCTCGGGGATGGAGTGATGCGATGGACACGAGGGGTGTATAGCACGATTGGTAGATCGATGTAATATACGGTGGGTTTGAGAATCAAGTACTAATCCTTAGATTTCGAAGTTGAACACAATGAACCGTAATGTTACACGGAGGGGTTATACTGCTCTTTCCTGGTCCGCACTAAGGCAGGTGAGTCTTATGTCGTTGGTTCCGCGTGGTTTGTCTGGCGACAATGTGGGATAGTAGGTATTTGGAAGAACAATCCAATTCTATATAAACGATAGAATAACTAGTATTAATCTAGGTAAGAGATAAACTATTTGAAGTTGACTACAACGAGTGTATTAAGGGAATCCTCTATAACTATATACTCGTTGCTTTGTTGAGTGCCATCCCTAGGCGCCCTGTGTCAGATATTCACTCTCATCTGGAATACTGATGAAATAGATAATAATGGTGATGATATTGATGATTGATTGTGTGTTCGTTCTGTCTACGTGTCAGATAATAGCACTGTTGAAGATGAGAGCGTACAGACGCTGGGTTAGACTAGCGCGACCCGGCATCTGAGAGAGCCAATCGGATCACAGGAAGGCTTGGCACCCCCCAGGTGTGCCCACAACCGTAGACAGAACCAAAAACACAATCAATAATCAATATCATCACGATCATTACCCATTTCATCAGTATTCCAGATAAGAGTGAATATCTGACAATTAAGAGTCTCACTACCTTTACCTACTTACCAAAATGACCACATTTACCACCCGCGACGCGACCGTGACTTTACGCGACCAGTCAGACTACACCGGATGGATGCTGCAACTACAAGCGCGTTGCGTAGCGCACAATATTTGGGATAAGATTAACCCAAAATCTACCACTCAGCCCCTACGGGAGCCAAAAGACATTAGAATCCCAGTATTCGCTAACTACCAAGCAGCTGCTGGCATTGGAGAACCAGAGCGCCTAAGCGAGCTGTCTAGCAGCGGGCAAAAGGCATTCAAAGAAGATCTTGAGTACTATCGTATGTCGATGGAGCAGTACAAGAGCGACCGACACCGGTACGAAAAGGAGCAATCGAGCTTCCAACATATCATGACCTTGATTCAATCAAGCGTGTCACCACACCTACTACGCACATGCTGTCTCCCAGACAAGACATTACGCGAGTGGATTGCCAACCTACAACTGACCGTTGGGGTTGATGACGAGACTGAGAAAGACCGAGCACGCGAGCGCTATCTTGCGGCCCTACGGCCCATGAGAAGCGCGGCGCAATGGGACACGTGGCTGGCTGAGTATGACCAAGCCGCAACCCACGCGGAGACGTACAATGTCCCCGAGCTATCCCAGCTTAGCACAACAACAAAAGACTTCCTGGCAGCCGTCAATAAAACTGCACCCATATGGGCCACCAATTTTCAGGATAATGGTCGTGGGGCAGTAGGCATGAGCCGGAAGGAGATGATGAAACGGTTCCGAGAGCATATGATGATAAACCATCCCCTTAGATCAGGGAAGCACAAAGCAGCTATGGCAGCTTACGATGGACCATATGGATCAACTCTTGCTGGCGGTGAATACGACCAGGAGCTATCAGGGACGCCTCATAGTTCGAAATCCGCGCCATCGACAAAAATGAAACCGGGGCAGACCCCGCTAACAACGTACCGGGGACGTCCTCGTAAACAACGCCGAACTGGGGCAGACCCCAATACCAACGTACAAGCTGGAAGCACAAAGTCCACGCTTAAGAGATCTTCAGAACAAGACTCTTTCACCACTGCTGGAGTACAATGCCAAGCATGTGGACAACATCATAGCATCAGAACATGCTTTTATCTCTACCCAGAGACTGCCCCAGAATGGTGGCAACCTAATGAGACAATAAGCGAGCTCATTAAGTTCAGACGCATACATGATTCATCGTTTCAAGGGCTAATCCGCGGACAAAGCAGACCCCGTACTCGCACACCAGTGCTGAAGCAATCACATACACCGACCCCAGATCTCTCTCAGTCACCAATCGAATGACTAGAAGGCCGAAAGATTACGGACGTAGACGCCGCGCTCACTACCATCGCACGGAGTGGGACAGCCGAGCACACGTACCCTCTCGCACGATCATTCATTCTCGATTCAGGAGCGACGTGCCACATCACAAACAATCCAGATCGGATATACAACTACCGCCCGTCATCATTAGGAGACTACATATGGGCTGGTAGTATAAAGATTTGGATACGGGGATACGGGACCACAGACATCACGCTGCAACATCAGCATGGGACAACAAAGCTAGTGCTGCGAGATGTGGCAATCTGCCCAGAGATCGTATGCAATCTAGTGTCCTTCCGACTGCTACGGCAGAGAGGAATCTGGTGGGATACCAAATCAAACCCAACTAACCTACGAGGACCAGACGATCAAGTTATTGGCAACCTCTCAGAAACCTTTGGCCAGTGGGTATTAGAGTACAGTCCTCTACCCCAGGCATTTGTCCATACAAGAGCCATCACAACACGCACGCAGAGAGGACCAAAGAAGGCTTCAGCGATGCTATGGCACAAGAGACTCGGCCACCCAGGACCAGCAGCAATCGAGCATCTCGTGCAGCAGTCTGAGGGGGTGCGAGTTCAAGGGGTGACGACAGTACAATGCGACTCCTGCGGAAGAGCCAAGTCCAAGAGACAGATACGACGCCTACCACGAACAAACGACGAAGGCCCAGGAGAGCGACTTGCTATCGACTTCCATACATACGAAGTCCAGGCGATCACAAAAGAGAAGAGCCAAATGCTCATTACCGATCGTTTCTCAGGCCTCCAATGGGACCTATACTTTACCGACAACCGGACAGCCAAGTCCATTATCCGGCTGCTCACAACTTTCTTCTTATTTATGAAGAACCATTACAACATATCCGTTAAGACCATAGAGTCTGACAACGAGATCACAACTGTTAAGCCAGATGTCGAGCGATGGCTGGCAACACAGGGCATCAGAGTCGAGCCCTCAGCCCCAGACACACAGGCACAAAACGGTGGAGCCGAGCGCTCAGGGGGTGTAAACAAGGAGAAGGCACGCGCAATGCGACTTGACGCCAATCTCTCTTGGGAACTGTGGCCAGAAATCACTCGAGCCGCAGTCTATCTCTACAACAGAACCCCAAACTACAACAATCACTGGAAGACACCATACGAAGTCTTCTTCACACGAGTAGCTTTCAGCAACGGAATAGTCACATCTCTCCGAAAACCAAACCTCACTCACCTTAAGGCATATGGCTGCAAAGCTTTCGCCATGACAGACGACACCCACAGAGGGAAGTCGCGCCTACAACGCCTCGACCCAAAGGCATGGATCGGATACCTAGTCGGATACCGGTCATCAAACATCTACCGAATCTGGATACCGTCACTCGCCAAAGTGATGAGCACTAGAGACGTCGTCTTCGACGAACAGTCAATTTTCGATGGCAAAACCGAAGACCTAATGGACAACCTCATGCACAATACGCTAGAAGAAATCGCGACACACGTGAGGACCATTGAGCTGCCAACACCAGCGCAGCAACCAGAGACGGAGTCCTTCTATGAGGACAGTCCACCGGAGGAGTCACTCGCTCAGGACAGCGAGGGCGACCAGCCAGGATACTATCAAGGGAGAAAAATCCGGGACAGCTACCCGACACCTCCGGCGACACCGCCACCCGCAGCGTTGCTCGCGCGGCTAATGGCAGGAGCATCGCTAGATGAGAAGGATCGACAAGGAACCCCTAAGACTGCCCCATGGGCAGCAGCGTTCATGGCGGGTACCCAGGCCGGAAAGGTTGGAGAATACAGAGGAGTAGCTATGGACAAGGCTGCGATTGTGAGAATGCTCGCCAAAGGCTTGAAGCCCCATCGCAGCCAGCTACCACCTCTGCCAACATGCCGAACTAAGCTTGAGGACCACCCAATGGGAGAACTATTCAAAGAAGCAGAACAGTCCCATCTAGCAAGCCACTATCAAATGAACTCATGGACAGAGTTCCCCATAAAGAAAATCAAGCAAACAGGACAACAAATCCTGGGCTGCATGTGGGTATACACCTACAAACTTGACAAGCATCACCGACTACTCAAGTGCAAGGCACGACTAGTCGTCCGCGGTGATCAGCAGCGAAACATCACATCGCAAGACACCTACGCGGCAACACTCGCAAGCCGGTCGTTCCGAATGCTAACCGCAATTGCGGCAAAGTACGACCTAGAGCTCAAACAGTACGACGTGGCAAACGCCTTCGTGCATGCGACAATAGACCGAGAAGTATTCATGAGAATGCCACGCGGCCATCAGAAGCCAGGCACTATACTTAAGCTCAACAAGGCATTGTATGGACTGCGCATATCCCCGCTCCTCTGGCAGAAAGAGTTCACAGGCACTCTCAAAGAACTCGGGTTCCAGGAAGTACCGCACGAACCCTGCTGTCTCATCAAAGACGGCATCATTATCTTCTTCTACGTGGACGACATCATACTCGCATACCACAAAGACATGGAGCAATCCGCCCAGCAGGCAATTGCCCGCCTCCAGGACAGATACCTCTTTACTGGGGGAAACGACTTACAATGGTTCCTCGGCGTCGAGATTATCCGAGACCGAAAGGCGCGGACGATCCAGCTATCGCAGGCGGCCTACGCAGACAAGATCAGCAGACTGGCCGACCGTACCGACATTAGACACGACACGCCGATGGCGACTGCCGAACTACTACCAAGAGACGGCCTCGCCTCCCCATCAGAGATCAACAAATACCAGCGCAAGATAGGCTCGCTCCTCTTCGCAGCCGTGACCACTAGACCAGACATCGCCTTTGCGACGTCGCGGCTCGCCCGCTTTCTCTCCAACCCAGGACCGGAGCACCATGACGCTGCCGACCGAGTCCTCCAATATCTACTAGCGACAAAGCACCTCGCGCTACAACTCGGAGGAGGCGCTGGACTACAGATAGCCAGCGATGCTTCCTTTGCCGACAATACCCTAGACAGGAAGAGCTCACAGGGCTACGCGATCAAGCTCTTCAATGGACTCATCGCATGGAAAGCTAACAAACAAGACACTGTCACAACATCAACGACAGAAGCCGAGCTCCTCGCTCTATCTCAAGTAGCCAAGGAAGCTCTATTCCTGTCCCGTCTCCTCAAGGAGCTGAATATCCAGCTTGACACCCCTAGTATCACTATTCAATGCGACAACAAACAGACTATTCGCCTAGTCACCGAGGAGGTCTCAAAGCTTCAAACCAAACTCAGACATGTCGACATACACAATCACTGGATCAGACAGGAGGTGTCGACAGGCCGGATCTCCGTAGAGTACATACCTACCGCGGATATGATCGCCGACGGTCTCACCAAATCATTGCCACCAAACAAATGGCCAGAATTCCTAGAACAACTAGGACTAGTCCCCGCTAAGGAAATCCTGGCGAGAAACTCGGCACCGCTCGAAGAAATTCAAGAGAAACTTGAAAATCTCGTGGTAAGCCTTGAGTAGGACTAAGTGCCCAGCTTGCAAGCGTGAAGAGCGTCCAAGCTGAAGGGGTGTGTCAGATAATAGCACTGTTGAAGATGAGAGCGTACAGACGCTGGGTTAGACTAGCGCGACCCGGCATCTGAGAGAGCCAATCGGATCACAGGAAGGCTTGGCACCCCCCAGGTGTGCCCACAACCGTAGACAGAACCAAAAACACAATCAATAATCAATATCATCACGATCATTACCCATTTCATCAGTATTCCAGATAAGAGTGAATATCTGACACTACGGTTGTGGGCACACCTAGGGGGTGCCAAGCCTTCCTGTGATCCGATTGGCTCTCTCAGATGCCGGGTCGCGCTAGTCTAACCCAGCGTCTGTACGCTCTCATCTTCAACAGTGCTATTATCTGACACCCTGCCATCCCTCGGATGGTTGGCCTTGGCGGGATGTCAGTCACGTGATCTGCGCGCCCCGCGCCGGTCGTTACCTTCTGACGTGGGCTTGTTGACCTTCAACCTTGCGCCCACCATCAAGGAGAGAATCCTTCCTGTTACTTGTAACAAGAATTCAAGTCAAGCCTAAGCTCCAAAAAAAACTTCTTTCACCGTACTCCGCATCCGACATGGAGGATGCAAACCTGTAGCGATTCCTATGTAGCTTTATCTTTTACAACTCACGGAGACTTTAAATAAGATACGATTCATGGTTATTAGATTGGCTGTGAAATAGGACAATATGCATTTTGCAACTTAGTTACATGTACATGAGATATCTCTATTCGCAATTAAGACTATAAAAATTGAAACTCGTCGCGGCTTTACTTGCTTATGTGACTCCTACAATGTGTGCTGTGTTTTCCAATCCCAAGTTAATCTGACGTGGGTTAAGTTTGGGTAATCTCATTGGGAGCGGTGTTGGCCTGTTCCGATTCAATTCCGCGCCCGCCGACTATTGGGAAATTTTAAGCAAGCGCGACGATCGCCGCAAGACAGCCACCACAGCCAACTCCAACATGGCCGATTCAGATGCAAAGGCCTCAGCAGCAGGCGGGGCGTCTGCTGGGCCCAGCAAGCCACCAAAGCCCCCGAATCCTGTCTGGAGGATGATGGGTATGTAATCAAACTGCTGCATGCGACTTTGAACCTAACCATGACAGGTTTGCCAAATATTCGCTTTAAACTCCCGTCACGAAATTGGATGATATTTCTCTCCGTTACCGGATCATGGACTGCTGCTGTAATGTACGATCGCCGACAGAAGAAGCGCATACAGAAGAAATGGGCAAAGGTCGTCGAACACATCGCACATGAACCACTCGATGTACACCAGTTACCCCGAAAACTCACCGTTTTCGTGTCTGCACCACCAGCGGACGGATTGGTCCCTGCGCGCGATCACTTTCACGAATACGTCAAGCCTATCCTCATGGCTGCAGCGCTAGACTGGGATGCAGTGGAGGGTCGAAGAGAAGGAGACATCAGAGCTGGATTAGCGGAGCGTATACGGAAATTGAGGAAGAAACGAGGAGAAGCAACTACTGAGCCGCTGGAACCTGGTCTGGAAAAGGAGATGGAGGGGCTGAGGCAAAGAGCAGGTGTGACTGAGTGGACTGGTCCAGGAGGAGATATCGTCATTGGAAGGCATACTTGGAAAGAGTATGTTCGAGGACTACACGAGGGCTGGCTGGGGCCATTGGATGCTCCTCCTACGCCAGAACCATATGTGGAGGTACCGCCTGCTATAAGTGAACCTGCGCCTGCATCAAGCGAGATAAGCACGACTGCCTCGACCGACGACGCTTCTCCCACCGCCACCCCTAAGCCGGAAGAAGCCGAAAAGCCTAAAGAGGAACAAAACAAGCCCAAGAAGAAGAAGCAGCCACCGCCCTATATCACGACAGCCGAGTATCAGAACGCCGTACTCTCGCAGAATTGTCCACAAGCACTCGGCCCTGCCGCTGTCATACCTTTCCCACATCTCCTTGGCTTCTTCAACTTCCCAACTCGAATGTATCGCTTCTTGAACAGGCGACAAGCAGCGGACGTCATTGGCAAGGAAACAGCTGCTGCAGTCCTTGGTTCATACCGACCTTTTGAGACTGCAAGCGAATCGTCTAGTATGAGCGACGAAGATGGAACCAGCAACGTAGAATGGGAACAGAAACGGTTACTCGCCCATGAGGAGCCGGACTGGCACAAAACAGCGCGAAAGCGCGAAGAAGGCGAGACGAAAGAGAGAGTGTGGCTCGACGATATGGTGCTAGACGCAAGAATTGCGGAGCGAATGAGGAGGTTCGCGCTAGACGCCGAGGTCGAGGAACGTGCGAAGAGCGTGTCGCTCGCAGACGAAAGATCATGGTTCACTTCACTGTGGCCGAAGGAGAAGCCAAAGGGCGCTTGGGAGGGGTTGAGCGATGATTGAGCACTTTGGAATACCTCTCTCCTTCTATCTTATATTGTTTGCATGGTGGACTGTAAGAGTAGACGTGTAACATGATAGCATCTAGCAGCATGAATGATACCATATGAAGTCAAGACCAAAAACCATGGCCCCCCATTGGAGGAATCAGGTGTCCAACGCGAAAGCTGGTAGTAGCATCACGTGTCGAATGAAGCCTTGGCTCAATTGGATCTCACCCTTGGTTCTCTACTCAACGAAAATATCTGTACCAGAGTTTAACTTAATAAGTGCTGCTGCTTAACCTTGGATGGTGCTGTTTCCTGGAGACTGTAAAGGATATTTTGCGCAGTGGTACTGTATACACATGTAGTACGTTAGCAGCTCGGCACTGACCGCGTGCCCCGCCAATCGACGGAGCCTGGAAGCTTCGATCCCGAATGCATCGAGTTCACGCACGACGTACAACTACAACAACCTTTATATCCTCGGAATCCATTCCCTGAGCTCATTCGACGACTAAAACGAAAAGATTGATATCGGCTAGCTTGCGAAAACTCTATCCATCGACACATCACGCCGTCATGGTAAATTGCCCCACGTTATGCAAGTGAATCGATGCTCACAGCTATAGGCTTTCCAATCGAAGAAGCGCCTCGCGCTTGCAATCCTCGACTTCCTCCAGACGTCGCAGACAGATGGCTCAGTAGCGCCAGACGATGCCGAGCAGCTCGAAGTTGCCACCAACTGCATCGCCGAAGCGTTCAAGGTCGATGCCACAGACGAGGCGGCAAAGAAAGACGCAATTGGCGACCAGAACTTGCTCGCCATCTACAACGTATACGAGAAGCTCAAGGGGAAGACGACTGCCACAACCGAGGGAAGCTCGTCGGCCAAAGAAGCCCGTCCAGCGACGCCTCAGACACCTGCTGCTGGCGCGGGGACGGGAGGACCAAACAAGGATGAGGCCGAGAGGCTGAAGGGTCTGGGCAACGAGGCCATGAAGAAGAAGGACTACGAAAGTGCCGTCAAGCACTACACAGCCGCGCTCGATGTCATCCCGCTCAACCCCATCTACCTCTCCAACCGCGCCGCCGCATACTCGGGTCAAGGCAAACACGAACTAGCAAAGGAAGACGCTGAGATGGCAGTCGCTGCCGACCCCAACTACTCCAAGGCATGGTCGCGTCTGGGCCTCGCAAAATTCGTGCTCGGAGACGCAAAGGGTGCTATGGAGGCATACAAGTCTGGTATGGACGCAGAAGGCGGTGGCTCCGAAGTCATGCGCAGGGGCTATGAGACAGCGAGGAAGAAGGTGGAAGAAGAGGGCGGAGATGTTGGCGCACCAGAGGCGTCCCGAGGAGCTGGGGGTATGGGCGGCGGAGGCGGCATGCCTGACCTCTCAGCACTTGCGGGTATGCTCGGTGGAGGCGGCGGCGGAGGTGGTGGTATGCCAGATCTCGCTGGTCTGATGCAGAACCCGATGATGAGGCAAATGGCACAGAACCTCATGAGCAACCCGGATATGATGAGCAATCTCATGAGCAACCCTAGAATAGCGGAGATGGCCCAGCAATTTGGTGGAGGGCGAGGCGGAGGTGGAGGTGGTGGTGGTGGCGGTGGTGGTGGCATGCCCAACATGTCGGACCTCATGAACGACCCTAGCTTGGCCGAAATGTAAGTCGGACCTTCACATGGAGATCTGGACGGAGCTAACCTCATTCCTAGGGCACGGAACTTTATGGGCGGAGCTGGAGGTGCTGGTGCTGGTGCTGGTGCTGGTCGTGGAGCCGGAGGTGCACAACAATAAACTGCTAAACTGCCAACACGACAGCAGTTTAGGCATTGGTATGGAACGGGGTTGATGCATAGGAACATTGCACCATGTTCACATTCGTCCTATCATTGTTAAGGCGCGCGCTTCGATGCTGCCACTGGTCTCGCACATATAGTCGAGCCGCAATCTCACGGCGCGCCCACAGTCAGAGTCTGAATGAGCCTCTGGACTTGACTACTCTGTCTGCTTTACCACGACTGTGATTGCATCATCCCATACAGCAGTCCGAATGCTGCTCCAACAATCCGTGGTTCGCCTGGTTCCTGAGTCTATGACAATATGCCAGCACCTGCTCTCCACACCCTCTCTCAATCCAACTTCAGACCCCAAAGCCCATCCCCCAGGTAATGACCCGCCTCACACGCTTGCCCCTTCTTGACCTTCTTCATCTCGTCTGTACTCATCTTGAGCACTCCCACCATACACGCCGTCTCCTTTCCCTCGGCCTCAATAACCACCACATCGCCTTCCTTTAGATCCTCTGCGCCGTACTTTTCCTTGTCCTCGTCGCTCAGCTCCGGTCCTGGTAAGCGACCGCCCGGCGATGTAAGACCCGGTGCCATGAGTGTGGCCCCCGACAGGACGAAGCGTATTGCGCCACGGTCAATGCGCAGGCGGTTGAAGGCATAGGGGTATTTGTGCACGAGGGTGAGGTGGGGGAGGAGTGCGTCGTCCATGTGTTGGAAGAAGAGGGGGGTCGAGTTTAGTGTGTAGAGGGATACGCGGTCGGGTCTGTGTTGTAATACACGGTTAGCATTCTTTCCCCCAGTATTGACATTTCTCACATGTCTCTTTGGGTACATACAGCTTAACAAGATCCAATTGCTCCTTCTTAGGTAGTATGTCTTCGATGTAGGGCTCTAGCTTTGGATATTGCTCGACGACCTTTGAGCGGATGGCGCGTTGGGCGCTGGATTTTACTTTGGATTTTGCGCCAGAGGTTATGCTGATGGCTTGTTAGTTTGCTGGGGGTTTGGATTTGGCGCATATGTGGGAGCTTACTCTTTCTTGAACATTGTGACGATTCGAGTGTGAATGTGTATGAATGTGTGCGTGTTTGTTGGTGAAGCTGGTCACCTGCTGTTATGGTGTTGATGGAACAAGTGGTGCCCCGCCATTGCACGGGTGCTGTTGCCCCTCATCAGACGCGCTAAGTTAGTGGCATGGGTTGGCAGGGGTCGCGTGCTTTTGACTTGTACGCTGGAATGTGCGTCTGTCTTTTCTATCAAACACTATACCTGGCTCCAGTCACCAATGTATCTATTGCTTCGTTGTTTAATGATCCGCTCATCGAGGCAATGCGTCCATGGTGGCTATCTACAGCCAATGATAGTCGACTACGAGCGTCCATGGGTTCAACGCTCCGAGGCTTAGGCGGCCAACAATCGCCTTGTCGTGACACCTAAGCTCTACTTGTGCAGATGGTCAGCTTCTACTATTGTCAACCATCATTGGCATCTCTGTATGACCATGGCCAGTGGCACACACTCATTTTTTAAATCTGTTCGGGATAAAATAGACGCAGCTAGGTCAACGCCGCCTAAAACACGCCGCCACAACTGCTCGGTCTGCGAGGAGCTGCGAGATCAAACCCTCGCTGAATTGTTTGCCACTACTACCACCTACACCAAGTTGAAGGATGCAACAAGCAAAGGCTGCCAGCTATGCGAACTGCTTCAACAAGTTTGCGAGGTCGCATTCGTCGACGAAGATTATCCCATTCAAGATTCCACAAGGCTGTGTATGCGTAGCCAACGGGGATGCTGGTCGGCTTTCATGGAGGCGTATTGGGAGGGCAAGTCCACATGTAGGTTCCTGAGAGATTAGAAGGTCTTGTTAGGTCAACACATTGGTTTAACTGGTTTCTCAGACAAGCACGAAATTGTATTCTATGTTACGCTAGGTAAGAGCGAATTAGCTAGTCGAATTCGCAATCTAGGCTTCTCAATTTCAGCCTTGACATTCCATAGGAAACAAAAGTCCCTGGCCGTCTGTCATCCCACAAGGTTTACCAGAGCATAGCCCCAATATCAAGAAGTGTGCCAAATTCATCAAATCTGCGCTGCGTACATGCGAAGACAATCATTCCATGTGCAAACCGAACCAGACGATACCAACTCCAAATTGGCCCTCAACGGAAAACGAACCTAAATTTATGCCCAAGCGGCTCCTGTACATTGGCAGCAAACAACCACAAGATCCTATACGACTTTACGAACCAGAAATCTACTCCGTACCACCCAAAAGACTGGACATCCAATATGCTGCCCTAAGCCATTGTTGGGGTGGACTTGATATCGCTCGTACTACTCAAGCAACGTTGTCTAAGTCCCTCGCGACCGGAATCCTATGGTCAAAATTGTCCACAACTTTCCAAGACGCTATATCCTTTGCCCGAGAGCTGAATATTAAATATATCTGGATTGATTCACTGTGTAAGAATCTTTGTTTTGGGCTTCTATTTGCATGGACTCACTGTGTCTTTCATATAGGTATTGTACAAGACTCCATGGCCGACTGGGCACACCAAGCTTCCCAAATGGCAAACATATTCGCCAGCGCTTATCTTACGATTGCAGCTTCCGGGGCAGAAAATGGCAACCAAGGACTTTGGAATCGGGTGAAAATGGCCAAGTTCACTAAGCCATATGGTAACTCAGATTACACCGTTTGTGTCCGCGAGCGGTTTGATCACGAACTTCACTTTGAGCATGAGCACGAGGCTCGAAATAGGCAACTTTCCACTCGAGGCTCTGAGTTGACATTGCGAAAGCGCGCTTGGTGTCTGCAAGAAGAGCTACTTTCTAAGCGAGTTGTTCACTTCACGCGCCAGGAAATCGTGTTCGTTTGTCTCGAAGCAACAATATGCGAATGCATACCTTTCTGGGAGAACCGATTCAAGCTAATACTTCACTTCGGCAACGACAGTATATATAAAACCGAAAGCTGGTGTGAGCTAGTCCGGATCTATTCGGGACGGAATATCACTTTCTGGCAAGACAGACTTCCTGCCCTGTCTAGCTTGACAAATTACTTCGAAAAAGATGCCGGTCAGTATCTCGCCGGTCTTTGGGAAGCTCAGTTGCCTGCATGCATACTTTGGTTCACAATCCATGGTCGTCGTGCTAAGCCGCCAAATCCTTCGATATGCAGTCCACTATCGTGGTCATGGGCATCCATCGAAGGTGGTATCATTGACTTTGAAGAGCAAAACCCGCCTGATTTAGAAGGGTGGGATAAGAAAGGATTTTGGTGGATAAGGTCTGTTACAGATATCATTGAGGGTGTGGTCTATCCCAGTACTAGCGACCCCAGAGGCATGGTGTCTGGAGGTTACATGACTCTGGTAGCGCCAATGCTGCCGCTCAGGAGTATTGCCCGCTATTGTGTAAACTCCGATGGATCCGACTGGCGGCATGAGCCACATCTCATCTTCCAGCCTGGTTGGGCTCCACAGAGCAATGATGGATGGCTAAAAGATAGCCTCGTCTTCTGCAACTTCGATGAAGCAGCCAGCTTGTTGGAGATGCCTAAAAATAACCGTTTCGATGGTAATTTGGTATTTTTCGTCTTGAGAATTATTCAGTCCTTTGTTCAAACTGTTGAGTCGCAGAAGTGTCACTGCGAAGGATTGGTGCTTAGGCAACTTACGCACCTTGACGAGACTCAAGAAAAGTCAATGAAAGGACGTGAGAGTGAGCCGGCATATGCTAGAGTCGGAATAGGCCGCATGGATGTTGATAAGACGGAGATTGAGGAAGTTGTGGAAAAGCTTACGTAGACTGTTACGATTTGGTAGATCACGTTTGGTACATCTGCTGCCTGGACAGATAGGTACCCATTCATTCTACCGAGATATCAAATCGTAGAGTCATGAGGATACATCGACGACGTCGGGACAGGAATGTATTGTCTCCACAAGCGTGTTCATGTGAGAGGGGCGCTTATTAATCATGACGTGTATAGCCAGGCATCTCCGCATTCATGCAATCCCACCAAAAATGACACCACTAGTGGTTAGTAAAAATGTACCATTAAGAATACCAGATACAATAGGTATAAGGAGTGATATATCGTACATTCACAACAGGAATCATTTCCTACTCTGAACCCAAACTATCTAATCACCATCTTCGTTACCAACTTACCACCCATACCATGGTCTCCAAACTCATTACCATCATCGCCGGCGTCGGCGCTGGCACAGGTGCTTCGGTGGCCCGCAAATTCGCCCTACAATACCCTGTTGTACTCCTCGCGCGCAAGCCCGAAAACTACGAGGCTATAGCCTCTGACATCAACTCGAATGGCGGCAAAGCAATCGGCATTAGTACCGACGTGTCGGATGCCGCCAGCCTCAGCAACGCCGTGTCGGTCATCAAAAAGGAATTCGGCGACGACGTCAGCGCCGCCGCGGCCATTTTCAATGCCTCTGGCGCATTTATGCGCAAGCCATTCCTCGAGACACCCGCAGAAGTCTTTCAGAATAGTTTGGCCGTCAGTGCCATGGGCGGTATACTGTTTAGCCAGTCATTCCTGCCCTTGCTATTGAACGGTGTGCAGCAAAAGCCGCAGTACAGTCCTTCTCTCATTTTCACGGGTGCCACGGCGAGCGTGAAGAGTAATGCGCAGATGGCGAGTTTTGCAACAGGAAAATGGGCCTTGAGGGCGCTGAGTCAGAGTCTGGCGAGGGAGTTTGGGCCGCAGGGCGTGCATGTTGCGCATGTGATTGTGGATGGGGTGATTGATATTCCGAGGACGAAGGAGTGGTTGAAGGATATGCCCAAGGAGGCCAAGTTGAGCGCTGATGCGGTGAGTCGTCTCGACCTTTGGGGTTATCTTTTTTCGGTTGGATAAGTGCATGTTTGCTAATAAAGTGACGCACAGATTGCGAATGATTATTGGTGGTTGCATACCCAGCCTAACACGAATTTCACATGGGAGATTGACCTCCGCCCGGCAATTGAGAAATGGTAAAGAGAAGGTGAGGGGCCGTGCGGCGACAATGAGTTTTGCGAGGTTGAGGACATGGAAAAATCGGTGGGTTCAGAGCGCGACAATGGAGTCAAATGTGAGTCGAAAGATGGGTTATCTGGTTGAGTTTAGTGGGCCAAAGGGCGGACCAAAGGGCGGAGGGCGCTCAAAGGGCTGATGCGATTGTAAATGGTAAAGCATATGTGTTGTAATTACGTGTAGAATGTGTAAGAGAATCGCGTGATGGGCGAAGAAGTAAATGTTTGTGGTCAACGTTACACGAAAAGCGCGGAATGTACCATCACAGCTCAATGTTGTCCATTCCTATGAGGCTAGGGGTTCTCTTCGACCGCAACGTTGCTGCGTCGATGTAATCATTTGAGGATTTTTCGATGCAGCAGATTTTTTGGGGGGTGCTTCGGGTCAACTATACTATGGTACTAGTGTCGCTACCGTATTTTGTCCATTCCTATGAATATCCACTGACTCACATTCGTGCTCTTATAGTCTTAGATTGCCCCCAGAACATAAGCTAATCCCATAACACTACTCATCACCACCACCCTAAAAAATAGAATGAAGATGAAGTTGATCTACCTTCTGCTCTCTGTTCTCCCTCTCCTCTCCTCAGCCCGCCCCTTCAAACCCAAGAAACCAGACCAAAACCCCTGGGCCTATAAGATTGCATTTAAAAATGCGAATAACCGGCTCATATCTTCTTCCCAGGACGAAACGGCCTTCCAAAAGCGCCAGGCGCAGCATCAACAACCCCCACCTCATAACCCCAAGTCTCTCCCTCCCTGGTCACCGAAACCCTCACACCCCGGGTCTCCGTATCCTCGACCGGGCGGCCTGAGCATAATGATAGACAGCCTACCGAACTTCGGACACGAGGAAAGATGTCCAGATGGATGGCTAGAGTGTGGTAACTGTCCCAGCGATCCGAGATGTTGGGGATATGAAGATTTCGCAGATGACAACGCAGAGAATGCAGATGAGAATGAGAAGACAAACACGGAGCCAGATCCTCCGTCTACACCACCCTGTCCGCTGAAGAAATGCCACACAGACACACCTGGTTCTCCGTCTTCATGCGGCGTAAATGCAGACTGTGTTGTTGACCATTGCGTCTGTGCAAGGGGATTCAAGAGTGCGAGAGGGTCTGTGCGGGGATATAGTGACCTGCAGGCGGTTACGGTGTGGGTGGATGCAGGGGTTGATTGTGATGTGAGATGTGATGAGTTGAGTTGTGTTGAGGTGGAGCAGGTGGATGTTTGTTTTCGGAGGATTGAGGGCGGGGCTGTGGTTATGCCTGGCGGAGAAGGTGGAGGTGGGGTTGGCGAGAGCGACAGATTGAGAAAGAAACAGTGATGGTGTTAGGAGGTGCAAGGTGGCGAGGCATAATTCCGCTTCACCGCTTGCTCTCGTGAGACTCTTCTGTTATCAGTGCTTACTGTATGCACGGGGTTTTATTGCTCAATTTTGCGATGGAAAAGAGTCATCCTCAGGTTTGTAAAGTATAGGTGGTGTTGCTTTTTGCTTCGCCGTTGTCAGTTTGCTACATTACGGATCTAAACTCTCTACTATTGTACAATATATTTTCGAATATACTGTTATTTCTATCGCAAAAGGACAGGCTTACGTGTCTAAAACTGATGTATACGCCGAATGGTGTTGACATCGAGCGGTGCTTCAACATATCTTGCATCGGGGACTTCCACTGGACCCCAAAGACGTCATCATCTGCAACCATGGGGGAGACCCCGGAGGAGCCGTAATTGCCCTTTGCTTTTCCGGTCGTGAGTGAGACTGATATGGCCAAAGCAGCAATATCGCCGTCCCATCTTTCGGCTTTCAACTGCCGGGCCCTGTCGAGAAGACCCCAGTCAGTCCGGCTCCCCCAGTCCCTTCAGTACAGCCCAGGTAGCTCCCAAAACAACGGCTGAACAAGCTCCCGAGCTGCCATGGATTGAAGCAGGGGCAAGAGTGTCTACCCAAGTTAATAATATCCTAGTCGAGAGAGGACAGTCCATGACCAAAGTCCGGGCAGCCATCAAAGCTACCCAAGACCGAATAGCTAGCATTATGGCAGGCTACTGCCAAGGTTATGCTTTCACCGCCGATCGAGAGTGCTTCTGACGGAGGTTATGTCAAGAGGAGGTATGTACAGGGCGTGGAATACCGGAAAGAGCTTTCAGAGATTAGACATAAGTAGGATCGACACGTGGAGCGAGAGATAGTCTTTCATCTATCAAAAACCAATTAAGATGAAGCCAAAGTAGTAAATAGCTCGCAACTGCCAGATGGAGTAGACGGAAATAATACTGTTGATACGGCTAAGGTATCGGAATCACCTTCGTTGCAACGAGTTGAAATGATTGTGATTGTTCTTGTTGTTCTATGGAGGTGGAGGGAGGTCGGCAGTAAGGCAGCAGCTAGAGCTCGGACCACACGGCTTAGTCAGCCGTGTAATCCAAGCTCGTGCATGCAGCAACCAGCTGCCTTATCTACCGCAGGTTCGATTCCCAACAAATACAAAGGCTGCGACTTGAAGACTACCTAGTCACATGTTTCACACTCATCATTAGCGAAAGCGGGTGCGACATTGTTTTGGCCCGAAGGCAGATAAGATGCAGGATTTTACACCGATAAAGTAAGAACCAGATTCGGCTACTTGCAGCGTGGCCTGCGTATCATCTCACTCATCAATGTCAGGCTGAAATTGGACCCATGCCCATGCGCGACATAGCTCGCTTGAGCGTGGCGAGGGGAACAGAGCAGCCCATTGACTGACGAAGCATTGCGGTGTTCCTAGGGACAGTATGGAAGACTTGGCATTCTCAATATAAAGCCGTTGCAATGCGGAGTCGCTCAAGCGCATGGTGGTGATTTGCCCGGTCAGCGCATGTGCTAACCATGGCGCAAATTGGGGTGATACGGCTGTCAGACGCGGAAACAGGAAATAGGAAAGAAACAAGGCCACAAGGCTATCTGCTATGGCCAACGGTGTAAGATCTAAGTCCGCACATGTTGCGATATGCGTAGTCAGCTCGATTGGGGAATAGATAGGCTACAAGGTCGCATCATGTGAAGAGCATCCCCCCGTTGGAATGGTTGCATGGCACACGGTGGGGATGCGCTGGCGACAGATGGACAGGGCCTTGAGTGTGTGCTAGAGCGGGTTGACTGCAATGTGCCGGGCTGACAGCCAAACGCATTGGACTGGGGCGTCTTTGTACGTGCGCCATAAGGCTCCGCGTTACCTTCCTACTGCATGCATGGCCGCCCACGTGTCAACAACCCGGGCCTGTTCTGCGCGCGACAGCTCACATAGGTATGGGAGCAAGCGGCATGAACAGAGACGTTTGAGCGTTCCGGACCAGACCAGACGGAACATGGCTCGGACGTTCTGGCCGGCCCGTCGCTAGAGTCCAGGGATGTTTACTGTAGCAGTAGTTCTGGCTACTAGCAAAGCGAGAGTGAGAGGACAGTAGTTAGTGCGGAGAATCAAGATTGGATTGGATTGGATTGGCGAGTTGGCGAGGGGTCGATGATGTAGGGTCAAGTAGAGTAAGTAGGACAGAGCATAAGCTCAGACGGCAGGCCCGGCAGAGAGAAAATCACGGTGACCTGTAGCTTTGTCGGATGAAGACATCGCTTAAATATCGTCGACCAGCCCTGGAGGCGTCCTGCAAGGACCAACGCGCCAAGTTACTGTCGTTCCGTGGTGAGGGAAGACCCAAGGTTAATACCCGTGTGCCCGCAGCAGCATCGCAGCATCGCAGAGAGGGCCCTCGAAACGTCTTGCTTCTGGTACCACGCCCAATCCAAACAACTGCAGGCCGTGTTGTCTGTTGGCCGGCCCATGATCCCCGATACGATTGCGCAACGCCCTTATCCCACCTTTGCGTTTTGAGCAATCTTCGGCCCCAGCCTTGGACCTGGCGTTGCCGGCATCTATATCCATCCCTCCGGCCCGCACGTCGCAACATCACCCGGGCTCAACGAGGAACACGCGCAGCCAGCCTTGACGACTACGACGACGACGACGACGACGACAACATCGCTATCCCCCGTCACCCCCGTCACCCCGTCACCGACCAGGCCCCCACCCCCATTTTGCGTCCATCGCCAAAATTCGCGCACCGCCAGATCACGGCGCCGTCGCGCATTCTCCCATGACTGGAGAGAATGCACCGCGGCTAACTGGAGCAGCGACTGCTTACCCGCATCCATCACCCCGGCAGCCATCTTCCCCCGTGCAGCAACAGCAACATCATCATCATCATCAGCAGCAGCAGCAGCCACACCATCATCAGTCTCCACTAGCTCAGCTGTCACCCTCAACCGTCAAAGCATCTCCCCAGCAGACCCCGGGACTCCTTGATGCCATCGGCGGGAGTGCCGAGCCCTCAGCAAAAAGAGGCATGCGCTCGCAAATTGCGTGTGCCAGATGCCGCCGAAGTAAGACCAAGTGCGTAAACGCTGGTCAGGGTACGACGTGCGAGGCTTGCGCAAACACCAAGCGCGACTGTATTTGGGATCACGCCGCCGCGGCCACCATCACCGGCCCGCTGCGGCGTGATAGTACTGCCGACCTCGACGTAAGTTAGTCATGTGATGCTACTTTCACCCCCACATGTCACCTTGCCCTGTCTGGTGCTGCTTGGCGACGTGACAAGTTATCCCGGTCTACAATATACGCCCTGTGCTGACATGCCCAGGCTCCGCCAAAGAAGCGTCGCAAACTTTTAGCTCCTACAGCAACGCCAGCCCAGCGTCCTGTTGAGGGACTGGGCACATACGAAGATGCCCTCCAATCACCTTTACTGACAGCCCAAGTTTGGGAAGAGCTGGTAAATGCGCTCTGATCCCCCATCATCCCCCTCGCTCACGCGTCGCAGTTTGTCATTTACGAAAAACACTTCTCTATTGACTTCCCCTTCCTACACAAAAGGACCTTCTTAAGTGCTGTGCAGCAACAACTGCCGTCGGCCAACTTCTCTGATGCCAAGTCTCCGGCCCAGACCCAAGCGCCACAGCCATATCCGCCGTTACTGTTGGCTTTCCTCACCCAGACTGCCCGATTCCACGACAAGCTGGTACAGCATGGACAGGATGCTATCAAGACTGCCGAGTTTTATGCCCAGGCGACGCGCACGCAAATGGGCACTGATATTTTCGGCCTGCCCAGTCTAGAAAAGATTCAGACCCTCCTCTTGCTGGGCTACTATGAGTGGACCGCCCTACAAGGCGTCGAGGGCTGGATCAAGATCGGGATTGCTATAAGATGTGCCATAGTCCTTGGCTACCCGCATCTAGACGTCGATCACAAAGGACAGCCGATACCACTCCGAAAGGACGATAGCAATCTTTCCGAGAAAGACCATGTCATCCTGCGAGAAACTCAACGCCGCACCTTCTGGAGTTGTTGCCTTATGGACTCCTATCTGAGTTGGGGCGAAAATCGTCCCCCAATGTTGAGGCCAGAGCATTTCCAGAGAACCCAGCTTGTGTGTAGTGATGAGGCATTTAATTATGGACGTAAAGCACGTACAAGACTACTGGGTGAAGACGATGAAGCGTACGCGAGACGCAGAAAGGCGTGGGACGACCATGCAAAGAGTATCAATAGCGACCACAACGGTCCCCATCAATCCGATAGTGGCAGATGGGAGATTGGAGAACACGAGGCTGAGCTCACTTGGTACATCAAAGTTGTTGTCGTCTTTGGTGAGATTGTCTGGTGGTCTTGCAACAGTGGAAGACGGTAAGCCATGCTTTGGCCCTTCATTTTTGCCCATTTAGCTAACACACCATAGGCAGGAAGGCAAAACCCCACCATGGAACCCAACAACGACGTTCAAAAAACTCGAAGACAAACTCAAGCGGCTGAAGCACGACCTGCCCAAGGATCTTCAGCTCACGCCAGACAATACCGAGGATCGAGTTTTTACCAACCCCGGCAAATACGTTTCAATACATGCCATGTATACCTTGTGCTTCATTTGGCTATACAGGGAGTACATGCCCACGTCGCCATGGGCATTGACTCGTCCCGTGGGTCCCTTGGACGAACCAACCATCGACGAACCCCCTCCTGAACCAGACTATTGGATCAACCAAGCCAAAGATTGCGCAAAAGCCTGTAGCGATTTCACGAACTTGCTTCATAAAATCGGTTTCCCTAAAGCTCGCAGCAACCCAGTGCAAACCCCCATGGTAGCGTTTGCTTGTTTTGCTGTGGGAATATGCAGTAAGATCCCATCATTCCGTGCTTCAGTGAAGCTCGCTAACCAATATAGCCATATATTGTCACTATTTCCCGAACATGGATCCAGATAGCGTCATTTCATCGCGCCTGGAACCTAGGGCTCACGATGTCGCGAATAGCTTCCTGCTTCACATTCTAGACCGCTTCAAGATGGCTCGCTCGTGGATCTGTCAACTGGCCGAGTGGCAAAGATACTATCGCGAAGAAAGGAAAAAGTACAAGAAATTTGGTGGCAATGTTGACGATTCTCCAAAGACCAATTCCAGCGATGGACATGGCAGCGGCGGGCTGAAAGACTATACGACATTCTTCGAAAAGATGCACAAGCAATTTGGGAATACCACCAGTGACGACAGCCATTGGGCTACCAAAGAGGCGGACCTAGCCGATACTAGGTTACCACACGACGAGGATTCTGCAGAACGCACCCTTCCTCCTATTGTTGCCGCGATCAAACATGAGAAAGAACGGGCACCTGACGACAAATCTAATCAACATGCTGTGGCACCAGCCAATTTCACAGCTGTTAATCAATCACAGCCTTCGGTCGTGGCTGCCTATGGACCTCAAGTCAGCGCTCATAACGCCTACAGCGACAACAACAATCCTCAGTACTCTGTACAGCGCCCACCGCTGTCTTATCAAAACAATTACCCTGTGACTATGACTCCCGAGCGAAACAATTTTACCCCGCAGTTTCAACCACCACCGCCATCGGTTCCAGTTAATACCACATATCAGAGCCAAGGCTGGATACAACCCATGGATATGAATGCTGCTAGAACAGCTATGGAGAACGTGGGCCAAGAGTCTATCAATAATTGGAATACTTTCGACCCTCTCATGTCAGCTACACCAGGGCAGTATCCCAACATGTCTTGGGACGCTATGAATTACGACGACAATAACAACACACCCTTTTACGCACCGGGTGCTGCTCCTAATTATGCAAATCACCAGCAGCACTGAGCTGTTACTGTTTTCAGCGGGGCTGCGTCGGGTACGATCTTGTAGTTCCGCAGAGAACGAATTACCGTGCCAATTGATTTTCAATCGAGACCAGGACGTACGGAATTCACCTTCTTCGATTGGCGAATTAGGGCAGGCGACGCATTTTTACTTTGGTTACATTTCGGTCGTCATGGTCTTGGCTAGCTCAATTGCTTCGTGCAACATTGGTGCATCTGTGGATATAGCATGTTGGTGTTTTACTTCTTCGAACGAATTATTCTTTTCCAGACGGCATATCGCCGGCTAATATGAAATCTGTTTGGTTTGCTCGATGCAGAGTTTCTTCTTGCCGTAGTTACGTCAATAAAGCTCATGTCGCTATTACCTCGGCAACATTGTCTGTCCCCCTGCCACTAATATTCCATTCATTGCTATCATAAGCCATTTCAACCATGGATTTCTCATCTCACACCCACATGCCGACCGTCATCACCTGCGGATGTCTTCCCCAAAAGAGGGCGGAGTCGGTCGTAAACCCCAAGCTTCAGGCAAGACCTACAAGCATTAACCCCAGCGCTAACCCCACTGATCGTCAAGACATCGCACCGCCTCACGTTCTTAGTGGGAAATCCGCGAAATCCGCGACACTCTTGGTACGTCTTCTTTTCTACTTGGCGCAGAAGGTAGCCCCCAATCTTCTCAATCGCCCATATCTCTCCAGAAACTCCATAATAGGATTATCGTTATAATTCGGCCCTGTAAAGTTACGGCTATAGTACGACAAAGTTGGATCTATCCCGCCAATGACGTGGTATGGGCAACCAACGGCTAAGATGTGCATCGGACGTACTTCCCCGCCTGCGTTACTCGATCCAAGTGTCCGCCAGCCATCCATGCAGCGATATTGGTGGAATAAAGTCACTTGCGCAATTTTATGTACTCGGTACACAATTTCCCCACCCTTTGCCCCCGATTAACCGGTTCAACTCCATACTCGCCGCCCTGCTGCACACAACGATAAATATGGGGAACGCTTTGTATTGTGAGGAAGCAGAAGTAACCTAGTTTGGCTCGGAAGGTATTGGCACGAGAGGGGAAATTATGCTGTCATTGTCAGCCAGGAACGAGGCATGATCCGAGGAAAGGCCCGCATGTGCACGTTGGCTTGACCCTGGCGCTGTTCCGATCGAGAGGGCGAGTTTATTATATTGGGTCCAGCAGGTCCCGCTCGTGTTGCTGCGAAGTTACAGCATTCGACCTCTGGCTACTCTTGTTGGGTCGACATGAAGAGCTTCAAGAAACTTTGTAGCGCGCTTGCGCTTGGTTGTCTTGCTATTGGGAGTGCGGCTAGGGCTGTAGGGTATTCTTCGCCCAAGGATTGGATCAAGCCGTACAAGAGGGAAGTGCTTCAGGATATTGTAAGTTGAAGAAAGCGATTCGTTGATGCAAAAGCAATGCAGATTTTAATAGTTTCGTTTCCTAGGTAACCTGGGATGAGGACTCGCTTTTCGTTCACGGCGAGCGCATCTTCTTGTACTCGGGTGAAGTTCATCCTTACCGGTATGTCAAACTTTGCGCATTGTATGAAAATCGCAGTCCCTAATTCAAAGCAGTCTGCCTGTTCCAACACTCTACCTGGATATCTTCCAGAAGATCAAGGCTCTTGGCTACAATGGCGTTTCCTTTTACGTTGATTGGGCGTTGCTTGAAGGCACGCCTGGAGTATACCGTGAAGAGGGCGTTTTTGACTTGCAACCCTTTTTTGACGCTGCGAAGGAAGCAGGCATCTACCTGCTTGCCAGGCCAGGTCCTTACATCAATGCCGAAGTTTCTGGCGGAGGCTTCCCCGGCTGGCTTCAAAGGGTTGAGGGTATGTTGAGAACGCGTGCCGAAGACTACTTGAACTCAACCGATAAGTAAGTTTGTCTTCACGCTAGCTGAGAAATGACATAACTAATGCAAACGCAGCTATATGAAGAACGTCGGCGCTAAGATTGCATCTGCCCAGATTACAAACGGAGGACCCATCATCTTGGTGCAGCCAGAGAATGAGTACACACAGGCCACTTCGGCGATCAAGCCTTTCCCAGATCCTGTATACATGGAATATGTCGAGAACCAGATTCGCAGTGCCGGCATTATCGTGCCTTTGATCAGCAACGACGCTTCGGCTCAAGGAAACAACGCTCCAGGAAAACCTGCTGCTGTCGATATCTACGGCCACGATGGTTACCCTCTTGGTTTCGATTGTGCCAACCCAAACACGTGGCCTGACAGAAATCTGCCAACAAACTGGCATGAAATCCACGAGACGCAGAGCCCAAGCACGCCATACTCGATTATTGAGTTCCAGTCCGGTAGTTTTGACCCTTGGGGCGGACCAGGCTTTGACAAATGTGGTATCCTTGTAGGCGCCGAGTTCAACCGCGTTTTCTACAAGCAACTGTACAGTTTCGGTGTCACAATTCTGAACCTGTATATGACCTACGGTGGTACCAACTGGGGTAATCTTGGCCATCCTGGAGGTTACACGAGTTATGACTACGCAGCACCAATCCGAGAGGATCGCCAAGTTGACCGCGAGAAGTACTCTGAACTCAAGCTTCAAGCAAGTTTCCTCAAGGTTAGCCCTGCTTATCTAACTGCCTCGCGAGGTAATGCTTCAACAACTGCCTGGACCACCAACAGTGCTTTGAGCGTTACTCCTGCTACCGACAAAGACACAAAGTTCTACTTTCTCAGGCACAACAAGTACAACTCTCTCGATTCCACAAGCTACAAACTCAAAATCCAGACTTCAACTTTCGGCAACATCACCGTTCCGCAGATGAATGGCACTTCGCTTACGCTGAATGGCCGCGATTCCAAGGTTCATGTCAGCGACTATGATATCGGTGGCGCTAACCTCATCTACTCTACCGCCGAGGTCTTCACCTGGCACAAGTATGAGGATAAGACCGTTTTGGTTGTATATGGTGGACCCGGGGAGACCCACGAGCTTGCACTCGCCGTCACGGGACTGGATGTCCTCGAAGGCGATGTTAAGAGCATCACTACCCGCGGAGTTACACTGCTGAACTTTGTGGCCGACGGCACGAGAAAGGTGGCCAAGGTTGGGGTTGATAGCTTCATCTACGTGTACATGCTCGACCGCAACGAGGCTTTCAATTACTGGTCTGTCGACCAAGCCCCGCACGACTCCTCAAGTCCGGTCATGCTCAAGGCGGGCTACCTGATGCGCACTGCCAAGGTCACTGGTGACACTATCGCACTCACTGGTGATTTGAATGCAACAACACCAGTCGAAATCATTGGCGGCGCACCCTCCAGTGTTTCCACAATCACATTCAACGGCAAGGCTCTCGACTTCACCAAGTCGGAAGCAGGTACCCTAGTCGCGAACGTCGAATTCACCAAGCCCGAGCTCAGCATCCCTCAGCTCAGCTCTCTGGAATGGAAGTATGTCGACTCCCTGCCTGAAATCCAACCCGGATACGACGACAGCAAGTGGACCGTGGCCGATCTGAAGAAGACATACAACTCAAAGCGTCCTCTAAACACACCCGTATCACTCTACAGCTCCGACTACGGCTACCACACCGGCACCCTACTCTTCCGCGGTACCTTCACCGCCACAGGCAACGAATCCACCTTCTACCTCACCACCCAAGGCGGCTCCGCATTCGGCTCTTCCGCCTGGATCGGCTCCCATTTCCTCGGCTCTTGGAGGGGCTACGACCGCGCCATGAGCGGCAACTCGACTTTCACAATGCCGAACCTCACAAAGGGGAAAACCTACACAATCACCGTCGTAATCGACAACCAAGGTCTCGACGAGAACTGGACTATTGGCACCGAAACAATGAAGAACCCCCGCGGCATCCTAGAATACAAGCTCGCGGGTCACGACGCCTCGGATATTGCGTGGAAGCTCACCGGTAACCTCGGCGGAGAGGACTATAAGGATATCTCACGTGGGCCCCTTAATGAAGGCGGTTTGTTCGTCGAAAGACAGGGTCTCCACCTCCCCGGTGCATTGTCAGCCTCAACCGCCGGATGGAAAGCTTCCCCTGGCCCCGTGGCCGCTGGTATCACAGCTCCAGGAATCGGCTTCTTCGCCACGGAATTCGACCTCAACATGCCCGCCGGTTATGACATCCCACTCAGCTTCACCTTCACAAACAGCACCGCATCTTCAGGGAACGGGTCCAGCGTGCCCGCTTACCGCGTCCAGCTCTACGTCAACGGATGGCAGTACGGAAAATATGTCAGCAACGTGGGTCCACAGCTCAAGTTCCCTGTTACAGAGGGAATTCTGAACTACACCGGCACTAATTATTTGGGTATCTCATTGTGGAACTTGGATGGAGGTGCGGCCAATGTGGAAGGCTTGGAATTGACGGCTGATGCGATGATTTGGAGTGGAATGCAGACTGTGAAGACGGTTGAAGGCCAAGTGTACGAGCCGAGGTCGGATGCCTATTAAAGTCCTCTACGTCATATCTGTGCTAGCACTGTTTATGATACAATTCATGAAAATGTGCATAAATATAGTTCAGTACAGTGGGAATACGATAAATGCTGACAATATTTGTGTTCGATATTACCTATTCTTGTTGTTTGTGTACCAATGGTTGTTAACTCACGGGCCGAAAGTGATGTCTTGGTCGGCATTTCATTCTTTTCATGCATCCAGCAGTCCACATGGTTGAGTTCAAGGACTGTCCAGTTGTGGTGGGGTGAGGGATTTTCCCCCTCCAGAAACATATCCTTGCTTCGTATCCATGGTATATTGGATGTTGCATTTTGCGGGCCTCCCAATCATTCTCCTCCTTTTTCCGATCCATGGCTTCCAAGGTCTCACTTTCGGGTTGAAGGTTGTCTCGATTGATGACCTTCACGTACTAGCTTTCGCACGTGTTAAATCCCAGGAAAGAAAGGGATGAAATAGGATAAATCCTGCAGTCAGCATGGGCCGACTTGTTTCCCAAAATTACCTCTGTTTCTTCCGTTTTTCGTATCCAACGTTTGTGACAACGTTCATGGTGCCGAGCTCTTGCGTGTGATGTGCCGAAGTCTTCCCGTGCTTACTCTGCGACGTATTCGTTTACCTCGAGAGCCGCTAAATTCCGAGATGCACGTCAAATGCAGCGATCGTATGAAAATCCTAGCTGATATCATACGGAGCAAAATCTCCGCACTGCTTCGGGTTACTTGCCCATGGAAGGGTAGATATTGGTCAAAGGTTGCGTTTGTTGGGGTTGGAGGAATCCCGTGTGGCGTGAGATGCTGTTTGCAGTTGAGATTCGCGTAAGCAAAGCGGTGTAGACTGGTTGAAGATGGCATTCTATGTAGAACATGATCTGTGGGAGCCAGGCGGGGTTCGCGTTCGGTCCTTGTATCAGGCAGTGATATGTCCTTAGGGCTTAGTACCACAACTGCCGACCGGGCACGTGTACGTAAGACTCAGAAGTCCGGTGATGGTCATACATGTCTTTTGTGAGAAGTCGCTAGAGTAGACTGGGACAACAGGAGATTGGGTCCGAGGAAGAGCAGCATGGCTCGTAAGCATGCGTGCATGGACACGAGAGACAAGGACATGATTCGGACTCCGTCCAGAAGAAGTTCATCTTTCCTGTGTAGACAATATGGACCCTGACTGTAACGACCGAATACTTTGTAGACGTGATAAATTAAGATAGCGGGTGCCAAGAGTTGGTCTCGGAGAGTGCTCAGAGCGCGCCACGACATGCGGCATCACCGCTTCCCCGATCACCCTGCATACTACATGGTGCGGGCGAACAGCACTAAGAGGCTGTTATTGGGTTGCTTGAAAGTTGACTGTTGGAGAGGATAAGCATCAAACAAGCCACGCGTAGTCATCCAATCATGTGCTTTGCGTTGGTTTGTCAATTGCTCTCTGGAGCTGAGCATCAGTCACCTGTGAATCGGCAGCTGAGGCAAACGTCCCACAAGACCCCAGAATGCATTTCAAAGAAGGGGTGTCCGTATGTCAATTAGTTCCAAGGTTTTCTGTTGTACTCACAGCTCGGGGACTGTTTTCCTCATCGGCAACAACAAGAACTGAAGCCCGCCAACCCTGATCCCCGCGAACCCATCCGGACCAATGCCTCCCCACATTGTTCCCGAGCGATCAATATACCACCGACCAACGTCCGAATCTTCCGGCAATGAAAAAAATACGAGTATCAGGCAAGGTGACGAAGCCCCCACGGGAAGCAAAGTGAGTGGAGAAGAGCCGAGCAGACTATCTGCGTCACAGGCACCATGATGTGGACCAATCACTAGATCTAGCGCGCGGCCGCTAACCCCACAGACGAGCGCCGCTAACCGCATGCGGAGCTAGACGTGTGAACAGCGGTCGCTTGGGCTGACCACGGGGTACGAGGTTTGACGTCGGTCGCTTGTTTGGCGGAAGGGTCATGGCTTGAGGAATTATTGAAGAGGGGTTGCATAAAGGCTTGATGGCATCCGTTGACTTGAATTCTGCGTTAGTTGTCTGGATTCTTGCTTTGAGTTTACAAGTTTTTGAGGATCGTGATTCCCTTTAGTTAGCGGTTTTGTTTGCCAAAGGGATTGTATCAATCCAACGTCATTTGTATTCCGCGGACCACCACTAGGGAACACAGAGTTCTTTTGCGTCAGGAAGCTATTGAACAACCAAGCAGCCGCATTTTTCGGGTCCAAAGCTCAACACGGACCTAGGCACCCCTCCTACGTCAATTCTTTACTCTTTACCTGAGCCTTCCCAACTTGCGATAAAACCGAGACTATACCACCAAGATGACGGCCGACGCACAAAACTTAACAGCAGATCTCAACATACCGTTCCAGAAGGTACTTTCATCACAGGGTTGGATTCCCGAAACGCACCTACACATCCTCACCACGGTGCTCGCCCTCGCCCTCCCTGTCATAGCGGCCCTCTACGTACACAAGGACTACCATGCTTTCCTATCACTTGGGCCTGGAGGGACTCCAGCAACACCACGGGGCTATCTAAAGATTAAGATCTTGTCCATGGTCTCCATCAAAGACACGTCTCAGCCCATTCCCATTCCACCCCATTTCCGGCCGTTAAAAGGCTACTTCGATGAAGACACGATACCACGTCGTATTGGCTCAAGACCCGAAATCGCAGGCATTGCGCCACAGAGACAGCAAATGCAGAAGAGCGGTGAACGCCTCTATAGTCTTTTGGCGGATAGAATCAAGGCATTGACCGAAGACCCGCAGAACAGGTTGGTGGAATCGACGAGCTGCTTCGAGAAGCATAGTTCGGGACTCTTTGCAACGGTCCCAATTACAGGAACATGTGGTGGGGAGATCATGCATGCGCACCCATCCGATGGTTCTATGCACATGGTGATGCACCCTGCAGATGCAAATCTCTTGATTGCTCGTGGCTGGGCTGAGCGGCATCCATTGGCAAAGGGTGGATGGTTCAGACAGTTTGTGCCCCGCGAGTTTGTGCTGGTGTACGCGCCAAGGAACGAGGAGGAAATCGATATCATTGAAAAGGCTATTGCTGCGGCGGTCTGGTGGGTCAGCGGTATGGATATCCATGGTGATGCTGAGGGTCCCAGGAGGAAGAGTGCTGACTTTGGAACAATGGCGAGGGAGAGGCAAGCAAACGAGTGCTGGACTTGTAAAATGAAGGGATGCGGGGTCAACACAGTAGAGAAGATGGCGGGCTAAGGGTGAGAGGAGAGTATTGTGGGGGAAGATTGGTAGACTGAACATTTGTGCTTATTTTGCTCATCCAAGCATGGCGTCTGGGTTTATTGGCGTTTGTACGAGGGGCATGGTGTATACGAACGAGCTTTCGCGCGGTATCATATGATGAAGGGTAGCTGTCGAATGAATTCCTCAACCCCGTGGATTGCGGTATTTAGTCATTCCACGTGTTCCTGTGCCAGTTCAATCTCTCGCAAGCACCCAACTCGTCCTGTCTACATGACTCTACACTCTTTTACTTCTTCCCAGCACCCCTAACCCATTCCTCGTATTCTCTCCTCTTTCCCTTTACATCCCAAAATCCCCTCCTGCCCTCGCCCTTGCCGCCAATACCGCCATCCAAACCCAAGAATGCATACGGATCGCCCTCGCTCAAAACCTCTTCGCCCTCCCTCGTATACTGGCCTTCGCCGTGTCTTCCCTGGCGTGAAATCTGGCCTGCCCATTGTGCACATTGTATTGGCTTGAGCGGCGCGAAAGAGATGACGATGCCGAGTGAGAGTAGCAGGATGGAGGTGAGGAGCTCGAGCGAGATGTCAAGTGGGAGGGGAGTCGAGGCAAAGGTTGCTGTGTGTTCGTGGGTGGAGTAGACACTAAGTCATCATCAGCACGTGTTTATATGGTTGCGACACTTTAGGCTTGTGGTAGAGTAATTGCCAACGTACGCATGTGTTAGGAACAGCGCGCCGACGCCGTTCAGAATCGTCCCGAGCATCGCCATTGCGCATGTATGTGGGTGGGGCGAGATTCTTAATTGTCTAGCGAGATTTATCCTGGGATTGAAGCAGGTTGAAGGTCCTGTGCCTATGTGTCGTACTGCAAAGTTGGTGGGGGAGGTGCGATGGTACGTTAGTTGATGGTTGTGATGCCGAGTTGGCTTCATGATTTCTTGGCGCTTATAACACGCCCGCCAACTCTGAGACTCAGTCATTTTGACTACTCTCACATATCATCTATGACCTAGGCTTACACCAGAGCTAGAGTGAATATAAGCTAACGTCTATATGTCACACATTAATTGCAGACGCACTTGATAATATCACTTTGACGTTTACCTGCTAGCGTTGAAATTGTCTTATGGTATGCTTGGCCACACAATCCCAAGGGTACTTCCGTTGAGAACTATTCGCTGATGATACATATGAAGCAAGCTTAATTGATTTCATGTGCTTAATAGAGTCACAATCAGCGTTGAAACAATTACAATGCTGCATGGGCTTGCTTCCCAACGAATTCCCAGCGGTAACACACCAGGCAATAAGCACTTGTGGCCTGCCGTATTTATTTATTTACTTGTATGCTTGAGGACTCTCTACTGCGTCTTGATCCTACCAGCCCTTGATGCTCACTAATACTCTGATCCCCTTCTATCGTCGTCAGGAAACGCCCCGTCCACAAGAAGAAAAACGTGGTGCATACAGGCCATTATGCAAGACAACGGGGCGTAAGAATGCGCTCCATCACGCAACCTTACGTATTGGGAAGCCATTGGTTCTTAGCTTCCTGAACATGCTCGTACGGTATGCGCATTAGAGCTGTCACGACACATGCGGAGAAGCGGTCGGTCATTGCGGTCGCCGAACGGCGACATGCGGATTTAACGCTGGCATAGCATGTTGCAAGACTAACCGTGTGACTACAGAAGTATTTAAAGCTCGATCCTGTCCCATAGGTAATTTCTTTGCTAAACAAGTGAAATCCTTCATCGAGAGGTTCTTCTATCTCTTTCTTGGAAACTCAATTCTCCAATCTCAATCATGACGACTTCAACACCTCCACCTTGAACATACTCATTGTAGGCGCTGGTGTATGCGGTCCAGCACTCGCACTCATCCTTCAACGGTCAAACCCCCATCACAACATCACAGTAATAGAGCGCTTTCCCAGCCTCCGCACCGGCGGCCAGCAAATCGATCTCAAAGGCCAAGGTTTCCCAATCATGAAGCAACTAGGCCTCCTCGAAACCATGGAAAGTTTTCTTGTTGAGGAGGGCGGAAGTAGTATCGTGGACAGCAAAGGCAAACCCATCATTTCATTTGGTGTCATTGGCGCCGGCGAGAAGGGAGGCACATTCGACCTCACCTGCGAGTACGAATTCATGCGCGGGGACTTTGTCCGCATGATGTATGATACCAGTCTCCGCGAGCGTGAGATTCTCACCTCCAGAGGCATAACCCAAGGCAGTCTAACTTACGAGTTCAACACAACAATCACATCTCTCGACTGCTCCTCCCCCACCTCAACCACCGTCACCTTCTCCACCGGCGAAACAAAAACCTATGACCTAGTCGTCGCAGCAGACGGTCAAGGCTCCCGTACCCGCCGACTCGCTTTCGGCGAAGAGGTGGAGGCATCATCTTTCAAATCACTCAACGTTCACGCTGCATACTACAATGTCCCTCGCCTCCCCACCGAAGACTCCCTAGCACGCCTATACCTGCCCTCACGCAACCGCGGCATTATGACACGCACCGGAAACAAACCCATCACCCAAGTCTACCTCTTCCTCTTCAAGGACGCTCAGCGCGGCGCAAAAATGCGCTCTGTACAACGCCAGCCCCTCGCCGACCAAAAAGCAGCATGGATAGAGCACTTTGAAGATGCGGGATGGGATGCCCCTAGGTTCATGGAGGGAATGAAAAGCGCCAAAGATTTCTACGCTACGGAAGTCCTTCAGATACACATGCCAGAGAAGAAAATTGTTAAAAACAGAGTTGCTCTCCTTGGCGATGCGGGATACTGTCCCTCCCTGATGACGGGCATGGGAACTACACTTTCCCTTGTCGGAATGTATGTTTTCGCGGGCGAACTGGCAAGTCGTTCCGGAGATGTAGACGCTGCGCTGGCCGCGTACCAAAACACAATGAAGCAGCCGATCGAAGAGGGGCAGAGGCTGAATGGAATGACGGATGCACTTGCCATGTTCCCAGCGTCGGAGTGGGGTGCTTGGGTGGCACATACGCTTATCTGGTCGCTGTCGAGTTTCAGAGTGGATAAGATGTTGGGGTGGCTTGCGGGCTGGTTGCCAAAGGGCAAGGAGGAACAGGGGTGGAAGGTGCCTGAGTATCCGGCTCTAAATGCAAAGGCGCCTGAGATGGAGGTGCGGTGATGGTAGGAGGCAGGTAATCCAAATTACTTCTGTACCTGGTAATAAAAGCATCTGTGTTAGAAAGCGGCGTTCGCCGTTTAGTATCTTGTTCTGCCAGCCAGGAATTTTGTACAAATGGTACCGCATAATCGATATGTTCAACTTAGCCCGTTTCTCCCTGCCATTCCGCGTAGAATTACGAAGGGTATTCTACAACTTCCTACTCCTCACCAACCCGCTCTTAATACCCGTGAGTTCACCACCGTAGCTCGCGCTACCCTTCGCCGCCGCACCTTTATCAAACACCTGTTTCATACTCTTGAGCTTCTTCTGCTTCTCCTTGTACTTTTCCTTCTTCTTGACCCTAGGATTGCGTACGCTCTTCTTGCGATGTGGCGTTAATCTGGGAAGATTGTTAGTTTAAAAAGCTCCATGAATAATGTAGAATTAGCGATCACGTACCCCTTGTTCTTCTGAATCTGGTAACTGATTTGTCTTCGACCGTCATCGTCGATAGTCTCTTCTTCGAAAACTTGGACGCCTTGCTGCTTAGCAAGCGCATAAGCTTCTGCGCGGTCGAGCTTGGTTTGCTTCTTCTTATCAAAGCGGGCGGCAATCATGTCGTAGTAACCCTCTTCGTCCTCAAAGTCGGAGCGCTTAGGTATAGGCGCTTCTTCGCCTGAGCTGGCACCGTCATCATCACCTAGAGCTACACCAGGGCCAGCGTTTTGTTGACCACGCTTCTCAGCTTCGGCTTGTAGACGGGCTTGTCGCTCCTTCAGACGCTCACGGCGTGGGATATCCGCATCACCACCTTGATCTTTACCAGCGGTATCGCGCTTGTTGGATTTCTGGGTGATCTGCGATGTGTAGAATCGGAGAGACTTCTTCTTCTTCGCTTTCTCAGCAGCCTCGTGTGCAGTGAGTTCCGTCTCTTCGCCAAAGTCCGAGTCGTCCGCATTGAGCAGGTTAAGCTTGGGTTCTACAACCTTCTTCTTCCGCGCCGCTTTCTTGAGTGCGGCCTTGTCAGTGAGCGCGTCGAGCGTTGCGAGATCTTGCTCAGTCTTGGCAAGCTTCGCAGTGCGCCGTGCTGCTGCTTCTGCCTGGGCTATCTCCGCTGCTCTCTCCGCCTTGGTCTTCCTTTGTCTGATCGGCTTCTTGACAGCGAGTGCGTCACGATGGAGCTCGGGGTTGACTTGATCAATCTCGGAAACATCATCGTCAATCTCAGCCTCCACCATCGGGTCAGAGACTGGTAGGCTTTCTACTCGCGACCACATCTTCTGGCACTGGAGTAGACTCTCCATGACCGGGTGCTCGTGCAACTCAACGGGATCCAAGGCAATGACAGACGAATCATGCTCGTTTGCGGTCGAGCCGAGTACAGCAAAATACATGGCCATTGCAGCGAGATATGCCGCGCAAGCCCGGTACTTTGTCACTGCCATGGGTGTGGGGATCGTCCTCCCTGACTTGGCCGCCTGCGCCTTCAGCAACTTCTCTGCAGCGTTCGCGGTAGCCGCCAGTTCATCGTGCAGCGGCTGCAGTCGCAGGTATTCCTTTGAGATGTGCTCAAACTCGGGGTATCGCGCCCGCATAATCTTCATCTTCTCTTCCTCGGACATGCTCTCAGTGATGTGCAGTTGTGGCAGCACCTCGGTGACTACAGCACCGCCTTGCACGTCTTTTTCTTCGTCCTGCCCAAGCCATTCGTCCTCGTCAAAGCCAAAGTCTGCCTCTGTCATTCCTTGGAGCTGCTTCTTTTGTATGCGCCTTGCCTCTGCCTCTTCATCCAACGCATCTTGCTCTGTTTCTATCGCATCGGCGTCGTAGTAGTCCTTTTTCGAGGCACCCCATCCACCTAGGTCTACGTCCTCTTCCTCAACTGGCTTCGGCTTCTCATCTTCGTCGTCGTCGAAATCGGCTTCGCTCTCGTCGTCGCTGCCAATATCGAGGATTTCCTCATCCGAGGCTTCTAGGAATTGGTCTGAACGACGATCAGCTGCGGCGCGCAAGGGGAAAGAGGCTGGAAACTAACCTTCTTCCCGATACTTCCTCATCCGCTTCGCTGCCGGGCCCTCATCCAACAGTATCTTATCACGATTCATGTGAAAGTCGTCTTCCGAATCCGCGACATCTTCCCACGTGTTGATGGCCATGCGAGAATCCTCTTCTTTGGGCGCTTTGGGCGCGCCAGATGCGCCGCCACCTGCCTTCCTCTTTTTTGCCATAATTACGACGTTTGTTGTGTTGTGGCGTATTCAGTCGTACGTGAAAGTCGCGCCCAACTTTTTTTCCTGTACAACTCTTGGCTTGGCCGCGGGGAGTCGGAGGTGAGCAAGGACCATGTGCCGCTAGCTGCTTTAAGTAAGTGGTGGAGCTGGAGTTAAGCTCAGGGCTTAGCTCCGTATGTGAGTTCACATGCGCACAACAGCACGGATTAGTCGGCTGAGTTGGTAGTTTGTAAGCCAAATTCTATGATTGATACATGTTTAGTTACTGGCCCAATTGCGAAAGCGAGCTTTGCGCAAGAGACGGATGGTGCCGTCTTGCTTGTCACTAAGCAAATTACGGTAAACTATCTGTTATCCGACTGCCGCTTGGCCTCAAGGGTGAGATGCACGGCAGCACATAACTTCGCAGAGTACATGTCCATGTTAGATTAGCACAGTCATACACGACAATCTGCCATGTCTCAACTGTTGATTGTAGCAGCCGTCCCCCTCCTGGTACTGGTCGGAATCATAAGCGCAGACGTCATGGGCTTCGCATTCTGGAAGAGCAACCAATTCCCCGTTGAGGGCAAGGTAAGATAGGCTCATTAGCTCAAGACCAACCCCAAGCTAATATGGGGACAAGACGGTCCTCCTCACGGGCTCGTCGCAAGGAATGGGCCGTGAAGTCGCGCGTCTCCTATCTGCTCGTGGTGCCAATCTCATCCTCGTCGCACGCACAGCAAAGAACCTCGAAGGCGCCGTCGCGCATGCCAAAGCTCACGCGAAGAATCCCTCAACGCAACGCTTCACCTACATCTCCGCCAACGTGACTTCCGAGTCTGAAAACGCGCGCATACTCAAGGAAGCGACGGCCTGGAACAATGGCCGCATGCCAGAGATTGTGTGGTGTGTTGCTGGTTCTTCGACGCCGGGTCTATTCATCGAGACGAGCACCGACACGCTGCGCAGGCAAATGGAGCTGAACTACTTTGCGACTGCGTACATGGCACAGAAGGTGCTGCAAGCTTGGTTTTATCCAGAGGTTCCGTATAGTGCACAGGACAGGGGCACTACATCAGAGGCACCCCGCAAATTCATCATGACGTCTTCCTCGATCGCCTTCATAAACATAGCAGGCTACTCGCCCTATTCCCCCGCCAAAGCCGCCCTCCGCTCCCTCGCTGACGGTCTCCGCTCCGAAGTCCAACTCTACAACGCTGCGCGCCGCTCCAAGACTAGCACCACAGGTGTTGCACCTGCGCCCTTTGACGTCGGCATTCATATCGTCTTCCCGGGCACCATATTGTCTCCTGGCTTTCAAACGGAGAACAAGACCAAGCATCCCGTTAGCCTCGAGCTTGAGTCGGCGGATCCTAAGCAGACGGAGCTTGAGGCTGCGACGACCGCGGTACAAGGATTGGAGAGTGGAAACTTCCAGACACCGACAAACTGGCTGGTACATCTGATGCGCTGGGCTACCTTGTCTGGTAGTCAGAAGAACAACATCGTCATTGACACGATTGGCGCCTGGATTGCGACAATAGTGTGGCTGTTCATAGTGCCGGATCTGAATGCAAAGGTCTGGGCGTGGGGAAAGAAGAACGGCATGCCTGCGTTTAGACCAAATGCCCAATAAGAAGCCCGGGGCTACTCTACCTGTGGTATGAGTGTCTGAACAAAAGTAAACCATCATATGATGCCTAGACATCCAAGTAAATAGAAGTATCTTTGTCATATCAAATCATCATTTTCCACCTCCAAATATCGCGTCATTTGCAAATCCATCCCAAACTCACGAAACCTGAAAATGCTCCGGCAAGCTACCCACCCACTCACAATCCGGATCCAAATCTAATATATCAGACTCCGGCTCGTACGTTCTGAGCGTATGAACCGAAACCGGAACACCAACCGCTGTCGTTCTACCTAGAGCATCCGTCTGATACCCCTTGGTAAAGCAATGACGCGGGATGTGAAAAGCAAAGTTGCCCAACGACGTCCTAGGCTCCCAGAAGACGCCGATAGCTAAGCAATTTAGCCTTGGGCAGAGATTGTGCGTCTCGAGAAACTGGAAAAACACGTTGGCGAAGCGTTGGAGTTCGAATGTTACTTGCGGCCAGCGTTTGGGGGCTACGACGCCTAACGTGTCTTCGCTGGTGTCGATCCACCGGGGGTAGCGGAAGTGTACGGTACGTAGGTCGGGGAGGTATTTTAAGTTGTCCTGGTAGCTATTAGGCTCGTCGACTGGAATATTGTCGCTCAACGTATTACTTACCAGGAAAGCTTTGAACATGTAATGTGTATTCCATGTTTGCACATCCAAGTCACGATGTGATAACTGAATCCCCAACTGCCTGATCTTTGAACACGACGACAAAGCTTGCAAAGTTGTAATATCACGCGCGTTGGTGCTGATGGGTTCCATCGTCCTAGAGTGGTGCAAACCGAGACTTTCAAGATGAGGGCCTATGTGCTGAATCGTCTTCCACAATGTTTCTTTCCAGCCCTCGGGCCAGACTAGATGTAGACTGGTCAGATGGTCAGAATGCTTGAGCACATCGGTCAAGCAGTCCGTGTCAGATATGGTTGCATAAATATGCTTTAGAGAAGCACGACTGTTGGCCAGACTAATACCAAGGTCATGGAAAAAAGAATCCGAGTCATCGCATCCGGAGATGGAAAGAGAGAGCAATTGCCTGAAATCGACCATGGCAGCTATTATGGGAAACATCATGCTTAGATCCAGGTGATGGAGACACAAATGACGTAGCTTTGTTAGCTTCATCCCTTCTGGTACTATGCCTGAGAGTAGGTGAAACCCCAGAGACGTTGGTGATCTCTCACGCTGCTCGCCAAGTGACAATCGTGTCAAGGTAGAGCCCTTGGTGAATATCTCTTTCAGGACTGGATTGATACCCCTCTCGCATGATAGTCGGATATCGAGATTTTGCAATGCGATCGGAGGCAGAAGAGTTTGTTGAAATGGGCTTTTGTCACGAGGAGAATAACTAGTCCAGCTGAAATGCAGGTGTACTATCTTGCGTTGGCTTCGCTCTAGTAGTTCAGCGATTTTCGATGTCAGGGACCGCTCGGACAAAAACCTAGCATGCCGAAAAAGTCTATGATCAGCAAATGTAATCAAAGTCTCCCGACTTGAGTAAAATCTTCTTACCGGAAAGTATGCAAACAATGGTCTGGAAACATGGCCAGCACGAGGTATACATGCTCGTCTCTTGCTGTGAAGTCCTGGTTCACGCGAAATCCCAAACGCGTGTTGTCCGAGGGTTCCGTCAAGATGGATTCTGGTGCTGAGGAAGGCCGATCATCTTCAAATGACAGGCTTCGTGTGTGACGTAAATGACGACCAGCACCAGCAGCGATGCTTTTGGCGAAGCATACCAGATGCTTGTGGCCCTGGTCCCATGTACGCAGGTGGACGGTGTGGTACAGTAGCGGCAAGCTGAGGGTGCGGAGATGTTGCGATGTTAGACAGAGAGCCTTGAGGGCGCTTTTGGTATTAACGCTTTCTATGATGAGTAATTGGATGTCGTTTGGTAAAGAAAGCATTTTGTGTTGTGCAGTGCTGGTAGGTAGAGAAAGAAGGTACGTTGCGATGGAGACGGCGAAATAGCGCACTAGTGCGTAACCTCAAACACCCGCCTACGGCTTCCTCTGACAAGCCCGATAGTGCCCTCGCCCTTCACAGTCTCGCGCTGCATCCCTGGCATTACACTTTCTTCTGCCTTGGGTCATTGTAGCATGGGAGATGCCACTCTTGCCAGTGGGCAAGTGGAGCTCAATGCAGATGTCAAAGCTACGATAGTGGATCTTGTAAACATTACCACCCGAGACGCGGCGGCACGCTGCAGTCCTCGGCTGGCTAACTTTCAACTCTAGATTGGCGTGTATTCGGATCTTCGAGCACTCGACCTGACCTGCAAAGGTTGGAACTGTTTTGCGACGAAGAGATTGTATGGCAACATCGTGTTCGACATCAGAAACCCCGATGGCCAGCTGCGAGCATTCCAACAATGTCTTGCCATCGGCGCATCAAGAAACCTGCAATATGCGCGAAGCTTAAGCCTGCTCAATATATGGCCGGAAAGCAGTATAACCTGCGAGCTCTCTAGTCCAAAAGAGTGGGATCCACGTGAGAAAGTATTATTACTGTTGGAAATCCTGCAGTCATTTCCCAAAAACAAGCTGCGTAGATTTCGGTGTGTTCACACACTCTATAAGAGATATTTTGGACCAGTACTCGAATCTTGATAAAAGCAAAACACGACTAATGGCACTTATCGATTACCTGGTTTTGACGAGAGCTCTACCGAGCTTTTCCACACTTACCTCCCTAATGGCACTAATCACTTTCCAGATACCTGTCCCTATTTCCTATGAATGCAGCCATTGTCAACCTGCTAGCACAGAGTCAACAATCTATCGAGGAATTACACGTACCATGTGGAAGTCTGCAGCGACTCATATCTCCGAAAATGCGACGGCTAACTGCTGGGTTCACATCAGAACATGAGCAAACATCTGGATTCGTCGAGATTGCCATAGCAACGCCTGAACTTGAATCGCTTACTCTTGTCCATGAACAAGATGTGTTCATGTATGACATGTACGAGAGTATAGACGCGGACCCAATATTCGAAGTTGTAGAGCTCTATTGCGACGATAGCGTCAACTCGATTCTCTTCGAACATAAGAAGGTCATGACAAGTCAACTTACGATTCAAGGTTTCCTGCCCCCGAGCTTTCCTTCCACCATATTCGATATGTCAAAGTTGACAAAGCTGGCTTTCTTTGACTGCATCTTCCCATTCGCGGTGAACTTCTGCTGCCTCCCCAACCTACAAAATCTGACGCACTTTACGCTCTCTACTCATGACGATTTTTATATATTGGACATGATATCGTTAGAGATCATGCTAGGACGTAACTAGGGCATTCATCATCTCTGTCTCCACTTCCCTGGTCTCTCAAAAAAACATTCGAGCCCCCGGTTTTTGACGCAGAGGGCTTACCTAACGATCGCTCATCATTTCTCTGGCCGATACGCAATAGCCTAAGGACACTGTCACTGTTTGATGACTGCGGTATGTTCAAAAACGACGAAGAATTGTTATCCAAATCGTCCTTAGAGTCCGTCTGCAAAGAGATCAATGGTTTGAATCAACTTGCAATGCGGGCGCCTGAGCTGCAACATCGTAGCTCGCGCTCTAAATTCAAGTACAGACGGTATAGACACGAATTCGTTCTTGAATATCTCGTAAGACTCAATCTGGCAAGTTTGTTACCATTGTGACGCGCACAGTTGATGATAGGAACCAATCAAAAACCTTAAGGAGTTGAATATCCTACAATTGTATCAACCCCAACTCCGGGCGGTTCCCAAAGCAAAGGTTAGAACAGACCCAGCTCTCGAAACCCAAGAGTTTGCCACATTGTTCTCCCAATGGCATACTTGTCAACGAGCGAGCCGGCTCGCTCAGCTCGCTCGGCTTGGACGTTTTGACCAAGCCGAATGAGCTGAGCGCGCAGTGCGCGCTTGCAAGCCGAGCGAGCTTAGGGATAGGCGCTCGCTCAGTCAGCTTGCTTAGCTTGGTTGGATGGAGCGGTTGGAAACTTGGGGCTGAAGGACTTGGTGGAGGGGCAATCTCACGATGATTTTTAGGTGTAGTGCGTAAGTTCGAAACCTAGTTATAACCTAAAATACACTCTTTTTTGCTATATTTCTAGCAAATAAGCTACTAAATTTCCGGCTAACGGCCTGGCAACAATATTCTCCTTCTGCGACACTTCACTTACTACTTATCACCCACCACACTCACCTATACTCCACCAACGCGTCTCTATTTGCAGCTATTATCTACCTCGCCGTTGCTATAATGCCAGCAAAAAGAACATGCGTTAATGCTCTAGAAATCGCGACAACTTCGAAGCGCCCTAGAGTCGCAGCGCGTCATCGCGGGACTGCCAGCCAACCTGTGCTAGTCGATACTCAGCCATTCTCACCATCTCCACCTCCTCCACCGCTGTCGCCGCGTCAAGCTCTCGTTGCCGCGCCACAAGCACCAAATTTTGAAGCGACCCTCCGAGAGTCGCGCGCCGAAGAGACGATCATCCCACCACCTAAGGGCAGCGAGCATGCCACTGTTGCAGCTTCAGGAGCAGCTAGCGAGGCTGTCGACAAGGGTTTCGTATAGGTAGAGGACAAATACGACGGCTTTAATTAGAGTCGCTACCCAAAGCACTGCAAGCCGCCCACATCACTTTCGAACCGAGCAAGCTGGGTATACAGCCATGGCTATCGCATCGCCTTGCGCAGCAACGTCGCAAAAGTTACGTGGATCTGCCACTATTGCTATAAGCACAAGTTCACTACTGTTGGCCGTGGCATACATAACGTCTCGCAGTCTCCATCAGCGCCAGCACGTCATCTCGGAGAAGACAAGAAAGTTCATGGCTTGAAGCCTCCAAGTAAGCGCACTACCGTCGCTCCTCGGAAAGAAACTCTCCTCGAACGCGCCCTTCAGAAGGGCTGCTCTTAGGCTGTTGCCAACGAGCTTACCAACTTCAATATACAAGAGTTTAGGCTTGCGGCCGTTACCTAGCTCGTCGAAAACAACCTCCCACTCTCACAATTCGAATCATCGTCTTTTCGCAATATGATATAATTAGCTAGCGTAGAGGCAGAACGAGCCTTGTGGGCATCTTATAACAGCGTCTCACGATACGTTATACGCCTGTACAACTACCTGTTACTAAAGGTTATCGCAAGCCTTTCAGAATCAATGAGCAAAGTCTATGTAAGCTTTGACGGATGGACGACAAAAGGTGGCAAGCGCGGTTACTTAGGTATCGTCGCCCACTACGTTGATAGCTCTGGCGAGCTCAGGGACTTGCCTATTGCGCTCCCACAACTGACAGGTGCCTACACCGGCGAGGCTATGGCTGAGGTCGTGATGGCAATATTCAAGCAGTTCGAAATCACTGTGGGCAAGCTCGGTTACTTCGTCCTCGACAACGCACATAACAACAACACCACGATTAACACTCTCGCCTTGCAGATAGGCTTTAGCGCTACTGAGCGTCGCCTTCGCTGCGGTCCTTATACGCTTAATCTCATTGGCCAGATGCTACTCTGGGGTGAGGAGAAAGAGTCCTACGACAACGAGGAGACTGAGCGCGTGAACGAAGCTGAGAATATGGCTACTTGGCGAGGCGATGGACCATTAGGAGTGCTTGTCGCGGTTATTAACTACATCAAAACACCACAACAGTACGCTCTTTTTGAGAAGTATCAGAAGCTCGCTATTAGGGACCAGCCTGTCAACGCGCCAACAGAACAGCACAAAATCAAGGAGCCCGTTAAGCTAGTTGTTACTCGCTATAACTCTTACGTTTCGTGTTTTAAGCGCGCTGTTGAGTTGTAATTAGCGGTTAATAGGTACGCCAACTACCATATTTAGAAGATTGAAACTGAAGACGCGTACGCCCGAAGTCGTAACAACAAGCTGCCTGCAGCGCCGGATTGGATGAGGTCTGATGGGATCAATGCCCATGACTGGCAGGTGATTGCTGAGTATATTGATGTGCTTAGGCCACTAAAACAAGCTACAAAACGGCTTGAAGGCCGCGGCAAAAGCGGTGCTTTTGGAGCAATCGCTGAGGTTATTCTAGTATTTGAATACTTACTTGGAGTCTATGAGGACCGCTTGCAAAGCTATGAAGACGTCATTTATGATGAGCATACAGAGTCACCCGAAGACCACCTTGCTATCAACCTCCGCGCTGCCCTAGTTAAAGCCCGCGAGTACTACAACAAGCTCGACCTCTCGCCAGCTTACTATGCTGTTATAATCCTTCATCCTCGCTACAAAAGCTACCTTGACGCAGCGTGGGCGGATAAGCCTGATTGGCTAGAGAGCAGCAACCGCAAGTTTCAACATTTGTGGGCGGAGTACAAAAGCTTACCGAAGCCGCGCTTACGCTCTAAAGTTAGGCACAATGATATAGAAGACGCTATTAACAGCTTTATTAAGCCGGCAGGGCTTACGGAGAACGAGGAGGATGAATATGAGGCTTAGAAACGCAGCGAACCGATCGCTAGCGAGGGCGTCGACCCTATAAAATACTGGGTAGGACTCCGCGATCGCTACCCCAGCCTTAGCAAATTTGCTATCGACATGCTATCAATCCCAGGCTCAAGCTGTGAGTGTGAGCGCTTATTCAGCGAGCTGGGTGACCTCCTCGAGCCCCGTCGGCGCAGCATTTCTCCGCAACTTCTAGCAGCAATACAGTGCGATCGACGATGGATAAGAGCTAGATTTGGCAGTGGTGAGGTGCCTGTAAAGGAGGCTATCAGCGATGAGGAGATGGACGCGAAATACGGTGTACATAAGTGGGATATTAGCTGAGAAACTCAACACCAAGGTTTCTATATAACTTTCCTAATCGGGACTGAGCCCATCAAGCCGAGCGAGCTGACAGCCCTGTTTCAGCCAATCCGAGCGAGCCGAGCGAGCTGCTGGCCTCCGCTCAATTGGCTGAGCAAGCCAATTGGCTGAGCTCGCTCAGCTTGCTCATTGACATCTGTGCCCAATGGGCTCATGAGTCATGCCCCCACCTCGAAGTACTAGTATGGGGCATGTCCAAGGAAACACCAGACACTGCTGTAATAGATTGCCTTCGCACAGACGACATGGAAGTTCGTACCAACAGCGCTGCCCGTGTCGAGAAGATACCACAACAGTACTTTATCAAGCAACTGGTAAAAACAGACAACGGAGCTACTCAAATTTTAGCAGTCTCAGTCCCAAGGAGCAGGATTCGAGAAGATTTCCCGGAGCTGGATATAATATCTTGCGACACCATTGGGTTTGATCCATTGCCCCACCTCGCAACAGAAGACGACGTCGATTTGAACTATTCGACTGGACTGAAATACAAGGCTGGATGTGGTTTGGCTCGAAGGACACTAGGTTGGTCATAGTCAAGTATCAATATTCTGACTACGTGGGTACGGCCCTATCTTTAGTACCCGGGGACTATGATGGGGACGAGATCGTTTACTTCCTTCTATCAAACCTTCCTCGGCAGTACATGTGTGCCATGCGCGAACCCAATAAAAGTAGGATTACCGCACATGTTCCACATCTTTCTCTATCTCGACTGTGAACAGCATGTATTTGGAGTAGATAGAATAAAGTTGCCTACGGCTCGTTTATGAGCAGATACAACTTCCCAGCACACTAATCAATCTCATTGGACCTGGCTTACCGCCTCTGTTCGCTGCCATAGTACTCGTTTGCTCCCATAGTTATATGGGATGAGTATGTGGGCTGGTCTGGTTCTGCGAAGTGATACCAACCATTCGCTGTAATGTGTTCGCAATCATAGTGTTTTATTTGACTTTGATCTACAAATAGTGGTTGTTTTCGACTAGTCACTGCCTAGTCTGGATCAACATTCATATTACACGAGGTAGCATCTAAATATGACACCTGGTAAACTCTCTGTAAGCCGTTAGCTAGCCCCACCAGAAAGGTCCCATCGACCTTCCGCCCATCTCCACTTCCAGCGATTTCAGCCGATGACTTCGGCATACAAGTTAGTCCGTAAGAAGCTTGGGCGAAATCCCAACACGAGACAGGAGCGATATGTCAAGTTACGCGTTCCAATGGTCTTCATGTAAGCTGGTTATATTGGTGTGATCATCAGAGGCTTGAGTATGCGTGCGCGAATACCACTCATAGCCTTGATACGGTCTAGCTGCATAAGAACAGAGTCTCCCGTACATCCTTTCTTCAACGCCACCAGGCTCAATCACATCACAGTCAACAAAATTGCTCAACAATATGAAGTCAATCACCTTTATTACGATTCTATCGCTTATTGCAGTCTCCTACGCTGATCCTGTAAGTATCCATAACAATAGCTTTTGCACCTATTTCATTCTCTGAAGATTGCTTCTGACGATATCGTAGACCTGCCAACACAAACCCAGGACGACCTATACATCTTACGATATCGGAAACTGTGTTGATACTGGCATTTCGCAACCATGCAGCACAGTATGTGCATTTGCTCTTTGTCTAATATCATTACTAACAGAGTAGAACTTCCCATGTTATAACAACGGTATTCCGTGTACCATCGATGGTGACAATTATGCTGGAATGAAAAGGGCAAAGTGTGGATAAGATAAGGTACTTTTGTGACGACGTTCAGCGATTTTCTAAGCGTCTTTACTTTAGCAATGGAGGCGGAGCTAGCAAGTTAGATCAAAAGCTAGAGAGTGAGCAATATATTACTTTTGTAGTTGCATAGTCAAGATCTATGAGCAGATTGAATATGACATTTATACTCATAATACCTTTATATATGTTGACTCGTTAAAAATTACCCCGTTCACTACCATCTGACTAATTGTTGCTAGTCTGCCGATTTCTTTTGCCACGCTGTTCTCTGAGGTGGACTCCAACATCTTCTTTGCCGACTGGCGAGACAGGTCTTTCGTGATGACTGCACTTTCTATCACCCTTTATAGCCATAGTATCACTCGCGTGTCAATTGTTATCGAAAATCGGAGATACTAGAAGCTATGGTGTTCTTTGAATAAATGATTTGGGACTGTCAAGAGTGTGCAGGAGTAATGGAACCTCTTTGTAACAAAGCCAACTCTGAGTGTCGAGAGTGAGCTATAGAACACCAACTCAGACGGCAGCGGAGTAGATGAAATATTAAGACGAATGATCAAAAGGCTACATGCAAGGCTACTTACAAAGTCGATCCTGAGAATATGAGGATAGTAAACTCGTTCGAAGCTGAAGTCGTCCACTCTGCTCATCAGAGGATATAATGGAAATGAAGGATGGTCGCCCATAGTGGGCACTCATCAAAGCGCAGGGCGACCCCAACTGATATGTCCAGCGCTTTGCTCTTATTATCGGATACGAGGAGGATCGTCAGAATCGACCGTCACTTCAAGCTGACCGATACCGCCGCCGGTGGATCTGTACGGATCAACTGCGCGCCACGACTCTTGGAATCTTCATAGTACAGGTAGCTACACAAGCTACCTTGTCTATCAATTAACCAAACAATACTCACTACCACACCGAAAGTCCATGTGAATTCTACTAAAACACGTTAACTTGCCGCACTTTGTACTCAAAAGCGTAAGAGTCGTTACACAACTACCCCAATACATGTAAAAATCCGGAGCAGTTTGA